CACAAGCAGATTAGGGACACATAGTTTACCGGTCTGTATGACAAAATTACGAGAGTTCCATGACAGAACAAGTAACTACTCATTACACCATCCATAACTACAAAATTGGAAATCGTTTACTGTGAAGCTCCATCTTTGTTTAAATTAGGTATTACACAGTGGCCATTGTTTACCTATATCTTAGAAAAGATTCAGGATCCACACAATCCAAAAAGGGAAAGATTCAAATCCGATTGTGAATGATGTGAATTCATGAACCACTACGGTGCTAAGCTAGCACTACGGATAATTAAGAAGTTTAGATCGTCAAGGAAAAGCCTATGTGGTGCATTCAGAAATCTTCAACAGTCAATTTTTTTTTCTTATATACCTTTCCACGAATCGCCTCATGCAAGCTGTATTTCTCAATGAAGTCGAACACCTCTGGTTTGAGAAGCTGAAAAAAACAAGGAACATTATAGCAGACTATCGACAGAAGAAGGGCTGAACAAGCTCAGGGGTAAATACTTAACAAATGTTCACTTTATTAGTACATACGTACATCAGCATATAGAGAGAAGGCTTTCTCGTGTTGTCCATCAATTACGTACAGCTCTGCCAGCGCCTGATACATAAAATGATAAAACAGCTCTGAATCCGTAAGTGGTAATAAACCTCAGGCTCACATGACAGACAACGCTGACCTCTTTGAGAGCGTCGGTCATTGAAGATGTTTTCAGCTGAGGCTCTACTGCTGAAATAACAGGCAAAGAAGAATATACTGAACGTGGCCAAGATTTAACTGTTGACAAAAGCTCCTTGTGGTATAAGGGGTTGGTTGCCAGCGCCACGAGAGCAACCTGCATCATAAATAAAAATGAATCTTATGCCTCGATTGTTTGAAACACGTGTTTTCATTTAAAGTGAACTTTATAAAATAAGATCAGTTTCAAATTTCTATACTATTCTCTTCCGTTGGTTCTTTACTCTGGCATGCATAGTGAGATAAAGACACGAAAAAGGTGGAAGAGTCTGTTCAAAGTTGTTGATACTTGATATATACAAACCTCATACACAGTATCCTTGAGCCTTGGGTTGTCGGTAGGCATGTACGGAACAAGAACAGGCAGCTGGCGTAGTTGAGCAAAATGGAAAACCCACCTGACAAGAGAAACACATTATGAGATATGTAAACCATAACCAAAAACCAAACGCTTATCAGATATGAGATACTAATTTGTTCAAACCTCTCCCAGGCTGAAGCAGATCCTCGTAGCAATTTTGGGCATAAAGATGCTGCTTCAGCATATTTTCTTTCCACAATCAAATGATCTAGATACCCAGCACCCACCTAGATAAGTAAAACTTTGTAAGCTCAAATATCGTTACACCCAAAAAGAGACCAATAGAAGAAAATTTGTTAGTTTTCATCTAGGAAAAAACCCAAGGAATACAAGATGCCCCATAAGAGTTATATCGCTTGTGTTAGAACTTAGAGTTAAATATCACCAACACAAGAAAGAAAAGTGGAGAACTTGACAGTGGTTTTCTCGACCAAGCACTGCTAGGCTTATGAAACATCTGAACAAATAATCCTTTGGTTAACACGAATAGGGTATTGCCAGATTAAATTCGTTTACCTAACCAAAGTCATGAAATAATGCACATAGATGAATTAAAGAAAAACTAGAAGGTTTAGTCACTAATTATTTTTGAACAAGTACCTTTTCAATTAGTTCGGTTCGTCCTTCACCAGCCTCAACAGCTGCTAGTGCTTTCTCGTGAAACCCATGTTGGAAAAGCCAGTTAATATGATCTTCAGCATCCCTAACAAAGTAACAAGTAACAAACCAACGTACGTAAGAGAAAGCAAAGTTCATTTACAAAGAACTAGAATAATATGGACAATACAAATTATGCCCACAAAAATCTACCTGGGTTTTGCAATCACAACATCCTTTGGAGAAACAATATAGTACAGTGGTTCATCACCAGCTGCCCACTGTCCCCCAGCATAGCTACTACCTACACACGCTTCAAATTTTCAAGTAAGTACTCAAAGGCAGGGTTTCCTTCTTCAAGAAACCAAATTATTTTCCAAACAAAAATCCAACCTGGGAATGGAGCATGAGCAAGGGAATAGTCTTTCGCCTTGTAGTGCTCAAAGCCATGCACCGGAAGAGCATCCATTGTTAGTTCATCACTGTTCCATGATACAATGCGTACTTCAGGTCTCTGCGCGTTTCCCTGGATTACTTAGAATTAGACTCAACAACTGTCCAAAAGCCATGCCAAAATATGTCCTTATTTCTGATATGCAACACCAAAACCACCACGAAGAGAGTACCTGGCGCGGTAGAGTAGTGGTGCTGCTAAATTCCTTGGCGCCATCTTCTTCAGTGGGTATATAAGCAAGAATAACTAGAGAATCACCAAACGGAGCAATCCCTGAAATGAAATAGCTCGTTTGGAAAGATGCCACAATATCCACTTGGTTTAGACTAGACATCTGAATCTGCCTATATGCTGGTTTTTGCTGGTCTGATTTAATGGAAGCAATTTTAACAGATGTTCCCCAACCAATCACAAGGAGAGTGTCATCCTGAAAAAAAAAACCCAAAAAAGAACCCTTTAAATCAATGCTGTTTACGTATGAACTCGTTCGGATGAAATGTAAAAGAAGTAAAAACAAATTGGTAGAGTTACTCAGACCAACCTGCCAAACCAAGTGGGGAAGCAAAGCCTCAGGGCGGGGGCTTCCTCGCGGTTTCTCAATAAACGTAACACGCTGATCTTTGGCTGTATCATAAACTTTAACGCCAGCATCATTAGCCCAGGCGATGAGACTTGCTCTCCATTTCACAGAATGGATTGGACCTTCCCCGGAGTGCAGCACCTACAACAGTTAGCCTCTATCAAATTCACGATGAGTAGGCTGTATCCCAAAACGCAATTTACCCCCACATTCTCACGAACCTGGTCTCGATGCCCGAACCACTTCTTGGAGTTCATGTACAAGTGACCAGCCAAGCCACCAGTTACAAATCTCTTTGATTGATTTTTTGAGTAATCTGGATCCAAGGAAATGGCCTTCATGGGGCGATGATAATCAAATTTCATCTTCTCATCATCAGTGAAAAGGCTGTTTATAACGACAGAGCCATCGTCTGAACAGCTTCCGATATACTCTCCCTCAGAATCAAAGCTGAGGTCATTAACCGGGGCAGTGTGGGCACGGAACTCTTTAACCTGAAGGAAGCATGAATCAAATTTTGTAAACTTGAGCAAGCTATAAGCTAACCAAACTAGCTAAACTGTTCCAGCAAAACCAAGAACACCTTATGAAATGCACGTATTGTCTATCGACTTTGATTCATCATATGAATATCACCAAAACACTTTAAACTCCAAAAATGTTGAAATTGACCCGAAATTCAAAAAAAAAAAAAAGTCGAGAAACTCAAAATCGCTCAGAAATCTCACCTGATTCCCGAGGAAATCGAGGATGTGCACCGTTCCGTCGTGCGTACCAAGCGCGATCATCCGCGCGGCAACAGCGATGCAGGAAGCAGCGTCGTTGGATAGCAGAGCAGGTATGCTGCCACCCATCCGCTGGTATTTCAGCCGTGGCTCCTCCTCAGCCTCGCCCCCGTTTCCTTCTTCTTCTTCTTCCTCTTCCTCTTCCTCCTCCTCTTCTTCTTCCTCCCTTTCGTCGTCTCCGTCGACACCATTTTCAGAGGGAACCGCAGCCATTACCACCGTACACTATCTCCTTCCCCGAAATTACCTCAGATCAGAAACCGAGAGATCAATCAGGCGTAAACAGAAAATCTCAAACACAGATCTGCGTCCTCGTTTCTGGGTTGAATCTTCTTTCTCTGTAGGCTTCAAAAAAATTCCGTTCAGGTTTGGGTATCGGTAAAATTGAATTAATTAATGGTGATGACAGAGGAGAAGCAAATCGAATTAAAAAAATAATAAAGTAAAAAATAATGATTTGGAAGGCGACAAAGAAAAAGGCGCCATGTGTTGTGTGGGAGAGTGATTTTACCTTTTCTTTTTCTATCTCCTTTACTCTGACCCTTTTCAGTTTAGATAGAGACGTGGTGTTATGTCACCCATGAGAATGAAACTTGTGAATTTAACTTGTCAGTGTTTTTTTTTTTCTCTTTTTCCCATTTCTAAAGGCCGGTTAAGGAAATAAATTAAAAAAGCCCAAAGCCCAAATAAGTGTAGTCCCAATCATTTTATTTTTCACATGTAAGCTGTTTCCCTTCCGGATTCACACCATCTATTTAGAGAAGGATCAGATTCTTCGAGACAGAATAGTACGAGGACTTTGGTGTTCTTAAAGGAGCAGAGGAAAGAACACCGAATAAGAAACCTAAAACAAGAAATATGTAGAAAACAAAAACTTTACGAGAAGACTACATAAGCCCAAATCTGACCCAATTTACTAATAAAGCCACCGATACACCAAAATTGGAATACATTCATTACAACCGACAAACGAGTAATGACTTCATAGTAAGAACTCTCTATCTATGAATGATTTTTACTCTTGCAGTTTATGTTCTCCTCCATGGCTAACGCCTTTTTTACATAAGGATCAATGGATCATGCAACCTCACAATTATACTATTATTAATGAAAGTTTTATGTTTTGGTTGGAAAAAAAAAATAGAAGTTTAATGCTTTATTTAGGCAGACTTCAATGGTTTATATGTTGAGTACAGACTGATTTAAATGTAAAACCCACACACAGAAAAAACATTATTTAGCATTGTAACTTGTTCATAGAGAAAATACTATAGTAAACTAACTTAGCAATTCTGAGAATAAACCCAAGTGGAAGGATGACATGGCCGTATCTAATTGGCTAATATAATGGGCTACCAATTAGTCCAATAAGTCCAAGGGGGAGTCGGAAAGTGGACATCAATTATGAAATATTATTCTTAAGTGATGAAATGGTATCCTATGCCAATAATTTTGTACGTATTTGGACATACCATCGAAGAATGACGTGACACATGCAATGTACTGGATAAGCTTCTCCGTTAATTTTCCATATTTTTATTACATTTCATTTTCATGGTCTAATAAATTTATTAGTGATTCAAATTCAACAGACTGATTGACTCCAGCAGTTCCAAATATTGGACACAGGGCAGTTGAAAAGTTTCACTTCTAAATTCCTAAACAATGGATTTTAATATCCGAATATTCATCAAAATTAATGAATGGACATTTCGCAAAACACAACACTCTTTAATCTCCCTCTTTCTCTCTCTGCCTATCACTTTCTAGATTCCAAAATCACTTTAAAAATTAATATTCTTTCTTTTGGAAGGTAAATCTCACGAAACTTTTTCATTCCAATACAGGCGTCAGACGACATACATCCATGTGACCATGTCTAAGCTTCTCGAGTCCGTGGAAGAAGAAAAAGTAGAAGAACAGAAGCCCATAAACCAAGAAGAAGAAGGAGAAAAAGGAGAATCTTATAAAGAAGAGTTGTTAGGATCTCTGTGTACACCAACTTCGAGTGATCACAAGATTCCGGAGGTGGAGACATGTCCTCCGGCGCCAAGAAAGCGGCCGCGTGAGATTCCTCTGACAAAGAAGAAGAGCTTGTCCAAAGATCTTCGGTTCTTCGAAGCCACCGACGTCGGGAGCGAGGAGGTTGAAACTTTCTTTGATCACAACCCAAGCCATGTCCGTAAGAAACGGAGGAGTAATAGCGCCTGAGTCTCTGCTGGGTATCTCCTGTTTTTCTTCTTCCCCTACACACAAAATTGATTGTGTAGATAGACGATCTTGTTTGTTTAGACTTCATCTTCGATCGCTTTCTATACCTATAATCTTTAATTTCCGTTTCGTGTTTTGTTATGGTATTAGAGTTCCGTTTGTGTACAGATTTTTTTCTATATATCGGATCTTTTCTTCTCTTGTACAATTTGATCCTCGTGTCTCGGTATGGGATTCATTTTTGTTTTTAAGATTCATTTAGCAATAAAAAGTAACTTAGAGATGGAATCATAGTAGGTGAATTATGTGCTGGAGTGACTTAATTAACTCGTGTGGTTAGAGTCGTTTAAAATGTTTGGTTTCTTTTTTCTTCTTCTTCTCACAAGATGTTTAAAGTTTCTGATTTGTGTTTCGTTATATCTTACTTATTTCTTCAAGTTTCTATTCAAAATATGATTTATTTGCTCTGTTCTAAAAGTTTTATATTTTGCATTGTTTTTAGGTGCCAGAGTGATCTTTTTTTTGTGAATAAAGCATCCCGACTATTTAAGCTGTTTTTTTTTTTCTTCACTTTCTATTGAATACGAAATTGAACAGTGCTGCTGTTTCAAACGTTTCTCCAGGGTTTGTTTTAAAATATAAAAAAATATCATAACAATTGAAAATTAGGAAAGTACTACTATATTGTAAAACTATGTGGTATTCATCTTAGCCTATAATTTTAAAGAACGGGAAAAATCATATAATCCGAATTCTTGCAATTTTTTTACAACCACCACGTAGTTGGCAGTTAAGCACCAGTAATAGGGTGTCTGAACGACACGTCTCACCACATGTCAATCCAAGAATTACCGTTACCCCATCCCCAAAACCACTCTGTTATTTAACCACCGAACATTTACGGTTTTACCAACGAAGACATTAATGGCGCCGAGAAGACCAAATAAGGTGGTTTCAGTGACGAAGAAGAAGAAAGTAGTGGAAGAAACAATCAAAGTTACTGTGACGGACGGAGATACGAATGTTACCACCGAGACGGAGACACAAGATCAAGAGACACAGGATCTCACGTTTTCCATTCCCGTTGAAGAAAACGTTACCACGGTTGAGATTCCCGTGGATGTTCGAGAAGATCGATCGCCTGAGCCACCGGAAACTCCTCTTCCTGCAAGTGAAGTAACGGTGAAGGAGACCCATCAGGTTGAGAAGAAGCAGGGGAAGAAGAAGAAGACGAAGAGGAGGAAGAAGTCGGATTCCGCGGGAGATGAGTATAGGAGATATGTGTATAAGGTCTTGAAGCAAGTGCATCCGGAGTTAGGGATAACATCCAAGGCGATGACGGTGATTAACATGTTCATGGGAGATATGTTTGAAAGAATAGCGAAGGAGGCGGCGAAGTTAAACGATTACACAAAGCGGAGGACGTTGTCCTCTAGGGAGATCGAAGCAGCGGTAAGACTAGTTTTGCCTGGAGAGCTTAGCCGCCACGCCGTGGCTGAAGGCTCTAAAGCTATTAGTAACTATTTCGCTTATGATGCCAGAAAACGTTAACAGTTTCGTCTCTTCTTGTAATTTGTTGTTTCCCAACTTTACTACTAGGGTAAGCTTTAGCTTAGAAGGTATGGTTTGTAGAACTTTATGTGTCTTTTTTTTTCTGTCTCAGTGTGTGATTGTGTCGGTTTGTGTTCTAATTCTGTGTCCTCTGTTTTGTAAAATTTTGGTATTGCACATATTTAAATGTAACATGTTTATGAATAATTAGTTGTTTGTGTGATGGTTACTCTTGCTATCAGTTTTCTGTTCAAATCTTCAACTGGTGACCAGGAGATGGATTTTTTTTTATTATTTAAAAACTTTATCATTTATTAGTAATAGTTTTTTCATATATTCTTTTCTCATTTTTTATTATTTTAAAATTTCTTATTATTTAAGAAATTATTGAACAAAAATATTTTGTATAAAATTAGAGAAAACTTGGAAAAAAGAAACAGAAATATTTATTTATTTTATTTTATTTATTCATTTTATTTTCATTCTATTTTCTTCCTTTTTTTTGTCCGTTACATATTTATTTTTCACGAGTTATTGATATACTATACATATTGAAATGTGACCGTGAAAAAGAAAACACACATATTAGATCAATCTGTGTCACTGGTTTGACTCAAATCTGTTGACAAAAAAAAAGATTAACTTGTTACTAAAATTTAAAACATTTGTCAAAACACCAATGCCATGGAACGATATTGATGGTGCTCAGTGTACGTAGACCACCGGTTCAATCGTTAAGGTTATGCACAATGGGCTTAAGCAATGACTTGTTACACTTGGGTCAGGACCGATAGATGGATATCTGTTTTCGTTAACGGAAGGCCATTTAGTGGCGGAGGAAGCAGGATAGAGCAACAAAGCGAGTTTACTTTTTTTGTTCCGAGACCATATGTTAATAATTTTCACATATTCGAACAGACTCTTTGAGCCGCACTTTTACTGGTAAGTCCTATGCTACACTTTAAATTACTGGATCTGAATTTCTTTTCATCCTGTAGTTAACCCTTATTTTTTAATTTCTTCTATAAATTTTGATCTATGTAACTAAAAGACAAATACACCGGCGGATCAGATCAAAGCCTGTAAATTCTTGATTTATAGATGTCGTAGATAAGGAACTCAGGTGCTCTTTTGAGAGTGAGTTAAAAGTTAATTACATCTTCTCCGGCAAAGCTAGTTACTAAATACTTGCGAGGTTATGTATAAAATGCACAGCTCGTATAATGAAAAATACATTATTGTGAAACGAGGGTAATGTTCCGTTGAACCAAAAGTACGAAGATCGATTACAAATCGATAGACAATTATAACAAAAACAGAAGCCAAGAGAAACATTGCCAAAGATTTCGAAATTGCCCGGTCAGAGAGAAAGATACAAAATGGACAATTGTGGTTGCGGTTGACCAACACCTGCGTTTTTCAAGATGCTCAACATCTCGATCTCTTCTCTCGTCCGCGTACATACTCTGTCAGATCTTCTTACTGTTATACCCACTAGTAGCTGATCCCTTATACTGGTTTAGGACAACATCAGAAAAAGACATAATCATAATCATCATTAAACGACTAACCCGAAGGTCTCCATCTTGAGATATTGACTCGTGTTTAATCTTGTTGTTAGTCATGCTTCCAGGAGGTGAGAGATGACGACCTTATGTTGTGAATGGTATATGAAGAGGGTTATATAGAAAATGCATGTGATACGAGTAAGTGAAACTTGAAAAGTGATGACACATGCTTTGCTGTGCTATATAAAGTACGCTTTTGTGTTAGCTAATAAGTAAATTCTAGTAATCAACTTCAAAAGGAAAAGAAAATTCATTTTTGAAGCGAGATCTATTTGACATTTTTTTTGGTGCGATATATTTAAACGAATCGGACTAATGGAATATTCCTTTTTCGTGTGTGTTGCTGATGTATACATGAGTGAATTATTATAAAAACACCATCTCTTCTTTACACTACACGTATGCATTCTCTTATATAAGTTGTTTGTGTGTTTATTTGGTATGGATATCTACATACAAACGTACGTAAACATGTAAATATATAAAAAAAATTATAATAGTTCGTGGTGGAGAATGTGAAGGAGAAAGGATCTTCCAAGGTATATGCGGCGACCAACTTCAATGCTCAGCATGCAATTACTACTTTCACTTTAAACTTTTCCTTTCCCATTATCTTTTTTCCTCATTTCTGCATTACTTGTATATATAGCTCTGTTTCTACAAACACACACAAAAATACATAGTGCTCAAATATTATTTTGTACTGTAATGGATCTCATAACTTTGACACACTTAATTGTTAGTGGTGCCCGTTAGGTAAACACGCCCCATGATGTCTATAGCCAACTACCATGCATAACGGTTCTAATCTCGTATACGTCGATCATTTCGTTTATAGTTAGTTACTTTTTATATAAAAATATAGAGTGAATTTGATAGATGGTAACTGATACATGACGATAAAAATTAAATAATATAAATTCGTTCATTTCGATTTTACTTTACTTTTCCTAATGTTGTTGGTTTTACTTCTTATTTTGTTCACAATGTTTTATTTTTCTGGCTATCTTTTACACTTTTTGGGAAAGGAATAAATGTTCCGACAAAGCAAAGGAAATGGGGCATACTTAAAATTTAAACAAGAATGTTAACTAAAGTAAGTAGAAGTTTATGCCTCTTCAAGAAAGCAAATCTATTATATTTGTCTATGGCGTTGGATACAGTGATGAGTGAAGACTTGATTAAATATCAAATCATTTTTCCCCTGTTAAAACTGTAATATTTTATTTCTCTGGGTTAACAGTGAAATTGTAATCGCATTGATTATTTTAGATATGACGACCAAATTTACAGGTAAATCGGAAAGAAAGAAAAAAATGTTAGTTGATAGTTACAACAAGAAGCAAAGAATTAAACCAAAGAAAAGAAAAACAAACAACCAAAAAGTACGAATCTTCCAGCTTCCAAGATTTCTTGATTTATTCACAAGCAATGCTAAAGAATTAAATTAATAGTTTTGATCGAGACTAATCCTTATACAAAGGCAAAGAATCTAACTGTCCCTGTCAGCCCCCTTGTATATAATGTAGCACACCATAGCAAATCAATCAAATTAATATTTGCTCTCAATCCTTTTCTAGCAATAATTTAAAAATCAGTTATAGACCTCTCCATCAAAACCATCTTTAACAATGGTTCCTCCAAACCAACCGACTCGGCGAACACAACCGCAATCACAACCGCTTCCGGGTAGGGGTTTGAACCCTGTCCTATGCATTATTGTCGCCCTCATCCTCTTAGGACTCCTTGTGGGTCTCGCCATATTGATCACATACCTCACCCTCAGGCCAAAGCGACTCGTCTACACGGTAGAAGCCGCGTCGGTCCAAGATTTTGCCATAGCCAAAGACGATCACATTAGCGCCAAATTCAACTATGTGATCAAGTCATACAACCCGGAGAAACATGTTTCCGTCAGATACCACTCCATGCGTATCTCCACGGCTCACCATAACCAGTCCGTGGCTCACAAGGAGATCTCTGCCTTCAAGCAGCGTCCTAAGAACGAGACGAGGATTGAGACGCAGCTTGTGTCGCACAACGTGGCACTGTCTAAGTTTAATGCGAAGGACTTGAGGGCTGAACAATCGAAAGGGGCGATCGAAATGGAAGTGTATATAACGGCTAGAGTGAGCTACAAGACGTGGCTTTTTCGGTCGAGGAGACGTACGTTGAAGGCTGTGTGTACGCCGGTATTGATCAATGTCACGGCGAGCTCGTTGGATGGATTCCAGAGAGTGTTATGCAAAACTCGTCTTTAGTTTGGATTAATTATCAAGTTGAATTGCTTTCATTTATATTGTCCTCTTGATTGATTGTGTGTATGTGTGTGTGTGTTTCTTTTTACATTTCTTCTTGTATTCATTAATACATTCCATCTGTACGTCTTTGTCTTTTCATATTATTATTCTTTTGTTTTTAATTGTTTGCAATTTTTACTGCTCCGTAAATGTATTCAATTTGTTGAAATGTTGTTTTTTTTTTGGGGGGGGGGGGGGGGGGGGGGGGGGGGGGGGGGGGGGGTATTTTTTAATAAAACTGACGATATCGGTCAAGTTAATATAAAATAGAAATAACATTAATATATCAGTAAATGAAATAAAATTATATAGAATAAATGTAGTGAAATTATATAAAATAAAATATTAAAAATGATACAATGTACGTATATAAAATCTTTAAAATAGAACCCTCTGAAAACGACAAATGAAACAATATAATTAATTGATAAAAAGTAGGGTGACATATAAAGCGTGCACCTCTTTCTTCCTTGACAAGAAACGGCCGGCTTCACTTAATTATCTACTACACTCCGCCATAAATCAAATGTAATTAATCTATTAATTATTCATGATTTTTCAAAGTCACAAATATATATGTATATACAGTACTGAGCTAGTATTTGCAAATTTATAGCCATTCTAGCCAATTATACTATTTTACTTCTAGATGCCAAAATCAAATGTAAACAAACATATAAATAAATTGTATTTAAGCGAAAATAATTTTATTGAAAAAATCTTCTACTTTTTAAAATTATCAAAAAATCTGATATTGCATGCAGAACTAGTATGTGTACCCCGAGATGTCGGGAGCCCTAACTTACCTTTGAGACAGCACTAACGACCACAATTCGATGGAGGCTCCTAAACAATTAAGCGGAGAGGCAAAATAAACATAAAGTAATCGCATCTTGGCGAATTCGTAAAAAGTTCTGTACGGCTAATTAACTTGTGCAATGGATTTTTAACCATTAACCAAAACAACCTTTTTTTTTTAAAACGCCAGATATAGAGAAAAATAGCTGAGATTATCGACTATTTTTAGAAGTGTATCTGCAAAGCGCGTTCCTTGTAAAAAGTCAACGTAACATCGACGTTTCTGATTATTTTCTAGTTTTTTCTGGAAACTGAAAATCCCTTGTCAAGGATTTCTTCTTCCTCCAAGAAGAAATTTGGAATCAAGCCGTCGAGATAAAAGAAATGGATACGTTTAACGAAACCTTCTGGACCGATTTATCAACGCATGGATATAGCATTACTGAAGACGGGACCAAGATCTGCGAACAAGAACCCGCTATTGTCAGCTCTTTTGGCGTGTGGGACAAGCTGCTATTTGGGCGTCTCGGGATTTCGATATGGGACTACAATCTTCCCCTTCTCGAGATCGTAATCGTCCTTGTACTCTGCTTATGGCAGTTTTTCTATGTCTTGTTTAAGAAGATACGTCTTCCGGTTCCAAAGATCACCTCCATGATGATTGTAAGAGCCTTTCTTCCTTCTTTTTACTTTTTCTTTTCCCAAAATTGTTTTGGAAAAAAAAAAAAATGTTTTTTTTTTTTTTAATGGTTTGTTGAAGGCCGGGGCAGCCTTGAGCCAGACGAGTCTTTTGCCGAATGATTGGTTGGTCCAACGCATTTTTTTCCCGGATGATCTTAGGCCAAAACTCCCTGAGACGCTCGGTGGGTTTGCCTTTGTATTGTATTGGTTCCTCGAAGGTGTTAAAATGGATGTTGGGATGGTTAAGAGGTCCGGTTCGAAAGCGGTTACAACCGGAGTCGTCACCGTTCTTTTCCCCATCTTCACGGCTAACATCGTGTTCGGGTCGCTGAGAGAAACCGGGGGCAAACACTTGACAGGAGTTGAGTACAGAACAATCATTTTCATGCAGAGCATCTCGGCCTTCACGGGTATCTCAAGGCTTGTTAGGGATCTAAAGATCGACCACTCAGAGTTCGGTAGAATCGCGCTTTCGGCGGCTATGGTGGCCGATGCAACCGGCTTTGGTGTTAATATATTTGCCCTAGTGGCCTGGTCGGACTGGAGGGTTTCGGTGGTGCAAGGCGTAGGACTAGTCGTATATGTCATTGTGGTGGTTTGGATAGTGAGACCGGTGATGTTTTGGGTGATCAGACGGACACCGGAAGAGAGACCGGTGAAGGAGTGCGTTATCTACTGCATCATCATTTTTTCTTTCTTTTCTTACGAATATTTGAAGATGCTTCACCTGTTTCCGGCGGTTGGACCTTTCTTCTTGGGTTTGTGTATCCCTCACGGCCCCCCTTTAGGGTCTGCGTTGGTGGAAAAGTTTGAAAGCTTTAACACTGGAATCCTTTTGCCACTTTTCTTGTTCTTCCCGATGATGCAAATCGATGGACCTTGGTTACTTAATGAGATCCGTCAGCTACGGCATTACGATGGTCAGTTGTACGAAGCCTTGACCATCATCGTCGTCGTCTCCACCGCCAAGATTTTCTTTACAACTATTCCTCCATTGCTAGCCAAAATGCCTCTAACCGACTCTTTCGTTATGTCACTTATTCTCAGCAACAAAGGATTCGTTGAGATGTGTTATTTTATGTATGCCGTTGAAAGGAAAGTGAGTATACAAGTCTTTTTTTTTTTTGGGGGGGTCAAAACTAGTCTTAATTTTTATTTCTTTATATTATCTAAAAGAATACTTAATCCCCCAGTTTCTTTATTTTTTCCTTAATTCCTTATAAGTGTAATTAATGTGTTTAATTTACAGACTCTTCATGTGAAGTCCTTCACAACAATGGCTGTGATGATTCTACTGAGCTCTACGATATTACCAGTGGCGATACATTACCTATATGATGCGTCCAAACGGTTCATTTGTTTCCAGAAGAGGAATCTAATGAGCTTGAAGCTTGGATCAGAGCTTAAGTTCCTAGTGTGCATTCACAAAGCAGACCACATCGCAGGGATGATCAACCTTCTAGGACAATCTTTCCCTCTACAAGATTTCGCGCTCGGTTGCTACGTGCTTCATCTCGTGGAGCTTGTTGGTTTAGACAATCCGCTTTTCATCTCCCACCAAATGCAAAAGGCTGAACCGGGAAGCCGGTCTTATTCAACCAACGTTCTCATTGCTTTTGATAGCTTCAAACATTACTGGAAATCTATAACGCTGGAATTGTTCACATCCATATCAAACCGAAAGTACATGCACCAAGAGATTTACTCGCTCGCTCTCGACAAACAAGTTTCTTTTATCATGCTTCCTTTCCACAGAATATGGTCACTCGACCAGACAACGGTGGTCTCAGACGATATAATACGTAGACAAGTTAACATCAATGTCTTGAGACAAGCACCTTGCTCCGTGGGGATCTTTATCCAACGCCAAAACATGGTATCTACGCAAAAGAGCAATCCCACTTTTAAGGTACACATATTTGCAGCTCTGGTTGTTTCAAGCGTCAGGTTTTGGATTACTCATAAAAAAGAATCACATTTTCATTAATTTTCCTATAGAAGAAAGGCAAAAGAAAAGCTTTCCGGCCATTTGCTTTTAGTTTTTAAAAGTTGTTGGACCATTTGGAAAAAAAAAAAAGAGAGGGAAAAAGATACAAAACCAAACACAAAAACGTTTTAATACAGTTTGTGCATACAAGCAAACAATCAAAACAGTTTGTAAAAAATAGGCATTTACTCAATCATGTTGAATTTGTGTAAAACCAGGTATGCGCTATATTTGTGGGCGGGAAAGACGACAGAGAAGCCTTGGCACTGGGGAAACAAATGATGAGGAACCAGAAAGTGAGTCTGACGCTGTTGAAGCTAGTCCCAGGGTCAATGGCCGGTATGAGCACAGGGTGGGATCAGATGCTGGACACGGCAGAGATTAAGGAAACAATGAGGAACAACGACACAAATTTGGGAGGACAACATGATCTTGTTGAATATGTGGAGGAGACAGTTAACGATGGCTCCGACACATCAAAAATCCTTCTCTCAGTCGCTAAGGCTTTTGATTTATTCGTGGTGGGGAGGACCACCGGAATGGGGACTGATGTGACGAGAGCACTTAGCGATTGGGCGGAGTTTGATGAGTTAGGTGTGATCGGAGATTTGTTGGCGTCGCCGGATTTTCCCAATAAAGGATCGGTGTTGGTGGTGCAACAACAACAGAATGTAGCTTGTAGATAATATTATAACATTGATTTTTCATTCTTTATTCACTTATAAGAAGATACCCAAAATAGAAATACACTTCTCTCACATGACACATAATTGTAGCCCCAAAAAACTAAGTGGAATCTACAAAAAACCTTGTGTGTTGGTAATTCTTATCTTCATGTGAGTTTCAACGTTACGATGCTACGGAGGCTTCACTGGTATATATATGCAAAACAACCTACAAATGACAGTTCCGAGATCGGACTTGTATATATAGAAGATCTGATCATTTTTTTTCTTCCAATGAATTAGATTCAACATCCAATTCGGTAATAATGGTGATTTACTTGCAGTATGAGAGGTACATCCATTTGTCCATGCAAATTTCACTATAATCGAATTCCGAGTTTACAAATTTTGCTCAGAAACGGCAAGAAATGATATATAATAAAAAATAAGGGACAAAACCTTAAAATATCTGAAATGTTAATGAAACTTAAATACTATATTTTAAATAAAAGTTAAGATTAAGAAATTAATTTTCTCTAAATAAAACATCATTTAATAATTATTGAAAAAGACAGTTTAACCAATTATGAAAATACTATAGCTATAAAATTCAAAGTATCAAAAATATTTTTTTCTCGAAACTTGCAAAACATTTTATAAAATAAATCAAACTTCAAAAAAAACATTTTATACTGTGGAACATATCGAGTATATTTCTAGACACCCTAGTTCCTAATTCCTAAGGATCTTTAGTGGGTGTAAAATTCCCTAAAAATAAAGTATTCTAGGTTTGACGTTAATAGTTGTAATAAACGATGTACAATCACCATACATGTGTTAATCTTGACAACAAACAAGAGATGGAGAGAAACGTAGCTATAAAAAGAAAAGAAGAACAAAATAAAAATGGCTAATTATTAACTATGTACTTAGAGATGCGTATCTGTTGCTTGGTGGGGGTTATTCAAGTTTAGAAATTTTCGTAAGTCAAAATTTATAACAAACCCTTCCTCTAGCCTTCTTCTCCCCCAATTGGACTACAAACCCTAAAACCAGTCCTTTAGATCTTCTTGCCAAAGATTCTCTTGGCAAAAATTATCTTTCCCTAGTTAAAATGAATCAACGACATGTGCCCATGGATTATTTGGACGTCGCAAGGCGAGGCTACAAGAAAGACAAGAACGCGTCTCTCTTCTGCGAGACACATCCTTTCATGTTAAACTCTCACGGGGTATGGGAGAGATTGAGTCTCAAGTCACGTGGGATGAGTTTCTGGGAATATCCGCTCCCAAATCTCGAGATCATAATATTTTCTACTTATATTCTTTGGCGGCTCTTCGATTTCTCCTGCAACAAACTCGGTCTTCGAGTACCTAGATTCACCTATATGTTGATCGTGAGTTTTCTAATCTATAAATCTCACACACCCCACGTTTTCCATTTCAATAATTAGATACGTACGATATGCATGCATGACCTAAATGCAATGTCTTGTTGTTGAAGGCAGGGGTAATTTTAGGTCAAACTTGTCATTTAAACAACAGCTCCTGGCTCCACAACATATTTTTCCCTGATGATAACCGACCAAAGGTCGCAGAGACTCTAGGCGCTTTCGGGTTCCTTTTATATTGGTTCCTGAAAGGCGTGACAATGGATGCTGGGATGGCATTGAGGATGGGGAAAAAAGCAGGCGTGATCGGGTTCAGCACAATGTTTGTACCCTTGATTTGTGGCAACTTTATGTTTAGGTGGAGATCTCGAAGAGGCAATATAAGTTTGTTAACGACGGAGTACAGGTTGATCATATTCCTGCAAAGCATATCCGCGTTCACAAGCGTTGACACACTCTTAAAAGACCTCAAGATCAAACACTCCGAGTTTGGTAGGATCGCGCTTTCAGGGGCCATGGTAACCGATATGTTGGCTTTTATTATATCGTTTTTGAACGCCATGCATTGGGAAGGATATAAAGGAGTGATCCAAACCTTATGTGCCTGTTTGTATTTTGCCTTTATGATCTACGCCGTGAGGCCGGCTATGTATTGGGTGATACAGCAGACTCCAGAAGGGAGGCCGGTCAAGGATATTTACATCTACTTGATTTTGGCGCTCGCTTTCTTGTCCTTCAAATTTTTTCAGATGATTGGACTTTTTGGAGCCGCGGGATCGTTTGTTCTCGGCTTGACTGTTCCTGACGGATATCCTTTAGGAGCTGTTTTGGTTCAAAAGTTTGAGAGCTTTAATCTTGGAGCTATCTTCCCACTTTTTGGTTCAGTGAGCATGATGCAACTAGATCTCTCATGGTTGCTCAGAGAGTGTGGAAGTCTCGTACGGAGGGAGGGTGAACTTTATGAGGTCGTTTCCTTTATACTTTTTGTGAATACCATAAAATTCATTACTTCAACCGTGGCCGCTTTTGCTTTTAAAATGCCCTTAAGAGACTCCTTTGCTCTAGCCCTTGTTCTTAATAATAAGGGGATCTTCGAGCTCGCCTACTTCACGTATGCAGTTGAAATCAAGGTACAATCAATTTCTATACATTTATTTATGAAAAAAAAAAGATTATATGTTTTTTTGTTTATTATAAAATTAAATCAATATTGAATATCTCCAACAGAGAATAAGGCCAGAGATTTTCACAGTCCTAGCTACATTCATCCTCTTGAACTCTATCTTTATACCAATGGCCTTGGAGCTCGTCCATGACCCAACCAAAAGATTCAAATGCTACCAAAAAAGGAATTTGATCATCTTGAAAAAAGGCGCAGAGCTCCAATCTCTTGTATGCATCTACAAACCTGATCACATAACTTCAATGATCAACCTTTTGGTCGGTTTAAACCCATCACAAGATTCGCCAATGGCGTGCAACATACTCCACCTCATCGAGCTTGTGGGTCAAGCCAGTCCAATGTTCATTTCCCACCAGTTGCAACAACCAGAGCCCGGAAGTATTTCTTGTTCTGACAGTGTCATAACCTCCTTCCGTCGCTTCCACAAAGAATTCTTTGACCATACATCATTGGATATATTCACTTCTGTCTCCATGTTTAAACACATGCATGAGGATATTTGTTGGGTTGCATTATCCAGAAGCTTATCTCTGATTCTGCTTCCGTTCCATCGAATATGGTCTGTTGATCGATCCTCGGTTATCTCCAACGATGATAAGCTCAGAATGATCAACATTAACGTCCTAAAACGAGCCCCTTGCTCTGTTGGAATCTTCATTTATCGGAAACCCATCATTGAATCTCATATGAGTGGGTACCATAGCAAGGTAACACGTGTGGATCTATCATTTCATTTAAAAAGAATATTTATCCATTTGCATATGAGGAAATAAAAACCAAAACTAATTCTTCTTTTATAACAAAAAAATAATAATATTTGCAAGGTGTAAATGCAAACATCAAAAGCACTTGTGGTGCTTGCATTTTGCATTTGTGTTTGGAATGCACATGCAAAATGCTGGATAATAGTGTATAACCTTATCTTCTCTGCAGATCTGTTTAATTTTTAACGGTGGAAAAGACGATAGAGAGGCTTTGGCGATAGCGCATCGAATGAGACTGACGGAAAAACGGATAAGCCTAACTATCATAAGATTCATTCCAAAATTTTTAGAAATGGAGAACCAGGAGCTGGAGGAGACCATCCAAATGGTTAACCTGGAGGAGACCGTGACTAACATTATTGGGGATAGCGTCCACGAAAATGATGACTGCGTGACATATATTGATAAAGCGGTTTCCGATGGCTCGGAGACCTCCAAAATCTTACGAGGAATAGCACATGATTTCGACTTGTTCATAGTCGGAAGAGGCAGCGGAGTAGGTACTGAGGCTACTAGTGGAATCACTGAGTGGACAGAGTTCGACGAATTGGGACCCCTTGGAGATTTATTAGCATCACGTGAGTTTCCTTCTAGAGCATCTGTGTTGGTTGTAAAAAAACAAGAATACATTCATCATACCAAAAGCCAAAAATGGATATCTAAGTAAAGTTTGATTTTGTATTTGTCTACATCAAATATTAGTTTTTAGGATGTATGAAATATATAAAGTTTGGGGAGTACGATGATTCGTGTTTCTTCTGAATATGATAACTTCAAGATATTGATCACTTCTTCAAAATTACACTACTTTAATTTTCTCACTTATTTAGTGTCTGCTAGTTCAATTCTGACTAAGAACCGCTAACCATCTTTCAAAATATTATTTATAAATAAGGAATTTGTGAATCGCCGGCAGATCCTGCATGAGCATCTTCCAAGTTCCAACTTTAGTTGCTATGACACAATTCAAAAATAGATTCTCTTATTCACAACAAAATAGGAAAACGCGCGTTATAATTTTCTTATTAGGCGTAAATAGATTAATTTTAAGGCCTAAATGGGTTGTTTTCTTAAAAATGGGTATTTAGAGTGTCCAAGGATATCATGTTATTTTAAAGCAATACAACTTTCAAACGCCAAAAAAAAAGAAGAAAAAAATAACACGTGAACACTACTATATTTATCCATAATCTATGTTTGTTTGAGAGATAAATGATTGGATCTGTGAGAAACCATTTAACCGGTCTTTTTAGTTCTTCATTTGACTGAGGAAAAAAAAAGAAGCATTTTCATTGATACGACGATTTGTTCCAAATGGATGTGCAAGAGGCGGCTTGGCACAAAGAGATCTGGGATGGTCATGTGAAAAGAGAAAACATGGGGAAAGAGATGATTTGCGATGTATCTCCACACGTAATGTTGAACTCACACGGCGTGTGGGAGAAATTAGCTTCTGGATCTACAGGAATGTCTTTCTGGGAGTACCCTCTTCCTAAGCTAGAGATCATAATTCTCTCCACATTCATATCATGGCGTTTCTTTGATATGTTGTTCAAGAAGTTAGGTGCTCCTATTCCAAGGTTCACATCCATGATGCTTGTAAGTAATTACGTGTATATTTCGAATATTAAGACCTGATAGGCTGCGTGTGCGGATAACATGTATAATATGTTTTTTTTCTTTGGTCTTGTTCTTGAAGGTCGGGGCAGTCTTAAGCGAGCCGTTTCAGTCGACGCAGATGTCATGGTTTCGACACATCTTTATCTGTGACAGTTACATGCCAAATGTTGCTGAGACCATTGGTACATTTGCTTTTGTCCTAAACTGGTTCCTGAGAGGCGTGACTACGAATGTTGGCATGCTTAAAAAGTCCAGAACTAAGAGTGTCGTTATTGGAGTCACCTCAATGATATTCCCATGGTATATCGCAAAACTGACCTATTCAGGTAGAGAGAAATCAAGTATCTTAACCATGACGAATCAAGAGTATAGTGTAATTATATTCGCCATGAGCATGTCGCCCTTCACTTGCATCAGCACGCTCCTTACAGACCTTAAGATAGTTCACACTGAGTTCGGCCAAATCGCTCAGTCGTCGGGAATGATAATCGATATGTTTGCTTTTTCCATGAGTGTATGGACTCGCGTTGGCCAAGATTATTATACTGGTACGCGGCTGGGAGTTGCTTTCATGGTCTTCTTCGTTTTCATGTACCTTGTGCGACAAGCCATGCTTTGGGTGATTAGACACACACCAGAAGGAGTACCGGTGAAGAACATCTATCTCTATATTGGTCTCTTGCTAGCTTACGTTTCTTACCTTTACTGGACTCACTTCTTGTTCTTCGGGCCGTTGGGTGCATTTCTTCTTGGTTTGGCTATCCCGGATGGGACGCCATTAGGATCAGTATTTATACAAAAATTCGACAGCTTCAATGAGGGCATCTTCTTACCCCTCTTTGGATCACTTACCATGATCAAACTAGATTGGCCATTTCTAGTTAAGGAGCTTGCAAATGTAAAACATCTCCATGGACATGTCTACGAGTGTTTTTCCTTCATTTTCCTCATATACCTAGCGAAATTCTCGACTTCTTTCTTAACAGCCATAGCTACAAAAATACCTTTGAGAGACTCGTTGATCCTAGGTTTCATTTTGGGAACCAAGAGTAGTTTTGAGTTGGCTTTCGTACTCCAGGCCTTCGAAAAAGACGTAAGAATCTATCGTGTTGCTACAAGCCTACAATCATATAGCTCTTAATTTTGCGTATCTTCTTCATTTTATTGTTTCTCCGTCTTTACACAGAGAATTAGTTTGGAGGTTTTCACGCTCATTGGCATATACATCCTCGCAAACTCTTTGTTAACACCAATGGCTATACACTTCTTGTATAACCGGGAGAAGAGATTCTCGTCTTACGGGAAAAGAAGCTTGAAACATAAGTCGGATCTACAAATGTTGGTGTGCATCAACAAGCCTGACAACATAACATCCATGATCAGCCTTCTAAAAGCAGCTTCACCATCAAAAGACTCTCCAGTGGCGTGTTGTGTTCTTCACCTAATTGAGCTAGTGGGTAAAGCCACTCCCACGTTTATCTCCCACCAGCTTCAGAAACCAAAGCCTGGAAGCCGGTCTTACTCCGAGAATGTCATAAGCTCTTTCCAACTGTTTCGAGCGGTTCACCCCGGCTACACTTCTATACACATGTTCACCTCTATAACTTCGGCTAAAGAGATGCACGATCACATTTGTTGGTTTGCTCTTGATAAAAGTTCGACTCTTATTCTCCTCTCTTTTCACCGCACTTGGGGTGCTTACGGGAGTAGCGTCATCTCGGACGATCAAACACTGAGAAATCTTAACCGTAATGTCATGAGACGAGCACCTTGCTCTGTCGGAATTCTTGTTTATCGCAAACCAATCTGGCAACCCAAATCCATAGATTCTCCATGCCGTGTACGCAAACTCTTCATCCTACATTGTTTTTACTCGTTCATAAAATTTTATCTTTTTATTTATAACTCGCTTTGGACCATTGACTGTGAGAGAAATGAATGTAGGTGTGCTTGATAAACGTGGGCGGAAACGATGACAAAGAGGCCATGGCATTAGCAGACCACATGAGAGGTAACCAGAAAGTGAGTCTAACGGTGCTGCGTCTGATCCCTACGTCTAAATCCGACGAGAGCAGCGAGTGGAGTCAGAGTCAAAGGGTAGACATGAGCGAGGATGAAGAGAGGACTGAAGATGACTCCATCGTGTACATTGTTAGGGTGGTGGCGGATGGTAGAGAGACTTCAAAGATTTTGCACTCTGTGGCTTATGACTATGATATGTTCTTGGTCGGGAGAAGTAGTGGAGTTGGTACTTTAGTCACCAAAGGACTCGGTGATTGGATGGAGTTCGACGAACTTGGAGTCATTGGAGATTTGTTAGCATCTCAAGATTTTCCTTCTAGAGCCTCCGTCTTGGTCGTCCAACAATAATAAGAATGAGAGAAGTAGCCTTTTTCCTAAAATTACATTTAGCTTCAATCTTGTTTTCATTTCCTTTTTTTTTATTTCACCCACAGTAGATTTTTGTCTTGTAATGATTACAAACATGTACAGTGTGGGAAGAGATATGAAACAAGATAAGAAATTCATACAGAAACCATGGTTGAGATTTGAATCTGAAAAAAATATATACTAGTTAGTTAATTTTACTGATCAACCTCAAAGTGTTTCATTTCGTTCGAGTGTTAGTATCATTTAGAATTTTAGATCCCAAAGTGAAGGAAAAGAGAGAGAGAGAGAGAGAGAGGCGGGCGAAATTCTGCCGCCATATTTTACGTTTCATTCGAGGTTGCAACACTTGTTCTCTCTTAAACCCTAGTTTCAACCTCTTTCCTCCTCCTCACTGAGTTTTTGATGTTAGCGATTCGATCATCAAATTACTTCCGATGCAAATCTTCTCTCTGTACTAAGACCCGATTTTCTCAATTCTCCTCCGTCTTGTTCTCTTTCAGCCGCCAAATTTCCCCCTCGCGCTTTAGCTCGTGCCACAGAGCCATGTCTTCCTCTCGCCCTTCCGCATTTGACGCTCTCATGTCCAATGCTCGCGCATCCGCCAAGAAGAAGACGCCCCAGGCCTCTACTCCGTCTCGCTCCCCGAACAAAAGGAAAATCTCGGAAACCCAAGACGCTGGTTTGGCCCAAACTCTTGTTCCGGAAGGTAAACTTTCGAAAACGGAGAATCCGGTGGAACCCACTTCTGATTCCGCAGAACCCAGATCGGATGCGCCGTCAACTGCTGGAGACTCAAAGAACGGAACGAAAAAGTCTAGGTCTTTGAGCCAGGCGGAGAAAATTGACGAACTGAAGAGCAAAATTGGACTGCTGAAGAAGAAGCCCGGCGATTTCAACCCGGAAAATGTGTCTTGTTGGGGGAAAGGGGAGAGAGTTCCGTTTCTGTTTGTCGCCTTGGCTTTTGATCTGATTTCAGCTGAAAGTGGCCGGATTGTGATCACTGATATCCTCTGCAACATGTTGAGAACCGTTATTGCCACCACTCCCGACGATTTGGTCGCTACTGTCTATCTTGCGGCGAATGAGATTGCTCCTGCTCACGAAGGAGTGGAGTTGGGGATTGGTGAAGGTTCCATTATCAAGGCAATCTCCGAAGCTTTTGGTAGAACTGAGGCGCAGGTTAAGAAGCAGAATACGGTAAGTTGATCTTTTTCTTCTACTGGTGGAATGTTATAAGGTTTTTGAATAAGAAAATCAGCAGTCCTGAAATATAAGTTTTTGTTGTTTACTTTATTACTACTCGATTTATAGGAGCTGGGAGACTTGGGGCTTGTAGCAAAAGGAAGCCGTTCGTCTCAGACTATGATGTTCAAGCCCGAACCATTGACTGTTGTTAAGGTTTTCAACACATTTCGACAAATTGCTAAGGTACCTAAAAGCCACAGTTGTTTCTGAATTTTGAATGTTTGAAATTTGTGTTTTGTGTTGGTTGAGATTAATCAACCTTCTATCGCCTGACTGCAAATGAGATGAGTGGCACTATTGCGTGTTAATTATCACAGGAAAGTGGAAAAGATAGTTCAGAAAAGAAGAAGGACCGAATGAAGGCACTTCTTGTGGCAGCAACAGACTGCGAACCTCTTTACTTAACTCGTTTACTTCAGGTACGCAGATCAATCGTCACGATTTTTTCTGCTCGTTTCTTTGGGTCCCTTAATAAGCCCTGCTGAATTTACCTTCCAGGCAAAATTGAGGTTAGGGTTCTCAAATCAGACTGTCTTAGCTGCCTTGGGACAAGCAGCTGTGTATAACGAAGAACACTCAAAGCCACCCTCAAGTACCAAGTCTCCTTTAGAAGAGGTTTGATTTCTCTTTTGGTTTTTGTTTTTTTAGTTTTTATATCAGATTCCATTCTTTCTGACTTCTGTGAGAAACAATAGATTTTGTTAGGTATTATAAAGATGTTACATGATGTGGCTTTAGGCTCTGTCTAGCATTCTTCTAGAGGCCTCGCTATTTAATGTTGTCATTTACACTTCTTTCCTTGATTCATCCTTCTGCTTGGTCTTTGTAGGCTGCAAAGATTGTCAAACAAGTGTTCACTGTACTTCCTGTCTATGACATTATTGTTCCTGCTCTTCTTACTGGTGGTGTGTGGAATCTTCCTAAAACTTGTAACTTTACACTGGGTGTTCCAATTGGACCTATGCTTGCAAAACCAACAAAAGGTGTAGGTGAAATTCTGAATAAATTCCAGGACACCGTTTTCACATGCGAATACAAATATGATGGAGAACGTGCGCAGGTGATATTTAGGCGTCTACTTAAATCTGATGAATGATATTCATAGAGTGTTGTTAATTTAAATATGCCGTTAAGGTTTGGCTTATCAGCAATCAATTACTGCAGATACATTGTATGGAGGATGGTACATTCGAGATATATAGTCGAAATGCTGAAAGAAACACTGGGAAGTACCCCGATGTTGCTCTTGCGTTATCAAGGTAGACTACTGGTTTCACTTGTTAAAAATATTAGAAAGAGTCAATCTTCGTACTGAAATTAGTGGATCTCCTCAATGCAGATTAAAGAAGCCCTCTGTGAAATCGTTTATCCTGGATTGTGAGGTTGTTGCTTTCGACAGGGAAAAAAAGAAAATTCTTCCATTCCAGGTAACTCATGAGCGAATAGTTAATTTATTTTACTTGAAGTTAGCTACTTTAGCTATATAGCTTGCTGGCTAGTTTTTTACAGTTCTTTTTTTTCGCAGATTTTGAGCACCCGAGCTCGTAAAAATGTGAATGTGAATGATATCAAAGTTGGCGTATGCATCTTTGCTTTTGACATATTATATCTAAATGGCCAACAACTTATCCAGGAGAATCTGAATATTCGCCGAGAGGTGAGTCAGTAAATCATATTTTTTTTCCATTTTCTTTGGTTTGATGAAGTAATTGTTATGCTTGTGCAAATATGTAACTGTTTGTGTTGACATTGTTTCTAGCAGAAGTTATACGACTCGTTTGAGGAAGATCCTGGATATTTCCAGTTTGCAACTGCTCTAACATCCAGCGATATTGATGAAATACAAAAGTTTCTTGACGCGTCTGTTGACATTGGGTATATATCTTACACTTTTCATTATGTGTTCTATGGATGAAAATTGTGTTTTTAGCATTTGACGCATGCTTGTTGTGAATTCTCTACGCTACTATTTCTCCATGTTACATTGGCCTTGACATTTTGATCTCTATGTTGTTCCAGTTTGTCATCTAAATATGTTCTTTTGCAGCTGTGAAGGTTTAATCATTAAAACATTGACTTCTGATGCTACCTATGAGCCTGCAAAGCGATCGAATAATTGGCTAAAACTGAAGAAAGACTATATGGACAGGCAATTTTCTCTTTTAAGAAAAACTTTTGTTTTTTATATATTGAAATCTGAGTCCTTAACTGACCCTAGGGTTAAATGTGCAGCATTGGGGACTCTGTGGATCTTGTACCAATTGCTGCTTTCCATGGACGTGGCAAACGCACAGGTTAAAATCATATTGGGTGATAATTTTTCACCCTTCAAGGTTTGTTAATAAAGCTACATGCTTTCCTTCTAGGTGTCTTTGGTGCATTTTTACTAGCTTGCTACGATGCTGATAAGGAAGAATTCCAGAGCATCTGTAAAATAGGTCAGTCTAATGCACCTCTGCATTTTTATTTTTTTTGTATGTTGATTTTACGGTTTGGGCTACTAGGTACTGGATTCTCTGAAGCCGTGCTTGAAGAGCGGTCTACAAGTCTTCGCTCTAGAGTGATTCCTACTCCAAAAGTAGGATATTTCTTCCTTCTCTCTGGCCCTTTTTATTTTGCTGCAGTATCATATGCTTGAGTTGTTGTTGATTGTAATGAATCAAACATCCAGCAATACTACCGAGTTGGAGACAGTCTCAATCCAGATGTTTGGTTCGAGCCCACTGAGGTAGGAATTTTTTTTTTTTATTGCCTGGACAAATATCTGCAAAAAAAATACTCTCTTAAACGACTTTGATATGCTTGCGTTAAGGTCTGGGAAGTGAAGGCAGCTGACTTGACAATTAGCCCTGTGCATCGTGCAGCTACCGGCATTGTGGACCCTGAAAAGGTTTTTTAGCATTATCTGACTTCTTATTTTCTTCTTTTTCCATTTTCCGTTTCGATCAAAATTCTTCTTAGAATCCATTGAGAGCTATTTGATTTTCTTTTGAGTTGACTGTGAATTTGTTACCTACTGACTGTTTCAATTTTGGTTCGTTAAAAGGGAATTTCTCTACGTTTTCCTCGTCTACTCCGTGTACGGGAAGACAAGAAGCCAGAGGAAGCAACATCATCCGAACAGGTGAAGTCTCATCTTAACCACAGTCTTGTTTATACAGAGGCTGTACTGGAATGACAAGACCAAGCTGGTTTTGAAGTTCTTTTCCCTTTTCTAATTTTCAAATTTCTCTGCATATTTTCAGATTGCTGATATGTACCAAGCTCAGAAGCACAATCATCCAAGCAATGAAGGCAAAGGTGACGATGATTGAACAACTGTAATCTGGTCTTGGAGCCTATTTAATTGTATGTACTTACGGTGCTTCTAAACAACATGTTTGAGTTTTCAACCGTAACTGCTAATGAAAAACTTTTTTTAGAGAAAGTTAATGAGAGGTTCTGGGGAAAAAAAAAAGAGTTGTTCTGATTCATGGCCACGCTAATCAGTATATACGCCCATTGTTGACATGCTAGAATAGAATAACCACAAATGTGCAAAAAAAATTGTACGCTCATCAACCTTGCATCGTTTCACACACTGAACTGGCTCTGGGATGAATAAATCATGCTCTGTTTGATATAAATGGACACAACTGTGGGGTTTTATTGGGCTTACTTATAAACCAATATATTATATCATTAAATTTAAACCCAGAGTTTCTAGTAATTAATATGTTTATAACTAAGCCCAATAAAACCCAAAAGCTAACTTAGGAATGAGTGACACTTCTTCAGAGTAGATTAGTTATGTGGTCTTGTAACCGAGGTGTGACATATAACAGATTTGGCCATTTCGGCCGAGTAAGAAGCCCAATATACTTAGAACCTCTTTGTCACACAGAGGTTTCGGTCATCTTTTTCTTCCAGACTGAAACTGAAACGCTTTTAGGAAAAACTCTCACTGCCTCCCTGGAGAGTGGAGGAGACCAACGATTGATAAATCGCCCTAGTTTTTGTTTCGTCGGACGAAGAACAAATGGATCCCGACAGGTATCTCATGATATAAGGCAATTTTTGTTTCATCCATAAATAATCTTCGCGAAAAACAGTCGAGTATGGTCTTTTGGGTTCGGGAACGATCATATTAGCTATATACACTTTAGCTTATTTAGTAATTGTTATCTTGTGACTTGTTTTCACGTTTCGACCTATCTGTTTAGTCGAGATCTCGCTGTTTCAGGTAGAATCATTCCCAGTCTGAGATTTCCCCTCTGGATTCTTTTGACGATTAGTTTTTTTTTCTATATATTTCAGAAACATTTTAGCTAGTTTGTTTTTGGTTTTCGAACTAAGTAGCTGAACAAATTTGACAATATTGCTGTATCATTAGGTTGAATTCTCCAAGCACCTGTACAATAACCCTTGAGGTTTTGGGGCACAAGTTAAACTTTGCTCAGGTATGATAACTCTTATATTCCTTGTATTCTCACATTTAAAGTAGACACAATAGAATTTTAGATCCCAGCTGCCTTTTCGGCTACTTCACTTTTGTTCATTCTATGTGACATCTCCCATGTTCTATGCTTCCAACGCTATGTCATAATTCCACAATACTACATGGAAGGATCCAAATTCGAAGCATTTAGGAACAACCGTGTGGGATGCCTCCATGGTATTTGCCAAATATCTGGTATGAATGATCCTCGTCCCGCTTGAATGCAAGGATTACCCTTCGGTAGTTATTAAAATATTTAAGAGAAAAAGAATTTCATTCGAGATTGCGACACTTTACAAGAAAGACTTATCAGACTTCCCCGTCGCTTTAAAATGGTTTCAGGGGAAAAATTGCAGGAAGGGAAGGTTTAGTCCGTCTAAACTGAAAGGGAAACGTGCTATTGAGCTAGGAGCGGGTTGCGGCGTTGCAGGATTTGGTATGTGGATACATGTATGTATCGATATCTTCTTGAAGATTCTCCTTTTTTTTTTAATGTATGACTACATCTCTTCTTCAAACTCTGGGAATTTGCTATCTTTAAGCGGAGTTTGTGTTCGTGTGTCAGCTCTGGCGATGCTAGGCTGTGATGTGGTATCAACTGACCAAAAGGAGGTTTTGCCGCTGCTAAAGAGGAATGTAGAGTGGAATACGTCCACGATCTTGCACATGAATCCTGGTTCAGGTTTGTGTCACTAATGTCTTCTCTAAGTTGCCTTCACGCCTTTCTTTTACTTCTTTGATTCTGTGGTATCTACAGCTTTCTTCATATTTGCTATGCCAAGGAAAAGTTTGTAGTACCAACTCGTGATGGGAAGCTTTTATCCAGTTTGCAAGAAGATATCGGATGGTTTAGTTAGTTTCTAATGAAGTGTGTCATTCCTCGCAGCATCGTTTGGATCGCTCCGAGTCGCAGAACTTGACTGGGGAAATGAAGATCATATAAGGGCCGTTGAGCCGCCATTTGACTATGTCATCGGTACTGATGTTGTAAGTTACTCGGAATCTTCGAATGATTCACTATAGTTGTGTTTAGTTTTACTAAGACTGGTTTACGCCTAAGGGAGTGACTGATCTCACCTTGTTTTTGGGTAAAAGGTATACGCTGAGCAGCTTCTGGAGCCTCTATTGAACACGATACTTGCGCTCTCAGGGCCAAAGACAACAGTTATGGTATGAATTAAGATACGTGGGATTGACTTACTCTTATCATTGGAACTACAGGATGATTCGAGTGTTGTTTTTTTTAGTTGGGATATGAGATACGTTCGACGATAGTTCATGACAAAATGCTTCAGATGTGGAAAGACAACTTCGAAGTCAAAACCATACCGAGATCAAAGGTAGATAAATAACATTGATTAATGGTTTACAGTCTGTGTCAAGTTTCGTGAATTACGCGACCGCTTATTCTGGAATGAAATCTGCAGATGGATGGCGAATACCAAGACCCGAGCATTCATCTGTACATCATGTCACAGAAATCTTCTGCGGAGAGCTCAGGGAACGCGACCCAAGATGAAGTTGTCGACACGGCTGAAACAAAGTGTGAGTCAAAAGTCTCAACCATGGAAGAGGAAGCCGTTGCTACACATCGTCCCCGTCTTAAAGAAGATAGTTTGTTGATGAGACTACGGGACGGAAAGCTGAGTGAGTGGGAGATGAGAAGGTATGGTACAGTTGCTGCACAGCTTCTCCGTGAAGTTAAGATAGATGTTCAGGTGCGTATATACACCATTGTTAATATGAATTCTGTCTTGTCTTATTTAAAAAAAAAATTGAAATCGTACTTGAGTACATTTTTCCTTCATTTTGTTTGTAGGTGAAAAAATGAGTTTGCAAAAGCCACCTTCAGAATCAGAGTTGTTCCCCAAGATGTCAACCATTTTTCCTTTTTTACTTTTGGTTTCATGGACAATGTATACAATGAATCCTCCAGACTTGTTTCTTTCAATGATTGCCTGTGCTTCAGAGCTGTGCTTCAAGGACTAAATTCGCTTATTAAATTTGAAGAGTGTAGTAGTTATTTCTTGTACCAAATAACTCACATATATATCAAGAAACAGACGACATTCAAACATAATTCGTGACATCAAACTTATTCCCATTGATAACGACTTATTTAACTTATCACTGATAACGACTGTTGTTTCTTTTATTCGCTAAAACAGGAAAGATCTTAAGTTGAATGCAAACTCAGGTGGAATGAACACAAGAACACAGATGGCGCAATCGGCACTACATCAAGCTGCGTTTCCGGTTGTTGTCCCGATAGTCTTGAGATCAAAGATCTCGATCCAATAGCCATCAGGATCCTTAATGAAAGCTATATTCTTCATCTTTCCTGCAAAGTCCACATTGAACAAAGGATTCAAACCAGATTCCCCAAAACAGCCGCAAAAAGGAAATATCAAAATGTTTATCGGTTTTAGCTGGTAACTGTAATACCATCGTTGGGTTTCTTGACAAACTCTACTCCCAATTGTTCAAATCTCTCGCATGCCTTGTGCACGTCATCAACGGTAACCCCGATGTGCCCTGTAACAACAACAGCAAATATGTTTACACTTGTATTAATATAAGCCTCAATTAGTAGGCTTACTTTAACTAGGGTCATATTGATGATATGTATCCTAGCCACTAAATCTAAAGCACACCCGAAGCTACTTAGTTACTTATGAATGTAGAGGCATACAAAAGGTAGAGACTTTACCAAATCCACGAGGCTCGGAGTTCCCATTATGATAACCTTTAAACTCGGGGTCACTCTCTGTGCCCCAGTTGCTGAGAAGAGACATTTATATGTAAAGAACGTTCAATGCAAGAAAAGAAAGGTCCTTCTGATATATGTTTCTTACTGAGTCAGTTCAATTGTTGCCGGCCGACCAAAGGTCCAAGCCGTTCTCTCAGTTGGATCGGTTGGAGCTGTCGAAGTGTCCTGTACCATAATAAGTTAAAAATCAAAACCCAGCTTGTTGCTCTCCACTAAGGATCAAGCACCCAAGAGAAATATCTATATTTGTCCAAGCGATGCAGAACAAGAAAACAGAAATAATGCTAAAATCTAACAAGTTCACTTTTTTATGTGCTGGAGCTCCATTCATGAGTTCCTAGAGTATGAGAGAATGCTTTAGTTCCCCTCTAGCTTAGTGAAGTAAACCAAGCGAATGAAATTCTACCTCGTAGCCCAGGAAGTACAAACTAAATTTCATCTCAGAGAAATCCAGCCTCTTCAGCAATCTGGAAAAATAAAAATCAAAATATAAAGAGCTTCTAAAGTCTATAAACGTTGAGAACAGAACAATGGGGACTTTATGTTGACAGAACGCATATGCATTTGTAACTTTAAGAGAGAAGATCATTCCAGAGGTGACAGAACTTACGACATTCCCAGCACACGTGAGTAAAAGTCAAGACTAGCCTTGGGGTCCTTGATCCGAAACATCTAACAAAAACATGGCAAAATCTAACAAATATCAGCTGTTCAAGTTCAAGTAGAAAAAAGAAAGGAAAAAAAATACTATTTTAAACAAAGACGAAACAAGACGAGTTTCAACACCTAAGCACAACAAGAGTAAACTCTATAACTTGGTTCAGTCTCCTTCTACAAAATTCCTCGTCATTCCTAATACTTATAGTTCTTAAGTGAAGATAGTCTACTAAGACCAAGAACCCAATGTCAGTTCTTAAGTGCAGACATGTCAGTCAACTTACTCTGAGTTGGACTGATAATTTGGGTTTTCTCACTAGTTATCCTTCAGATAACATTCACAGGCACCTAAGAGCCCCCAAACACACAACTTTGGTTTCCAGTACAGAAATTACGGATCTTGATCAACAGAATCGCAAAATCGAAGCAGAGGAATCTTACAGTCTGCTGCATGATATACCCATTTGTAGCCTCATCCCGAATCGCTGACAAGCCAGGATTGTTTGCTGGTGATTCCTTCGCTTCCGACGCCATAGAGAACACACGAAGCTGATCAAATCTCTACAAACATCGAAACAGACCCAGATGAACTAAACAACACACATCACAGTCGAATCCAAGAAAAGGGGATGCCAGAAAAAAACGTATAAACCTTAGGCCTCTGGGCTCTGTTGCATGGACAAGTGATGAAAGAAAAATCGGTGGAATAAGGTTTAACGAAGCGGATTAGAGGCGAAATTCGAGATATAGCACTTGCTAGTATTGAGTACGAACCCATTATACACACTAAATCCTTGGATTTTCTCACAGAAGTATTTGAAAAGGCAAAAGGGAAAGGAGAGTTTTTTACCGCTGTTGTAAAGCTTTAGACGATGAACTGACCGACAGCAGCAGTGGGTTCCTGCGTGTGGAAGAGCTTCGGTCGGCTCAATTGCGTTTTGTGTCCAGAGACTCTGGGATTAGTTTGTAAACGACGTCGTTGCATGTGCATCAAACCTTTATTACGGGATTAGTTACAAACGACGTCGTTGCATGTGCAGTATTTAGTACGACGTCGTTGCATGTGCATCAAACCAGTATTGATGTAGACCGAATCCGTTGCGGTAAGCCGATTTGACCAGTATGTGGCTGAGTAAACGGAGATAAATTACTGGCGAGTAAAATGTCTTTCTGGTGAAGATATTTTTATTGCTGATGAAATATACAAGAATATATGCTTGGTTAATGTCTAACTTATACGCTGTCATTGTGTTTTATATATCTTAATTAACATCATGTCGTCATTACGTTATATATAAATAAAACAACATTGGATTGAAATGGTAAGTTTGACATGTCTTAGCGTATTGTAATTTTAATCAATCAATTTAATAATCAGATTATATAACATTCCAAGATTCTAAATGTGCCCCGTCGTCGTTTTAATATTGTTGTTGAGGTCATATTTGTTAGCTGGAGATTTGAATATTCATATGAACAAATTGATTAGCAAGTAGCTCATTAAAAAGGAAAGGTATCTCAAACACATTACTATAAATGTATATAACAGTTATGATGATATCATCAATAAGTTGACTTCTCAAATTGGACAGCAAATTTTTGTCTTTTCTCAAACCCTAACAGTCCTCACCAGAGGGAACAGCGGACTCGTCAGCAAGATTGATTCATACAAGTACTATGAATATTCTACGGCAACTACGGTGAACATACAAATGCGCATATATGTGTGTTCAGATACGTATATCTACACGTATGTATTTTTGGTGAAAAATTAGTACATACACGTATATTCTACCTATCAATTGGCCAGAGTCGATTTAATATCCTTTATGTATTAAACCGGAGACCCTTTTTCATTTACATATTATTAAAAATTGTGATTACGTACGAATTCTTTTGTTCTTTAAGGTTGTACCTAACTCTGTATAAGCCCTTATAGTAATTAAATATTACGTCACATATTTATGACTTTTCTTCAATGTCTGTGTGTATAGTCGATAAAAACTGGAAAGTGAATTTGATAATGCTTTTTTAATGTCTGTAATTGATTTTCCAATTCGAACGTTGTGTGTGGTTATCTTTTCTTTATAGAAACTCCAATTTGCACATCTTCATTGATTTTATTTTTTTAATATTTGTACTAAAAAGTTTATGGATATATTGTTTTAAAAATAAATTTAAACTATTATTTTTGACGTTTATAATTATATTCTTGCAAAGCGTATTACATGTCAAGTTTTCTTTGGTTTTAATATTAAGATTCTATTTTCAAGAATCGATAATATAATCTAAATTACCCATTACAAAAAAGTGGAAACATTAAGAGACAAACATAGCTAAACATGTAAAGAAAAAAAATACGAAATACAGTATAGATAAAATTGAGAAAAGAAGAAAAAGCAAGCTTTGGATGGAAAAGAAATGAGGTGATCATGAATTATATTACGATTCACGGAAAGTTGAAGTAGCACTGGTTTTGCGTGAATTTGCGGTGAAAATGATGGTATTCCACTACTTGTAATAAAGTAAGCAGAATCTTGTATGTGGGCAATCCATAAATTTAGCGAGAGAATCAATTTTTTTATAGTTTATTCGTACAATTGATTATTATGAAAGCACATATATCTCAAAACTAAACCTGTTTTCCAAAGAAAAAGAAACTAAAGCTGTTGATCTAATTGGTTAAAAACTTATGTTTTTTTAATACGAACTAATCCAAAACATCAAAGTATAATCATATATATAGTATATTTGGCTCTTGCGCCAATAAACCATGCGTCATGTGCTCTATATATATACAATTATCCAGTGTTTGTAGTATTATATTTGGAAGTCTAGTGGAATATATATATATATATATATAATTAAGACTTTTCTCAGAAAAAATAATATATAGTAAAATTTGTTGAAGTGATAAGCGATCGTAATATGTATGCAGCGAAGCCCCCTTGCGACCTTTATTTTTTTGAGAAAAAATCGTGACCTTTTCCAATATTCATATATCCAACTCCTAAATACGCAAGGAAAACTTTTTCTTTTTAACTTCAAATATCAAGGATTGTAGAAAATGAAAAACGATATAATCATTACACCTCTCGAATTTTGAATCATACCTCAACTATCCGTGAACCGTAACATTCCTACATCAACATATATTAGGTATTGAAGCAAGGCCAGATCAATGGTTTTAGGGTTCTTCTGGCAAAAAATAATAATATTTCAGTTCCTTAAAAAAAATTGAGTTTAAAAAAAAAAACTGAAATTTTTTTTACAAAATTATCTGAGATTTTTTAGTAAAATTTGGCTATGGAAATTTTAACCGTCATTGGACATAGAAGGGTGCTGAAAGTTACGATGACAAAATCAAATGGATTACACGTCCTTATAGACCACGCGACTTATTAATCGCATTTGGCCAACCTTTGGAATAAGCGTGAAACTTGTAAGATGCGTGCGGCGAAAATGGATTCCCCCCAGAATTAAAATTAAAACAATTAATTCGATTAGTTAGCCGTTGAGAATCTTCAAAGAATGTTTTTTTTTCTTTCAAATTGTCGACACTACCGAATCCTATATAAGCCCTAATTAATGTGTTCTCCAAACATCAATCAATAAACTTGAATCACACCTCAAACTTGCAAAGAAACTTGATATATTTTAGATCAATGGGTGATTCTAGTGGCCAGCCGGAAAACTCCGTGCATGGCGTCTCCACCCACAAGAAGGCCAAGTTCGACCTGCCGGTGGACAAGGAGGATAAGGCAACAGTTTTCAAGCTCTTCTCCTTCGCCAAACCTCACATGAGAACGTTCCACCTCTCGTGGATCTCTTTCTCCACATGTTTCGTCTCGACATTCGCGGCTGCACCACTTGTCCCGATCATCCGGGAGAACCTGAACCTCACGAAGCAAGATATCGGAAACGCAGGAGTTGCGTCCGTCTCGGGGAGTATCTTCTCCAGGCTGGTGATGGGAGCAGTGTGTGATCTTCTTGGTCCGCGTTACGGCTGTGCATTCCTTGTGATGCTTTCCGCACCAACGGTGTTCTCTATGACCTTCGTGAGTGGAGCCGCAGGGTTCATAACGGTGAGGTTCATGATTGGGTTCTGCCTGGCGACGTTTGTGTCTTGTCAATTCTGGATGAGCACAATGTTCACCAGTCAGATCATCGGTCTAGTGAACGGGACAGCCGCCGGATGGGGAAACATGGGCGGTGGCATAACGCAGTTGCTCATGCCCGTTGTCTATGAGATCATTAGGCGTTGTGGTTCCACAGCGTTCACAGCCTGGAGGATTGCCTTCTTTGTCCCCGGTTGGTTGCACATCATCATGGGAATCTTGGTGCTCACGCTAGGTCAAGATCTCCCTGGTGGGAACAAAGGGGAAATGGTGAGAAAGGGAGAAGTTGCCAAAGACAAATTTGGAAAGGTATCTCTATCTACATGACTATGTTCTCATAAAAATTACGCTGCATATGTTGTAGCTAGATGGATATATAAAAGGTTTTAACTCATGATTTCGTATAAATGGTGTAGATTTTGTGGTACGGTGTTAAAAACTACAGGACTTGGATTTTTGTTCTCCTATATGGATACTCCATGGGAGTTGAGCTGAGCACTGACAATGTTATCGCCGAGTACTTCTTTGACAGGTTTGTTTTGGACATTTGAGAAAACACTTTTCACTACGGTACTTTTGAATGACATAAGAGTAAACACTTATGCATGGTTTGTTCAGGTTTCACTTGAAGCTTCACACAGCCGGGATCATAGCAGCATCTTTTGGAATGGCCAATTTCTTTGCTCGTCCAGCAGGAGGCTATGCATCTGACCTTGCAGCCACTTACTTCGGTATGAGAGGGAGATTGTGGGCGCTGTGGATCATTCAGACGGCCGGTGGTCTCTTCTGTGTGTGGCTCGGCCGTGCCAACACCCTGGTTACTGCTATTGTAGCTATGATCCTCTTTTCTTTAGGAGCACAAGCCGCTTGCGGAGCCACCTTTGCAATCGTTCCCTTTGTCTCCCGGCGAGCCCTAGGCATCATTAGTGGACTCACCGGGGCTGGAGGAAATTTCGGGTCAGGACTCACACAGCTCCTTTTCTTCTCGACCTCACACTTCACAACTGAACAAGGGCTAACGTGGATGGGAGTGATGATAGTTGCTTGCACGTTGCCTGTGACCTTAATCCACTTTCCTCAATGGGGAAGCATGTTCTTGCCTCCGTCCAAAGATCCAGTCAAAGGTACGGCGGAGTACTATTATTGTTCGGAGTGGAATGAGCAGGAGAGGCAGGATAACAAGCATCTAGGCAGCCTCGCGTTTGCCGAGAACGCCGAGTCCGAGGGCGGCCGTCGCTCTGGGAACACACGCAACAGTGCTTGATACAATCAAAGATTTCATTTACGTGTAATGAAACAAACTGTGAGAAAAGAAACACACATTTCTTTATTCATATGCTTATATTGCGTTTTGCTTTTTGTGTTTTTATCTTTCTCTTGAATTTCTTTTGTTTGTTCGTACTGAGATTTTTATTTATTAAAAGCTCTTTTTGATTTAAGTGTGACCGGTAAAAAACAATTAATTGGGACTTAAAGCCGGTTTTTATTAAAGCTATTGCTCTTTTCGCTTTGAAAATCGTAACAGGCCAAGACATCATCATAGTCGAATACAAGAAAAAGGGGTTGCCAGAAAAACGTAAACCTTAGGGCTTCTGGGTTCTGTTGCATGGACAAGCGATGAAAGAAATTATAATCGGTGTAATAAGGTTTAGTGAAGCTGATTAGAGACGAAATTCGAGTTATAGCACTTGCTATTGAGTATGAGCCCATTACGTATATCTTTGGAGTTTCCAATTCGTAAAGGAAAAGGGAAAGGAGGGATTTTAACAACGTTGAATTGAAGTGGTAACTTTGACCTAGCTAGGCTATATATATAAAACTCAGCGTATGGTATAAATATAAATAAACCAACCAATCTAATAATCGAATTATATATGTAGTCCCAAGATTATAAATCTGCCCCGGCGTTTCCAGCTTTGTGTTTGGCCGGCGTTTCCAGACTTTAAATGTTATTTTTGACTCATATTTTTTTTTTTTGACAACGATCAAAATGATTTGCAAGCATCTGATATTTGAAAAACATTTCACACACATTACTATATACATATAATAATCATGACATCATCAATAAGTTGACTTCTCAAATTTGAACAGCGAATTGTTGTCTTTTCTCAAACCTCAACAGGCCCCAACACAGGGAACAGCAGTACGTCAGCAAGATTGATTTATAGTTTTGTACCAATTACCAAGTACCACGAATATGGTACGGCAACTATGGTGGACAATATACACATGCACATATACTGATATACATATATATACGTATGTCAGTTCCTTGTCATCTACAAGTACTTATAATATTTTTTTTTCGGTAAAGCTTATAATTTATTTTTCGATATAAAGCTTAATAAGCATAACTACCTATCAATTAGCCAGAGTCGATTCGATATCCGTTAATATTAAGATCAGAAACCTATTAATTTGTTTTATATGAGTATATATAATAAAAATGTGATTGGGGAATTTTTCGTTTCTTTAAAGTTGTATACATGTAATACCTTATAGTTATAATAATATATAGTTAAATTACGTTAGATATCTATGATTTTTGTCCAACTTTTTTGTTTCAGAGATTTTTTTTTTCCAAACCAGCAATCATTTAAAAAGAAATATATGATATTGCTAAATATTAATTACTGATTTACGAACTATCGAGCTTTTCATGTAATTGCGCTTACAAGTTGAAAATATACTGTATTGTTTTAAAAGAATTACTACAGAATTATCTATATTTATATTCATATAGTTTTCATAGTAAGTGGGGAATCTCAAAATTTAACGAAAAGAAACCCAAATTTCTAAAATATAGTCGTATAGTTGATAATTATGATTTGCTATAAACAAAAGTTGATTGTTGTGTAAACGCATATCAAAACTAAAACTGTTTTATATTTCCAAACACACGAAGTTAATATTTATATAACCCTTGCTCCAAAATAACGAAGTTAATATCTATATATTGTTTAAATGTAATCAATTGTATGTTTAAGTCTAATGGTGGACATGTAAAATTTCTAATGCCAATCAAATTATATACGTCATGTCCTAAATATAAATTTTCCAATTTTTTGTGGATTATTTCTGGAAGTATATAGTAAGTCAGTAAGCGATCATATTCAATTTTAAGAGACAACTAATAGGCAGCTAAGGCCACAATAAATTCCACCGTCCGAGAGACAAAAAATTACTTTATTCACTAAATCAAAATTATTCCTGTCTTTGATACTATAGAATATAGAGAAGTGCATTGATACCCTTAATAAATTATTAAGAATTAATGTCATCACTTTAGAATGGTTACAAATGTTGAATTAATGAGTAGCATGATGATGTGCTATCCCGTTCCGAGAAAAGAGTGGGAAATTGAGATTGAATGCAAACCTGAATCAGAGTAGTCAATGTAAGAAGTGAAAAGTAAGTGAACAAATTTTTTTGGGTAGAAACTTGTGTGAACTGAAACATAGTAGTCAAATTCACTATGCATATAGTAAAGTGTTAGGATTCAAGAATTGTGAGAACCGCAAAGAAATTATCGAATTCAGATCACATTATTTAACGAGAATCTCATAATCCCATAGCGTTCGTGGTTTTAAACATTGAACATTGACTTAATTGCATGGTGACTCACAAGAGAAGAGTAGTAATTAAAAATATCAAGACCACATAACACATATTCTCAATTTGAAGAAATCTACTTATCGGATCAAACTAAAACAATCCAGATAATTAAGTATCTGCTAGTTTTGTGCGCTAACGGAGAGAACAAAGATATAAGGGTTTTAGGTCATGAAAGTTACGATATATATATTAAATATATATATATATATATATTTAAAAAAAATTAGCCATGTCAAAAAGGATTTCAAGATATATCGAGTAATCAAAAAGGGTAAAGTTGTCATTTGAGAATATAGGCAACCTTTGGGATAAGCAAGAGACTAGGAAGATGCAATGGATTCCTCCTAAATAATAATACTTTAAAATCGTTAGTTAACCGTTGAGAATCTCCAAAGAATGCATTTTTTCAGTAGTCAACGCTAGAAATCATATATAACCATGTTAGCTCCAAACATTAAGCAATATTAACTTGAATCAAATCTAAAACTTTAAAAGAAACTTGAAAACAATGGGTGATCCTACTGGCGAGCCGGGGAGCTCCATGCATGGAGTCACCGGTAGAGAACAAAGTTTTGCTTTCTCGGTGGCTTCGCCGATTGTCCCAACCGACAAGACGGCCAAGTTCGATCTGCCGGTGGACTCGGAGCACAAGGCAACAGTTTTCAAGCTCTTCTCCGTCGCCAAACCTCACATGAGAACGTTCCATCTCTCGTGGATCTCTTTCTCCACATGTTTTGTCTCCACGTTCGCAGCTGCACCACTTGTCCCTATCATCCGAGAGAATCTCAACCTCACAAAGCAAGACATCGGAAACGCAGGAGTTGCATCCGTCTCGGGGAGTATCTTCTCTAGGCTGGTGATGGGAGCAGTGTGTGATCTTCTTGGTCCGCGTTATGGCTGTGCCTTCCTTGTGATGCTTTCCGCACCAACGGTGTTCTCGATGAGCTTCGTGAGTGGAGCCGCAGGGTTTATAACGGTGAGGTTCATGATAGGGTTCTGCCTGGCGACGTTTGTGTCTTGTCAATACTGGATGAGCACTATGTTCAACAGTCAGATCATCGGTCTGGTGAACGGGACAGCCGCCGGATGGGGAAACATGGGTGGTGGCATAACGCAACTGCTCATGCCGATGGTCTATGAGATTATAAGGCGTTGTGGTTCCACAGCCTTCACAGCTTGGAGGATTGCCTTCTTTGTCCCCGGTTGGTTGCACATCATCATGGGAGTCTTGGTGCTCAATCTAGGTCAAGATCTCCCAGATGGAAACCGAAGTACCTTGGAGAAAAAAGGCGAAGTTGCCAAAGACAAATTCGGAAAGGTAATATATCTATTTGAATATATGTCATAACTCCTGGCTATGTCGTAGGTAAGGTAGATGGATTAAAAGTTTAACACGTTATTTTGTATAAATGGTGTAGATTATGTGGTACGCCGTCACAAACTACAGGACTTGGATCTTCGTTCTTCTCTATGGATACTCCATGGGAGTTGAGTTGAGCACTGACAATGTTATAGCCGAGTACTTCTTTGACAGGTTTGTTTTCAATCTCAATTGGACATAGAAGAAACCACATTTAACTATATATATATTACTTTAATTTGGAATGACGTAAGAGTAAACACTTACATACATGGTTTTGTTCAGGTTCCACTTGAAACTTCACACAGCCGGGATCATAGCAGCATCTTTTGGAATGGCCAATTTCTTTGCTCGTCCAGCAGGAGGCTATGCATCTGACCTTGCAGCCACTTACTTCGGTATGAGAGGGAGATTGTGGGCGCTGTGGATCATTCAGACGGCCGGTGGTCTCTTCTGTGTGTGGCTCGGCCGTGCCAACACCCTGGTTACTGCTATTGTAGCTATGATCCTCTTTTCTTTAGGAGCACAAGCCGCTTGCGGAGCCACCTTTGCAATCGTTCCCTTTGTCTCCCGGCGAGCCCTAGGCATCATTAGTGGACTCACCGGGGCTGGAGGAAATTTCGGGTCAGGACTCACACAGCTCATCTTCTTCTCTACCTCACACTTCACAACTGAAGAAGGGCTAACGTGGATGGGAGTTATGATAGTTGCTTGCACGTTGCCTGTGACTTTAATCCACTTTCCTCAATGGGGAAGCATGTTCTTGCCTCCGTCCAAAGATCCAGTCAAAGGTACAGAGGAGCATTATTATGGTTCGGAGTGGAATGAGCAGGAGAAGCAGAAGAACTTGCATCAAGGAAGCCTCAAGTTTGCCGAGAACGCCAAGTCTGAGGGCGGCCGTCGCGTCCGCTCGCCTCCTGAGAACACTCCCAATAATGTTTAATCATACACCATTGACGTCAAGAAAATCAATGATTTCACTTAGGTGAAATGGAAACAAACTGTGGGAAGATAAACCCCAATTTCCTTCTTTATATGCTTTTATATCGCGTTTTAGTTTTTGTCTTTCTTGGTTTTCTTTTGTCTGCGTGCACCGAGTGTTTTTTTAATTAAAAGCTCTTTTTGATTGAAGTGTGCGTACGTGTTGGGAGTTTTACGGAATGTCTATAAATTAAGATTTAACATGGAAAAAAAAAACATGGTAATATAATACTGTTGCCGAAACACGAAATGTGAATTCATTCAACCAAATGTGAAATGTGCATATAAATGGATGCTTCTTTCTTTGATTCTTCGTGTCTTAAATATTTGTTTAAAATATGCACACTAATGATAAATATAGACTTTGATGCCAGTTTAGTTATCACGATACTTAGAAGAACATCACACGTCATACCATAACGTTTCGTCAGATGAAGTCAACTTAGACTTTCCTATGCAAATACTTGCATATTTTTCCTTACGTTTTGAGATCTAAGTATAAACAAATTAAAATGCAAATAAACATAATAAATGAATGATTAAACTAATTAAAATTAACATTTAAGATAATAGAATAAGAAACTTACAATAAACGCTCCTAATATAATTAATTTGGATTTTGGCACACAAATTTCTTTGTTTCCGGGGTTTAAGGGCCAACCTAAGCTCGGTCGTGCTAATTCCAAAAAGACACCCTAATCCGAACGTTTTTGTTTTAAAATCCCCGGTTTTGTTTTGTAATTAGATATCAAGGTTCCAACCTTGTTGAGTGGGGTTTATGGGTTTGGCCTTAATTGACATACCAAACATAATATATATGAAGTCCTTATTCAAAAAAAAAAAACATAATATATATGATGTCATGCGTTTTTGAAATCTAGAATTTGTGAAATTTAGATAATAATATTTGACAGAGTATATGAGTTAACTAATTTTAGACTGCATTTTTAGAAGAAAGCATGGAACCACGTTTTACCCCAAAAAAATCAATGAATAATTTTGTTTGGCAAGAAGAAATCACAAATTCTCGTTTGTAACATAAAAATCACAATTTTAATATAAAAGTTACGGATTCATATTTATTCTGGCATATAAATTGATGTTTTTTTTGGAAAATTGTGTAACCACATTTTTATTAGGGAAAACATTGAGATATGTTTTTGCTGGCACTTGTGGAAATATATATTTTGAGGAAAACAGTAAATCCTCATTTTTACTGTACTTTTGGTGAAAAATGTGAAATCGTGTTTTAACAGAAAATTTAAGTTGGAAAATAAGAATCACGTTATTTATTGATCTAGGATTTTATTTGGGCATTGGTAGGTTAGAGACTTTCGTTAATAAACTATTTTTTAGTGTGGTTGTAATTCTATAATGAATTGAACCAATAAACCAAGGAGTTTGCCACTTCCAATCTTATTACACGTAAGTGATATATCAAATCTCAATGGATATATATCTTGATTAGAACAAGATTTCTCGAAGCCGAAATCAAGACAAAGGATCCTTTAGAGAATGAAAGGTATATATTAAATAACGTTCTGCAAGCATTGATGATAACATTGGCATTTGTTTTCACTGTGGGACATATCTAAACCGTGACCATCCTTCACCACTTCCTTGTGGCTTGTATGATCAAACAATATTGTTGGGAGTGTTCTCAGGAGGCGTAGCAGCAGAGCGGACGCGACGGCCGCCCTCAGACTTGGCGTTCTCGGCAAACTTGAGGCTTCCTTGATGCAAGTTCTTCTGCTTCTCCTGCTCATTCCACTCCGAACCATAATAATGCTCCTCTGTACCTTTGACTGGATCTTTGGACGGAGGCAAGAACATGCTTCCCCATTGAGGAAAGTGGATTAAAGTCACAGGCAACGTGCAAGCAACTATCATAACTCCCATCCACGTTAGCCCTTCTTCAGTTGTGAAGTGTGAGGTAGAGAAGAAGATGAGCTGTGTGAGTCCTGACCCGAAATTTCCTCCAGCCCCGGTGAGTCCACTAATGATGCCTAGGGCTCGCCGGGAGACAAAGGGAACGATTGCAAAGGTGGCTCCGCAAGCGGCTTGTGCTCCTAAAGAAAAGAGGATCATAGCTACAATAGCAGTAACCAGGGTGTTGGCACGGCCGAGCCACACACAGAAGAGACCACCGGCCGTCTGAATGATCCACAGCGCCCACAATCTCCCTCTCATACCGAAGTAAGTGGCTGCAAGGTCAGATGCATAGCCTCCTGCTGGACGAGCAAAGAAATTGGCCATTCCAAAAGATGCTGCTATGATCCCGGCTGTGTGAAGTTTCAAGTGGAACCTGAACAAAACCATGTATGTAAGTGTTTACTCTTACGTCATTCCAAATTAAAGTAATATATATATAGTTAAATGTGGTTTCTTCTATGTCCAATTGAGATTGAAAACAAACCTGTCAAAGAAGTACTCGGCTATAACATTGTCAGTGCTCAACTCAACTCCCATGGAGTATCCATAGAGAAGAACGAAGATCCAAGTCCTGTAGTTTGTGACGGCGTACCACATAATCTACACCATTTATACAAAATAACGTGTTAAACTTTTAATCCATCTAGCTTACCTACGACATAGCTAGGTATTATGACATATATTCAAATAGATATACTTACCTTTCCGAATTTGTCTTTGGCAACTTCTCCCTTTTTCTCCAAGGTACTTCGGTTTCCATCTGGGAGATCTTGACCTAGATTGAGCACCAAGACTCCCATGATGATGTGCAACCAACCGGGGACAAAGAAGGCAATCCTCCAAGCTGTGAAGGCTGTGGAACCACAACGCCTTATAATCTCATAGACCATCGGCATGAGCAGTTGCGTTATGCCACCGCCCATGTTTCCCCATCCGGCGGCTGTCCCGTTCACCAGACCGATGATCTGACTGTTGAACATAGTGCTCATCCAGTATTGACAAGACACAAACGTCGCCAGGCAAAACCCAATCATGAACCTCACCGTAATGAACCCTGCGGCTCCACTCACGAAGCTCATTGAGAACACCGTTGGTGCGGAAAGCATCACAAGAAAGGCACAGCCGTAACGCGGACCAAGAAGATCACACACTGCTCCCATCACCAGCCTGGAGAAGATACTCCCCGAGACGGATGCAACTCCTGCGTTTCCGATGTCTTGCTTTGTGAGGTTGAGATTCTCCCGGATGATCGGGACAAGTGGTGCAGCCGCGAACGTGGAGACAAAACATGTGGAGAAAGAGATCCACGAGAGGTGGAACGTTCTCATGTGAGGTTTGGCGAAGGAGAAGAGCTTGAAAACTGTTGCCTTGTGCTCCGAGTCCACCGGCAGGTCGAACTTTGCCGTCTTGTCGGTTGGGACAATCGGCGAAGCCACTGAGAAAGCAAAACTTTGTTCTCTACCGGTGACTCCATGCATGGAGCTTCCCGGCTCGCCAGTAGAATCACCCATTGTTATCAAGTTCCTTTTCAAGTTTTAGATTTGGTTCAGGTTTACTGATTGAGTCTGGAGATTACAGACGACGGCTTATATAGGGTTCGTAGCGTTGACAATTAGAAAAAGCTTCTTTGGAGATTCTCAACGGTTAACCAACAATTTAAAATTATTCTTTGGAGGAATCCATTTTCGCCGCACGCATCTTCCTAGTCGCTCGCTTATCCCAAAGGTTGCGCTGCTACTTTTAAATTACCACTTTACCCTTATAATGTTCATCCAGACCACGTGTAGAGAGGAGACTACACTGTAGACTAGAGACGATGTTGTACATTTACTAATTTTGGAGGGTTACTATTGTCATTATCTACGTTGAAAAGTCCGCAAAAGGGAAATAAAGTCGTTTAGTGCTTAAACTAATTGATCTCCTGGACGGTCGGATTTACAGAGGCCCTAGCTGCACATTAGTTGTCTCTTCAAAATGCTTACGTTTGCCTCGGACTTTAACACATTATTTTTGAACGAAAATAATTTTATTGATTTCATATTTTGTTTTGCACCATAAAAAAATACAATCGAACTTTTTTTAAAAAACTATAACCGTTCGACAAGAGAAAGAGGGATATTTGAAAGCCCTTTTTCTAAAAAAAAAAAAAAAAAGAGAAAGAGGGATATTATTCTCAATCCATAACGTAGTAACAAAAAAGTACTATATGCTTAACGAGTTAATCTTTCTGTTTTAGCTTTTCAGGTTTTCGTAGTAGTTAGCAAATATGAAATTCTCAGAAGTTCTTGAAAATATAACAGAATATCCAAACCAAACAAAAAGTAGTGGAAAATATCATATAAATTAGAAGTCGTTGATATGTAGATATGCGTATAATCGTATCTATGAAAAATGTGTTTGCACGCAATTTCCGTACTCTCCGCGTCATTAGCAATCTGTGGTTTGTCGCGAGGGGTATTTGAAAACGTCAAACGAGTTATTGATCTATCTTATTCTTACCGACGTGTCAAAGTTCCAACAAGTTGGGATATGAGAAACAGACAGAAATTCGTTGTCTCAATGTTAAAAGTCAACTACTTTGATGAGCTCAGCATCTTTTAAGTAGTTATATTTGTAACATGTGTACTTTTGCTAAAATAATCTGCCAAATATAATGATGATTATGAATGTACTCATCAATTTTCGTGCTAAAAAGGTCTTTTAATGACGATTATACATGACTTTTACAGTATAACTGCCGGAGATTAATGACAATAGTACATGTTATTAATTGCAATTCCACGGTCAATAGTACATGCAAAATCGATGTCAGAAAAAAAAAGTACATGCAAAATCAACTGCAATTTCGACACAAAAAAACAATTCTAAAATAATTCTAACGCAAATATTCGCACAAAAAAAAGAGAGAGCCTCAAGCACTCAAGCATATATTGATTCTGCATTTCATATGAAAAAGAACTAATCGCATGCATCGTTGTACCGTTAAATCGCAGCGTTAAAAACGAAATCGTCGACTAATCTTTTGTCCGAGCGTCTTAGCACTTGAGTATTATCTCCACAGTGTATTTAAATCCAATAGTGAAAATTATAGGGTACATGTTACAGTAGTTGTTTTGAAAAGTTATTTTCGGTGATCGATTAGGATTCCAAATCGACCAAGCGTAGAATCCCCTATTCAGACTAGGATTATTTATTCTTGGGCTTATCCGTTTAATAATTACATCTTCTACGTTTAATTCGCATCTACTTTTTTATTTGAGCATACACCACTTGCACATATATGTACACATAATTCCAATTTTCAATTAGATGAGCACAGCGGAAAGTAAACTAATCCATACACTACGTAATTAGCGTTTGGGATGTTTGGAGAGACTCTGCTTTTAAATTATTTAGTGATAATGGCTTCATTGACCTTCATCGTGGTCTGCCGATTTATCAAATGCTGGCAATTCAATAATTCAGATATTTGATGATGACTGTCCATTGGACTTTCTGCATAATTTTCACATTTCAGATATAGACGTCCTCGTTGACTCTCAAATATACAAACTAACACTGTAAAACTATATTTAGGTCCAGTCACCCAAGTATTATCTTTACTAAATAGAAAAAAAACGTACGTTTGAGTTTGATGTTGCATATATGATTAGTGTTCTATTTCCTAATGTATCTTAAGCACTTAGCCATTACAAATAGTGGATATTTTTGACTTAAGGAAAACTATAGATGTATTCACAAAAAAATATTCATATCATGATCGAAAAACTATTGTTGGAAAAAAAAAAAAAACATGCAAAACTAGTAGTATGTAATTAGCAAAATGATTTTTCAACTTAAACTAGCGAATATTTATAGATTGACCAAAAGAATAAGATCAGGTAAAGTTGTAGAGCTCTAAACTGTATATCATGAGTTTAAAGTTGACACACTACTAGTTTACCCGGTTACTGAAATCCCCTCCCTTTAATTTGTCGTCACACTTTAGCTTCACAATTTATGTTAAAGTGTGGGCTAGTGATAAGACTAGGCCCACGAAGAAAATCAAAATAAAAGTCTTCCTTTTAACGGGACGCTGTCGCCACGGCCGGATTTTAAAACACTCCATAGAACGATATATTTACTACCAACGGCTAGTTTCAGAAATGACACAATTTTTTTTTAACCAAGATCGGTTAGTTTCAGAATTATTTACTACTAACGGCTAGTTTCAGAACGATATATTTACTACCAACGGCTAGTTTCAGAAATGAATTCAATTTTTTTTCAACCAAGATCGGCTTTTCTTCCAAAATTCGGATTCAGTAGAACACGAAAGCATAAATAATATATATGCAGACACGTAACTCAAGCACAAACTTCTTGATCTACCGATTTGTTCTATAACGTTGAAATAAATAAAAAAAATCCTTGTCCGAACTTATATATAAACCTTGCAGTTCCTAGCAATATCGGAACATCCGGCAAGCACCACACTTATATGTATATACAAATTAACTGGTTTTTAGATGATACGACCATTAGAATATAATGATCATGCCAACCTTCAAGAACTTATGAGATATAATAAAGTGAAACAGTATTGGAATATCTTGTAATCATTTCGTCAATAATCATGTCAATCACCACTGATTGGGATCTGATTTTTTAGGATCGTTTATCTTTGGGAAGTAGATGCTTGTACACTCTACCTTTTGTAGCATAAATATGTAACACTTTTATTGAGAAAAAATACACAGAAAATCTTTTGAACTTCTCTTTGTTTCATGCTATCAGAGCCTGAAGTTTTTCTTTCCTGATATATTTTCCTTGACTTTTCAAATCGTGAAATTTCTATTTCTTACAAATATTTAAAACATAGTGAAATATTAGCCAACCACTCTAAATAATTATTTTTGGGACTAATGGTCTGAAATTTTCAGAAAGTGTTCCTCTCCTGATGCGATTTGGTCGTATGTACGCAGAAATCTAACGTGACTGCAGGTGACACTTCAAAATGTTGTTTTCATGTATTGGTTTTACAATTTTTCTTTATCATTATTTTCTTCATTTTTGTTGTTTTTTTTTTGTGCAAACTTCTTTCAATAAATTTTGATGCTCATTCGTCTTAACTTGAATTAGCAGATAATTTTTACCAAGAAATAAATTATAGCAATAAAATTTGATATATATATATATATATATATTTCTTCCCTATTTTATTTCTTTGGATTTAGGGATAATTGGGGAAAAGATATACCAGCAAAAAAAAAAAGACTCAACCTTTTAAAATATTATATGTCAAAGTTTTTAGTTTCATTTCCATCGGTATTGAAATTTGACAATGATATGTGAAACTTTCTGATATCATGCTATGATTAGCAATGTAAATTCTTTTTGTCATTTTCACATCAGAAGCATTAAATTTTCACTAACAAACACTTATAATTTTCTATTTTTTCTGCTGAATAGATAGGCAGTTAATGTTTAGATGAGAAGTTGTTGCTTCATTATTTCAAAAGTAAAAAAAGGTGTGCCCCATCCTTGTAAACTATTGACATATGGGAATGAACGCAATAAATCCTATTGTGGTATTTTATTTTTACTGGAATTGGTAACAGACTTGGTGACGAAATATTAGGCTTTGATTCACACCTGCTTTTTGTTCACAGATCAAATATACACACATACTTCACCAAAAGAGTCAAATATGTCGCCTAGAAGAAGGAAGATAGCATAGGAAGTCTTGTGGACTATATCCGTACATATTCCACTGTCTTCACAAGTATTTATAGTTGCATGTGTTTCCCAACAAAGCTCAATTGTCAATAACTTGTCTTACAATTTAAAGACTAAAAATCAATTTCTACTACACTCTTTAAACACACCAAAAAGAAAAGAAAAGATGGGGAACTCATCAATCCGATGCATCTTCTTTGTGTTCATCATTTTCACCACCGTCTCGCTTTCGACTGCTGCTTCGAGTCATGGAGAAGTCGGTACGTATAAGCTAGCTTTGATTGATATATATATTTGATTATTTTCCAAGTTAGGGTTTGTGACAATCTTGATTTCCGCTGATTGGTGATGTAGAGGACGAACACGAGTTTAACTACAAGAAGAACGATGAGAAGGGGCCGGATAAATGGGGCGAACTTAAACCGGAATGGGAAATGTGTGGAAAAGGAGAGATGCAATCTCCCATTGATCTAATGAGCGAGAGAGTTAACATTGTTTCTCATCTTGGAAGGCTTAATAGAGACTATACACCTTCCAATGCCACCCTCAAAAACAGAGGCCATGACATTATGGTATACATATAATACCATGTACATACTTTTTCATTGGTTTTTTGTATAAAACTAGTTAATCGGTTTGACAAAAAAAAAAATAAGTTAATCTTAGATTCTAGCACCTAAGCCGATTATTATCGGTTGACATTGTTTCAGTTAAAATTTGAAGATGGAGCAGGAAGTATTAAGATGAATGGTTTTCATTACGAACTCCAGCAGCTTCACTGGCACTCTCCCTCTGAGCATTCAATCAATGGAAGAAGGTATCCGTTTAATTTTGAGATAAAATACACCAAATGTCTTAATAATGTCTGCTATTTATAGTTTACAAAAAAAATGAAATTAGTTGGCAGAAGAAAGTCTATAATTGTTAAATTATATTAAACTAACAAAAATTAATTGATAGATAAGGACTCTTGGATATATCTAATATACGAAGTTTCAAACTTTCAAATCAGGTTTGCACTTGAGCTGCATATGGTTCACCAAGGGAAAATGGGGAGAATGGCTGTTGTGACTGTGTTGTACAAGATCGGAAGGGCAGATACTTTTATCCGATCGGTACACAAATAATTAAAAAAGAAACAGAAATTTGCATGCTTTAATTATTACCAATATTAAGTGATTTTATATATTTATAAGTTTTGGATTTGTGGTAGTTGGAGACGGAATTAGAGGCCATTACTGATGTGGAGGAGGCAGAGAGAAGTGTAGGGATGATTGATCCCAAACATGTTAAGATCGGAAGCAGAAAGTATTTCAGATACATTGGTTCACTTACCACTCCTCCTTGTACACAGAACGTTACTTGGAACGTCGTTAGAAAGGTATTTAATTAGTAGTGAATCTAACCTAACTTCAAAACTTCATTTCATTCTTCTGTTAATTGCTCTTAATTAATTAAAATTCCAGGTTAGGACCGTCACAAGAAAACAAGTGAAGCTTCTCCGCGTGGCTGTACACGACGTAAGTTTTTCCTCTCTTTCTCATTAATGCACACGTACAAGTAATGTGTTCTTCATTTGCTCCATTTCATCCGTTAGTGCTGAAATATGATTTACTTATTATGTGGTCTATGGAAAGAGTTAAGATAAAAGTTCTCTAAAAAAAACAAAAAAAAAATTAAAAATTAAGATAAGATGAGACCATGATGTTTTGTCGTCCATCATAATAATATTTAACAGGACGAAAATTCGAATGCGAGGCCGGTTCAACCAATCAACAAGCGCATGATTCACTTATACAGACCAAGAGTTTAATTAATGAAGATACATTACAAGTTTTTACTAATATTCTTCATACAAATATTTCAAATTTTACACTAAAATAATGGTGTGTCCAGTTCCCATCCTTAGTTATACTGTTTGGATGTGTATTTTATTTATTTATTGTCAACGAAAATAATGGTAAACCCAAATAATGGATATTATCTAATTTATGTTACTTGTATTGATCACCGCCGATGTTTATGTTTACTTGTTTACCCCTTATCGTACCACTACCAAAATCTCGACTTTTGTTTTGTATATTGTAAGAAACAAATAATGATATACAACAATAAGGGAACTGTTTTCTTAAAATCCCACGCCCAAAAAATCATTTCGACGTTAAATGTGGCGGGTAACCTTTTTTTTTTTTGGCTGATTAAAAATTTAAACCAACGGCAACTAGTAATTAAGTGTGCTAATCAAGAATTACATAATAAAGGCCTACTCTAATGAGCTGTTTATATGGCCCAAAAATAAACCCAACACACATTCGTAAATAAAATAGCCCAATAAGGCCCATGCAGTCTAATGGTTTTTTTTTTTAATATGAATGGCCCATTGTTGATCGAGAAGGACAGCCTTATCGCAGAGATTATCCCAGCGAGAACCATTGTTGTTGAAGAAGATCACTAGAGGTTTCCTGCTGGTAAGAGCTTAGGGAAGATGCTCGACTCCTCATTGTTGCGTGGCTTGGGTCGATTCGGTTGAGAATTGATTCAGCGGAGCGATGGAAGCTTCGGTAAAGCCGATCATTTCGATGGGTAGTTAAAAATATCCGTTAGACGCGACAAAAAGAATCAGGAGAGAAAGATGATGATGATGCTCTCGTATCCCTCTTCTTACCCATTCCATTTCCTTCCTTCTTCTTCTGATCCTCCCTACGACATTCTCCGAATCCACCCTTCTCTTTCGCTTCTCCTCCACTGCAAGTCTCTTTCGTCTCTACGCAGAATCCACGCTCAGATGATCAAAACCGGCCTCCACAACACCAACTACGCCCTCAGCAAGCTTCTTGAGTTCTGCGTTCTTTCTCCACACTTTGACGGCTTTCCTTATGCGATCTCTGTTTTCGCGACGATTCAGGAGCCGAATCAGTTGATTTGGAATACGATGCTTCGAGGGTACGCGTTGAGTTCGGACCCTGTTTCTGCTCTGAAGCTGTATGTTGTTATGATTTCACTTGGGCTTCTCCCTAATTCCTACACTTTTCCGTTTCTTTTGAAATCCTGTGCGAAGTCTAAGGCTTTTGAGGAAGGGCAACAGATCCACGGTCACGTTCTGAAACTTGGGTATGAACCAGACCTCTACGTACACACTTCTCTGATCTCCATGTATGCCCAAAACGGGAGACTAGAAGACGCACATAAGGTGTTCGATAGAAGTTCTCACCGAGATGTGGTTTCCTACACAGCTTTGATCACGGGTTATGCTTCCAGTGGCAATATTCGGAGTGCCCAGGAGATGTTTGATGAAATTCCAGTCAAAGACGTAGTGTCATGGAATGCAATGATTTCAGGGTATGCGGAAACCGGTAGCTATAAAGAAGCATTAGAATTGTTTAAAGAGATGATGAAGACGAACGTTAGGCCAGACGAGGGTACAATGGTCACTGTACTTTCTGCTTGTGCTCAGTCTCGTAGCGTTGAATTGGGTCGTCAGGTACATTCATGGATTGATGATCATGGGTTTGGTTCAAATCTCAAGATCGTTAATGCTCTCATTGATTTGTACTCAAAATGTGGCCAAGTGGAGACAGCATGTGGTCTGTTCGAGGGATTGTCGTGCAAGGATGTAGTTTCATGGAATACCTTGATCGGTGGTTACACACATATGAATCTTTACAAAGAAGCATTGTTGCTGTTTCAAGAAATGCTGAGATCAGGTGAAAGTCCAAACGATGTTACAATTGTAAGTATTCTACCTGCCTGTGCACACCTAGGAGCCATCGATATTGGAAGATGGATTCATGTGTACATCGACAAGAAACTAAAGGATGTCACGAATGCTCCTTCTCTCCGGACTAGCCTCATCGACATGTATGCTAAATGTGGAGACATAGAGGCAGCACACCAAGTGTTCAACAGTATGCTCCACAAAAGTCTGTCGTCTTGGAACGCAATGATATTTGGGTTTGCTATGCACGGGAGAGCCAATGCAGGTTTCGATCTTTTCTCACGAATGAGAAAGAATGGGATTGAACCAGACGATATCACCTTTGTTGGTTTGCTGTCTGCTTGTAGCCATTCAGGTAAGTTAGACCTTGGGCGCCATATTTTCAAATCGATGACACAGGACTACGATATAACCCCGAAACTAGAGCACTACGGCTGCATGATCGATCTTTTGGGTCACTCGGGTCTATTCAAGGAAGCAAAAGAAATGATAAAGACGATGCCAATGGAACCCGATGGAGTGATTTGGTGCTCCCTTCTCAAAGCCTGTAGAAGGCATGGGAATCTAGAACTGGCGGAATCATTTGCACGAAACCTCATGAAAGTTGAACCAGAAAACCCAGGTTCTTACGTACTTCTATCTAACATCTATGCAACAGCAGGAGAGTGGGACGAAGTAGCAAAAGTACGAGCGCTCCTCAATGGTAAAGGTATGAAGAAAGTCCCCGGTTGCAGCTCTATCGAAATAGACTCCGAGGTCCATGAGTTCATCGTTGGAGATAAACTCCATCCACGGAACAGAGAAATATACGGAATGTTAGAAGAAATGGAGGCGTTACTCGAGGAAGCCGGGTTTGTTCCTGATACTTCTGAGGTCTTGCAGGAGATGGAAGAAGAGTGGAAAGAAGGAGCATTGAGGCATCACAGCGAGAAGCTAGCTATTGCATTTGGGTTAATCAGTACGAAACCTGGGACTAAACTTACAATAGTGAAGAATCTAAGGGTGTGCAGAAATTGTCACGAGGCTACAAAGCTTGTTTCAAAGATTTACAAAAGGGAGATTATTGCTAGAGACAGAACTCGGTTCCACCATTTCAGAGATGGTGTGTGTTCTTGCAATGACTTCTGGTAAAAGAACACATGAAACAAGTAGAAAAAACGGTAAAATATAAGGAGATTCATTGCTGTAAGTATATACATGTAAATAAAGAGTGATTCACGGATCTCTCTAAAACTGATCAAATAGAATTTACAAGTTCATGTCCATATCCTGTATGTCGTTTCAGAGTTGAGAACCTGAGATGCCTCAGCTTGGTGCTCAATATTTTTTTTAAATTATTATAATAATATAGATTTATAATTATTATTTTTAAAAAATTTGCAAAATTTTGTATTTTTAAAGAGTGGGCTTATTCAATATTAATAATTTTCCCTTTTCAGTCAAAATAAATGGCAGAATGTATGTCTGTGAAATGGAGAATCACTCAGCTTATTGGATGAAGTGATGAATCACCACACCAAGATTGTATCCCTCTTATAGAATCAAAATTCATCTCATCTTACTGAGCTTTAAAATGAACATAAAGAAGAAGAAAAACCATTAGAAAACTTTAACGGATTGCTTAATCACAGAATTAATCAAATCTTTCTCACACTCTATTACTTTTGTTATTATTATTCCCGATTAATGATGAATTGATCATGATCACCTGAACGTCTTTGTTTCCAGAGTTGGAATCTCGGCAGGTAAAGTGTGACACAAAGATCTCCTTCCCTTTTATAGAATTAATATATTTATTTGTATTTGTTGCTACTACACACAAAGATCTCCTGCCCTCTTATAGGATTAAATATAGTTTTATTATAAAAAAAAAAACAAAAACGTAAAGAAAACTATGAGAAAATAAAGGTGAAATCAGGAAAAAGTTTAGGCACATAAGATTTGTCATATTGTCTGAGAGAAATAAAAGAGGATATATAAATACAATTGTTTGATCACCATGTCCAGCAAAAATTCAATCTATTTCTTTCATCTCTCTCCTCAAAACATAGCATAAGAAATGAAGATAGCATTAATAGCATGCGTCTTATTCCTTATCGTCATTTCCATAACATTTGTTTCGAGTTCACCAGGCAACGGAGAAGTTGGTAAGCCATACGTATACTATGGTTCTTAATCATCTTTAAATGTTTAATTATCAGTACTGAAATAATTAAACTTACATTCGCACGTAAACAAAAATAAATAAAGAGGACGAAACGGAGTTTAACTACGAGAAGGGAGGAGGGAAAGGGCCAGAGAGATGGGGAACAATAAAGCCAGAATGGGCCATGTGTGGGAAAGGCACAATGCAGTCTCCTATTGATCTTACGGACAAAAGAGTCTTGATTGATCATTCTCTTGGATCACTTCGTAGCCGTTATTTACCTTCCAATGCCACCATTAAGAACAGAGGCCATGATATCATGGTAATATTAACCAACAACAACTAAACTTTACTTTCCAATTTTACATTTTTTTTTTCATTTTTGTGTTTTTTTTCATTTTCTGATGTTAATATGCATGTAGCAGTTGAAATTTGGAGGAGGGAATCAAGGTGCAGGTATCAGTATTAATGGTACGGACTATCAACTTCAACAGATTCATTGGCACACTCCTTCCGAACATACGATCAATGGCATCAGGTATCTCTAGATTCTCTACACGTATTACATTTATTATGCTCGTGAATGATGATAAATGGTTTATTCGAGGTTTGAATAATACACATACATTATTTTATAGGTTTGTTCTGGAGGAACACATGGTTCATGAGAGCAAAGATGGACGCATCGCTGTTGTGGCTTTCTTTTACATATTGGGAAGACCCGACTCTTTTCTCTTTACGGTATTGCAATCTCAATTTATATTGTAATATCAACAATTTTTTCTATAAAATGACTAACATATATACTTTTTTGTTTTATCGAAGCTGGAAAGACATTTAAAGAAGATAACTGATGCATATCAAGCCGAGGAACCTGTCGGAATGATTGATCCTAGAAGAGTCGTTTTTGAATCAAAACACTATTATAGATATTTAGGATCACTTACAACTCCTCCTTGTTCTGAAAATGTTATTTGGTCCATCGCTAAAGAGGTATGTATATTGCTGCTTTAATTTCCTTCTTAAATTTTCCCTTTAACCAATATATATATAGTAGTAATTTACATTTTCAACATTTTCCAGATGAGGACTGTGACAAGAAAACAATTGAAGTTGCTTCGCGTGGCTGTACATGATGTGAGACTCTACTCTTCTTTTTTTAACTTTTATTGTTAAATGTTCTAAATCAGCGATTACAAAATGTAATGTTGATATGACCGTATGTATCTTAATTTCTTGGAAATATAATGAGTCTTCTAACACATAATTTTTTTTTTTGCTGCAGCAATCTGACACAAATGCTAGACCGCTTCAGCGTAAAAACGAGCGTCCGGTGAAACTTTACTTACCAACATGGCATATTTAACCATCTCTCAAGTGTTGTTTTTGTTTTTGGTTTTCATGTTTTATCTATGTTGACAACAAAAGGGTAACACTAATAAAATATTTTTTATTGAGTTATTTTTTAAACAGAAGCATGATATAATTTAGTTAATCATGTTATTTAATTAACCTGATTCTACTTTATAAGGATGCCATATTCATCTGGTTGTTGTTCTTCATAACAATCTTAGAAATATTGTAAGAACATACCAAACGAGAAGTAAGTTGTAAGAGAAGCTCTTTTTAATCATTATAAGAATTACTAGGAGAACTACGATAAAACAAAGATGGCATATAATTTTAAGTGTCGAATCTACGGTTGTGATGAATAAATTATTTGATTATTTTTAATCCACCTGGTTTTAAAAAGACTAGGTATTTACCCGCGCTACGCTGCGGGATATTTTTTCAAATTTTATATATATTTTTAATATAAAAAATTATTTTTATAATATTTTTCCAGCATTATTTTTATAATATAAATTAATATTATATTTATTTTGTTATTAGCTTAAGTTATGTATTTATATGTTTAAATCTGAATAAACATTGTACAATCCTTTATTTTTTTTTTCAAAATTATAATTTTCTATCAAATTTATTTAGCTAACTAACTTTAAATGTATATGTAAAAATAAAAACAATACATTTTTAAGTACTTTCATGCTAATGACAAATGTAATCAATTTTTTCTCCTAAATTGCCACTTGATCATCCTTTGAAATTATATAAAGCAAAATGTCATTTAAAAAAATTTATTAATGAATATGATTATTTTGCATTATAAAATTTATTTATTTATCAACTATTTATTATAAACATATGTTTTTAAAATCATCAAACTATAATTAATAACATTCATATCAGAACCATTGCTATTGCTTTAGAACTAAATAGAAAATTATATTTGAACTGTTAAAATATCGATTTAGTTAAAGATAAATAATATAATTTTGATAACTGTAAACATATTGTAACTTAGCATTTTAGCATAGAGAAATTTTATTTTCTTATAAAAATCAAAAAATCTCATTTCCCGTCAAAACCAAAAACTTCATTTTTCCATGAAAACTGAGAAATCGCATATTTCCGCTAAAACAAAAAGAAAAACATTTTTTCGTCAAACCTAAAATTTTATTTTCCCACCAAAACAAAAGAATTGTATTTTCCCGTAAAAACCAACAAATCACATTTTTATGCAAAAACCTGTGTTTTCTTACCAAAACCAAGAAATCACGTTTTTCACCAAAAAAAAAAATCATCTACCTGCAAAATCCAAAAACGTATTTTTCGTCAAAACCAAAAAATTTATTTTTCTGCAAAAACCGAGAAATCATCTATTCCCGCCAAAACCAAAAAATTATTTTCTCGTCAAACCAAGAATCACACTTTCCTACTAAAATTGATACTACAATTTCCCGCGAAAACCATAATTGCATTATCTCTGGAGAAATTGTGTTTTCCCGCGAAAATTAAGAAATGGTAGTTTCCCGCGAAAACAAAAAAATCGCATTTTTCGTCAAAAACTGAAAATTTGCATTATCATCAAAACCGAGAAATTGCTTATTTCCGCCAAAACCGAAATTTTTTATTTTCCCATCAAATTGAGAATTTGCATTTTCCACCAAAATCTTCATATTACAATTTTCCTTGAAAACTAAGAAATCACATCTTTCCGCGAAAACCAAAAAAATCGCATGATCCGTCAAAAGTCAAAAGTTTACATTAAAAAAAAAATTCATCTTCCTGCAAAACCCAAAACTCATTTTCCTGCGAAAACCGAAAAATTAACTATTCCCGCAAATTAAAATCATTTTCTTGTCAAACTAAGAATCACACTTTTCTACCAAAACCAAATACACTACACTTTTCTGCGAAAACCAAAATTGCATTATTTCTCAAGAAATTGCGTTTTTCCGCAAAAACTAAGAAATAGCAGTTTTCTGCAAATACCAAAAAATTACATTATTCGTCAAAAACTGAAAATTTACATTTCTCATCAAAACCGAAAATTACATATTTCTGCCAAAACCGAGAAATTTTGTGTTCCCATCAAATCAAAAAATTGCATTTTCCGCCAAATTCGTTAAATTACAATTTCCCGCAAAAACTAAGAAATCACATTTTTCTCACTAAAACCAAGAAATCACATTATCCGTCAAAAGCCAAAAATTTGCATTTCCTATCAAAACCGAGAAATCGCATTTTCTCGTCAAAATTGAAAAGTTGCATTTTCCATCAAAACCGATATTCTGTTTTCTTGTAAAAAAAAAATTGTTTTCTCACTAAAACCGAAAATTCACATTTTTTCGCTAAACCCGAGGATTCACTTTTTCTGCCATAACCAAGAATTTGTGTTTTCCTACCAAAACTGAAAATCATATTTTCCTACCGAAACCAATAAATCCCATATTTCCATCAAAACTGAGAAATTCCTCATTCCTGCTATAGCCAAAAAAAATTGTTTTCTCGTCGAACCGAGAAATCATGTTTTTCTAACAAAACTGAAAAATTCAATTTTTCGCCAAAATAGTCAAACTGTATTTTCCGCAAAATGTGAACCACAAACTTCCTCTCTTTCTCCTCTTCTCTCTCCTTTTCCCTCTTCTCTTCATCGAAATTGGGTTAGCGAATAACATCGAAATTGGGTTGGGCTATTTAACGTGTTTTGAAAACAGCATTAGTGTGTAGGCTATCTAAGGCTATCTAATGTGTTGATTTTGGATGGTTTTTTTTTAATGAATTGTATTAATGAAATATTTTCATTGGTGAATTGATTTGCTGAAGTGTCATCCTAAGAAAACTCTAAAATGCTGAGGTGTCTTGACCAGAAGAAACATTTGTGTTTTTGTTGTATTGATTATTACTAAAAATGTAAAGATTTTTTTTGTTCTGACAGCAATATTCATTTTTATTATTATATTTATTTAAAAAAAAAATTCGCAATAACCACTTGTCTTTAACTGTAATATTTTATCCTGTAACAATTTAATATTTATTTTAAACTCTTGTAATATTTCATATACAGTAGTGTGATTATGATTTGAAAGGAACATGTAATATCGTTGCACAAAAGAAAAATGTAATAAGCATTAAAATTGTATGAACCTCGGAAGAAAATGACATATTAGATTCCACAAATCATAAAGCCTTAAGCGCGAGAAGAGTGTGTCTCCTTCCGTAATTCTGCTAAACTGCAAAGCCCAATTCTCGTCGTCTCCTTCCCATTCAACAGTCTTAATTTTCCGGAACCCCAAACACCGTGAGGATTGTATGTCCGGAAGAAGCGATTTATCGATAATTTTGTACAGTAGATCTCAATCCCCAGATTTTCCCTCGTGAAGCCATTGATTCTACGCATTCCTCTCTCGTCTAGGTACGCTTCGTTCCCTTTTCTAGGTTTCCTTTTTTTGTTTGGGTGGGAAATTAAGGGTTTCTGGTCTCGAGCGAACGGTTTAGGGTTTTTTTAGAGACTCTCGCATCTACTTTTGCGGACGGATTTTAGGCGTCTGTTAGATGTTACACATTGATTTAGTGTCAAATAACAAGTTTGATCGGAGAATTTTATTTGTAGTGCTTTGTGTCTGATAGTCTTCCTTGTTTATCAACATTCGGCCTTCAATTTGTCTTTGCCTCGTTTGTGTAAAGTGTGTGATTCCAGAGAAGATGAAGAAGGATGAAAAGAATCGTTCAACGGGAAGGACCATATGCACCAGATCTCTAGCAGTAGCTTCTGCCTCAACAGAACACGAATCCCCTGGTTTGAGGAGGTCAAACCGAGGAACACCTTCCACGTCTACGAAGCTGATAGCTCCTCCAACGTCTAGTACCAGAAAGTCAGAGAGAAAGGCTCCCCCACCTGCCACAGTTACAAAAAAGTCTGCTAGAATGGAGAAGAAAAGCACCGCAAGTCCGTCGCGAAGGTCCGACAAGGGAAAGAATGTATCCTCGGAGAATTCCAAAGGACTAGATAAGCCTGGCAAGAAGAACGCAGTCACTTCATCGGGTACTGAGGAGAGCAAGGATGAAATGGTAAATAATGTACAAGAGTCGACAGATTCGGTCAAGAAATACGAGCCTAAAATGACAGGCCGAAGTTACAGGGCAATGATTAGAGGGCTTCTCAGGAAGGATGGTGATGCTCCTTCGAATGAAGAGGAGCCAATAGTGGTTGGTTGTTCTCGCCGCGTACCTGCAGGAAATGATGATGCTAGAGAGGGTAACGGTTCACCACATGCGAACTCAGAATCAAAAACGCTGCCAGTTGGCGAAACTAGTTTAGAGAAGGGCACTGGTGTTCCTGTGAAGTCAATTAGGGACACGGAAAATATGGTGCTTGATGCACCCCCCGTCATTGAAGCTAGGGATGACAGTATTATAGGTTCACCATCTAAGAATCTAGAAACACAAAAGCTTCCTGTCAGTACATCTAGCCTAGAAGCCAACATAGATTTGCCTTTGAAAAGAAAAAGGGACAGTGCAGGAATGGTGCTGGATGCGTGTGCTGTAGTTGCAAATTCAGATGACCGCGTTCTGAGCTCTAATGGGGTCGTTCCATCTCCATCCGGGTGTAAAGATGACAATCAATCTGAAAGGTGCACCACATGTGGAAAACGGCAGAAGTAAGAATTCTTGACTTTTGTTCTGTCTTTTGAAACGATCTGGCAAATTGATTTTTAAAGATGAATGTTGAACAGATAGGTTTGATTTTTAGGTATTGTTTCAAAATAATTTATGTTCTGGATTGTAATTTTAGTTGTACGAAAATTTTGAAGGGTCAACGATGATTTTGAAAATCTGAGTGCTTGCTCCTGCACTGCCCAGCCAGTTCAAGAATCTGACCACGTGGCACAGGTTGGTTTCTGATTGCATTACACCCGTTAAACAGTGTCCTGTTAAATAGTTATATGTACTTATCCTTGTACTTGTAAATTGCAATCTCTGTTCTGCATTGCATTAGGATATGAAGGAACCTGTACCCGCTACTAGTAGAGACTCTGGGGAGACCAGGAAAAATATACAACAAGATATATCATATGATCCCAAATTGTCATCGATGTATCAAGAGTATTGGGTTCCAGTGCAGTTATCAGATGTACAGCTGGAGCAATACTGTCAAACTCTCGTCTCCAAGTCTTTATCTCTTTCTTCGCTGTCGAAAAGTGATATTGTTGGAACTCTCGAAGAAACTCTCACTTCTGTAAGGAAAGTAAGTTCATTTAATTGCAAATTTTGTTCTTCAATGCGCTTGTTCGTTAAATCCCCAATTAACTACTCTGTCCATCAGCATCACGTTTAGGATTTTCTTAGATATCTGACTACGGTCCGTCATCATCACGTGTTTTCTAAGCCTCTTTCTGCATGTTAATGTCTGGAGATATTATATACCTTATTCGTGTGTTTGTAATTTTGTTGACAGACCTGTGACCACCCATATGTTATGGATGCATCTTTGAAACCACTGCTCACCAAGAATCTGGAGTTGCATGAATTCCTGGATGTAGAAGTCAAAGCAAGCGGGAAACTTCACCTACTTGATGCAATGCTAACGCAGATAAAAACAAACGGTTTAAAAACAGTTGTCTTCTACCAGGTGCATTTCCATCACTTACTGCATTTTTAATATTCATATATACTGGCGTTTACCTTTAACAATGGAGTTCTGTCTTGTGTTGAAATTTGAGTGGTGTGAAGTATGTTATTGATCATACATGATCAGCTGGCATTATGAGATATGCTGAACTGAAATGTATCTTCTCCTCTTCTTTTCTTTGTCGATATCTGTGCTTCATGTATGTATGGATTACTATTTTTTTATTCAACAGGCAACACACAGCCCTGGGGGGCTTCTGCTTGCTAATATTCTCGAAGATTTTGTGTGTCAAAGATTTGGTCAAGATTCTTATGAGCATTGGGTCTCTCACGGAAAGAAGAGCGCCATCAACAATTTCAACAAGGAGAGTCAATGTTTTGTTCTGCTGTTGGAAATACGTGCCTGCAGTCAAAGCATTAAACTCTTGCGGGCTGATGCTTTAATTATTTTTGGAAGCAGCTTGAATCCATCGCAAGATGTTAAGCTCATAGAGAAGATAAAGATTGAGTCACATTCTGAAAGAACTAAGATATTCCGGTTATACTCAATATGTACAGTTGAAGAAAAATCCCTGGTTCTGGCTAGGCAAAATAGGCGTCTAGAGAACCTAAACCGTCCCCTCACACATGCACTGCTAATGTGGGGGGCTTCATATTTATTTAATAAGCTGGATCACTTTCATGGCAGTGAAACCCGAGATTCGGGAGTTCTGTTTGAACAGTCTATTAAGGATGGCGTGATTCATGAATTCTCGTCCATACTTTCTTCCGATGCTGGGGAAGAAAATGAAGGCAAGCTGTGTCTACTTTTGGAACCCAAGCATGCTCAGGGAACTTACAGCACTGATTCTACTCTATTTGGTGAAAAACATGTCAAGTTGTCAGATGAAGATAGTCCAAATATATTTTGGACAAAGCTGTTGGGGGGAAAGAAGCCTATGTGGAAATACTGTTCAGATAATCCTCAAAGGATTCGTAAAAGAGTACGGTATCTTGAGGGCCCTGAAGAGACTGCCCAAATTGGCAGCGGCGGGAATATAAAGAAGAGAATGAAGACTTCCGACGATGTCACAGGAGATAACGATGAAAGAAAAGCCTCTGGGAAGGATAACATGGGTAAAATAGTTCACTTCCTGCTCCTATACCTTCTAGTGTTCACTGAATTTTGCAATTACTTTGCTGACTATCTTCCTTACAGGGGCTTTGGAGTCACCAAATGTCACAAGACACGACTCATCACGTAAATCTGCTTCTGGTACTAATGATACATTGAGTGGAAGCGATGCTTTTGGCTTGTATTCTATGGGCGGTCATATCTCTGGAATTCCAGAAGATATGTTAGCTGGCATTGATTGGAGACAAATTCCGCGCGAATCACAGAGGAGTCTCCATGCTGTTTTAAAGCCGGAGATGGCAAAACTTTGCCAAGTTTTGCATCTGTCAGTAAGTGCCTTTTTTCACCCACGCAACTTATTTTAGCTTTGGCATATGCAGATTGTAACTAGGAATTCTTGCCTCGTTTCATGTTACAATGATTTTTTTTACTGTTCAACTATATTGTTTCCGTCAAAGCCAATTTTATTATCTTATATCTGGCTTCGTTACTTGTGAATTGTGATCTGTTAAAAATGGAGGAACTTCTGGAAAAACACTAGGTAGTTATGTGCCTCATATTTTTCATTGGTTGCTGAAGGAAAGAAAGACTTTGTCTTCTTTGCATGATTCATTCATGGGAGATATTGATATTTTTAAATGCTTGCTGTTGGTATAGAAACCGATATATTGACTGATGCTATTAGTTTTGTGTATACAGTACCGGCTATTTTAAGGAGTCATATCTTCATAGATTGGCTTAATAGATGTTTCCGCTGCTGTGTCCATACTGAATACTTCTGTGATTGTCTCTGTGCACCGTCTATCAAATTTGCTCTAAAAGGTATATCTGCCGTGTGTAATTGGTTTTATATATCGTTTTTGTTTTCAGGAAGATTCGACAAGCATGGTTGAAAAATTTCTTGAATATGTTATTGAAAACCATCGTGTCTGCAGAGAGCCAGCCACCACATTGCAGGCCTTACAGGTAGCCTTGGTATGACAGCAATCTCTTCGATAGTTTATGCATTGTTTTCTTAGTAGTTGACAGCTACGAATGTTTAATAAAACCCATGCTTTATAGGGCACAAAGTAAGGCCTTTGACTGTTGCATTATTTTGTAAATGTAGTTCACATACTGATTACGTTCTTTTGAATTTTCTTTCAGAGTTGGATTGCAGTCTCGTTCGTAAAGCAAAATCTTAACCGCGAAGAATCTCTGGTCAGCGCAAAATCGGAATTAGCTTTCAGTTGCTCTAGAGAAGAGGTAGATTATATATATTCGTTTTTGTACTGCATGAAGAGTCTATTCTTGGAGCGCACACAAGGTAGCCATTGTAGGTCAGTAGCAGAAGATGTCGAAAAGACTATTAGCGACCTCAAAAAGAAATTCCGTAAGAGACGGCAAAAGCTTGTACAAATTCACGAGGCAAAAAAGGTGGAGTTGGTGAATATATATGCAGACAAGAAGGAGAAACTTGAAACTTGTAAAAAGGTGGAAGCATCATATATTCGTGTTACATATTCAGGGATAAGTACTCAGAGCTTACAGGATGCTCTCAAACGACTGGAATATGATTCTAAAATAAAGCTTGATAAACTCAACACTGAGTTGGATGAATGCCTTAAAAGTCTGGAGCAAATGCACGAGGATGCAAAGAAGAAGTTGGCTGAGGATGAAGCCTGTTGGATTAGACGGATTAAGAACTGGGAGCAAGCTGAATTAATGAATTGTGCTCCCATTCAAAGTGGCAACAACAAGCATTTTACTGGAATATGCCCATCAAACACTTCCAAAAATGCTCCTAATGTACACACTTGCAATGATGCCAGTGGTGAAGCTACTTCCGCTGATACGAATTGCATGGTTTCCAAGGGAAATCAACTGCCAGAAGCAGAAAACACATTAAGAACCATGTCGGGTGGTAGCACTCAACAAGTTCATGAAATGGTGGCGTCAAGAAATGACAAGGCGTTGGATGTCGCAACCTTGTCTCGTGAACAGCCTACAGACAATGTGGCTACAAAGAGCCAGCCCAATGAGCAAGCTTCTATCACGACGCCTGAGATTTTGATTCCTGCTGGCTGTCAAGAATACCAGAGTTGTGACAGAATGACATCAGCAACACCAGATGAAGATGTTCCCTCAAGGGTGCCAGAGATATCCCAGTCATTTGCAAATCTCACAAAGTCTGCCTCTAGCGAGATTTCTTTGAATAGAAAGGAGGCTATAAAAAATAATAGAATATGTCATGCGGGTTCTGATGCTAATGACATTTTGGACCAGCAGAAGGAGGAAGCCTGTTCTCTTGACAAGGAAATTCCTGACAAGTTGGCGTTGCCTATGCCATCCCCTGCGTCTGTGGTAGAGACTATGGGTTCTGTTGAATCTGATCCGGTACTTACTGGCCCTGTAAAATACTTGATCCCTTTGTTCATTTCATCTTTATAATGCTCATCCTTGTTTTCCTGCAAAAATAATGGGTACCGTCAGATGCCGTTTTTGCTTATTAAATTGATTTCTGTGGACAGGATGATCAAGACATATGTCCTACGCCTTCCTCGCCGGCTGGAGAGCAGTCTGACCCAGCAGCAAACATCCAAGGCCAAAATAAGGAAGTATCAATTGAGCCTCAGCCACTTGGATCTCCTATGCCTTCTTCACCGGCTGGACAGCAAACTGGCTTAGGAGAAAACATTCAGGGCCAAGATAAGGAAGCAGCAATTGAGCCTCAGGCAGGTGGTTATTCAATGCCTTCTTCACCGGCTGGAAAGGAACCTGACCCAGTAGCAAACATTCAGGGCCAAAATAAGGAAGCAGCGATTGAGCCTCAGGCAGGTGGATCTCCTATGCCTTCTTCACTGGCTGGACAGCAACCTGACTTAGCAGCAAACATTCAGGGCCAAAATATTGAAGCAGCGATTGAGCCTCTGCTAGCTGGATCAGAAACAGTAGAGACTGGTGGTTTTGCCGCACTAGCGCAGGTCCCTATTTAAGACTATATCTTTTGGTGGTTTAATGTTATCAAATCTGTGCAATGTTTCATTTTACCATGTGGAAAAAAGAGTAGGGAAGTGTGGTTACTGATCAAGTCTCATTTTTGTTTTAAATTGACTCGGTGGACAGGGTGATCAAGTTGCATGTTCTTTTCCATCTTCACCGGCTGGAAATCAGCCTAGTTCGGGCGCAAACATTGAGGGCCCAAATATCAACACATCAGTCGAATCCCACATAGTTGGTGCAGGTGCAGTAGAGATTGCTGATTCCGCAGTATCAGATCAGGTACTTATTTCCCTCAACTAAATACTTTCTCTTTTGTTGTTACAATTTTATAATGCTCGCTCTGGATTTTCCGGCAGGAAATATTGGGTGCTCAGGATGCATGCGATCTGCCATCTCCATTGGTTGGAACTCAGGCTGACGTAGCAGCAAACAGTGAGGGCCAAATAATCACAACAGTGGCTCAGGTTCACACAGCTGGATCAGATGCAGTAGAAACTGGTTGTTCTCGTGTATCAGAACAGGTACCTGCCTCTGAATAAATACTCTCTCTTTTGTTGGTTTAAAGTTCTAGTCCTTCGTAATGTTAGTTGTCAATTTACTGTGAGAAACAAAGCAGGCAGTGGGTAGTGATCATAATTTGATTTTTCTGGACAGTGTGCTCAGAATGCATCTCCTCTGCCATTTTCTTCGCCTGGAAATCACCCTGATGGAGCAGTTAACACTGAGGGACTAAATAACACAACAGTGGCTGAGCCTCACACAACTGGATTAGATGCATGCGAAATGGATATAGCAGAACCTGGTCCCCAAGTTGAACGATTAACCGTTGCAAGTCAGTAACTGCTCTTGTGCATTTAAGTATAACTTAGGCGTTTGCCAAACAGCTGATAGTCTGATATCCACATCCCCCTTTATGCAGATAACGTTGCACAGCTTGTCCATGAAGGTGGTGTGGAGCCTTCAGCAGGTGTAACGGCCCCTGTTCCATCACTTGTTAACAATGGTACGGGACAGAGTGCCCTTCAACCTGTTCCGCACATACCTTTCCCAGTGTTCAGTGACCCATTTCAGCATGAACTGGAGAAGCTGCGGAGAGAAGCAGAGAACGTAAAGAAGACCTATGAAGAACAAGTTAGTTGTCCTCGATACCCAGTTACCTCTAGTTTTGGTTCCTTTTTCTCACCGTTCACTGACTCTTACTTGCTTGTGAGCAGAAATCAATCTTGAAAGCTGAACTCGATAGGAAGATGGCTGAAGTACAAGCAGAGTATCATAGAAAGTTTCATGAGGTAGACGCCGAGCTTACCGCCAGAACGAAGAAGATAGAGACGAGCAGGAATCTATTTATAATGAACAAACTGTTGGCGAGTGCGTTCTCGTCGAAATGCAATAGCAGGAACGCATCTCATCTCTCAGCAGCTTCAAGGGGTAAGTGTCGGAATAATAGAGCATATTGGTTCTTGATATAAAGGCCACGAAAGTTATAATAGCACTAGAGATATTGTTGCTTTATCTACCAAATATTGTTCTTTTTCATTTAAGTATGTTAGTAGACAAGTTGTGAAAGATGTTGATGCATTAGCTAAGTTAAGTTAGCTAGAGAAAGGGATATGTCGTATACTGTTTCATGGCACATTTTGCAATCTCTTTTTGGTATAATAAAAGTGCATCTTTTGGCTGGAAAAAAAGAGTCACATAATAACACTTTTTATGCAGGTAGAATGCAGCAGCTAGCACAGAGAGCATCACAATTGAACGCACTGAGGAATTATAGTGCTCCTGCTCCTCAGCAGCCTCAGGCATCTTCTTTTCCTTCTTCAGTTTCTCGCCTTTCAGGCCTTGCTCTGAATACGGCGCACTGCCCAATGCCTCAGCCAAGACAGCCTCTCACCTCCAACACAGCTCCATCTTTATCAGCTTCTCGTGCAGCTAATCCAGCTGTCAATGGAAGACTACATCTTCCCGTATCGCATGTAAACCCCTATAGACCATCCTCTTCTGTTCCCATCCCCACAACTTCTCTAACCCCCTCGCCTCTTCCTCAAGTTTTAACATATTTAGTTCAGCAGCAGCAACAACAACAACAACAGCAACAGAACTTGGGTAGTGGATTGCAGAACAGCAATGGTGTGGTCTGTCTCTCAGACGACGAGTGAAGTAGTCCGATGTTGAGCGTTAATAATTGACTTAGAGCTGTATAATCATTTTTCTCTGGTCAAACGAGTCGTATAATCTAATATGTATATACAGTGGTAAACCCCTATAAATATTGACCGAGTATGTTTTGGATGTGACTTTTGGAGTATTAATCATATTGAATGACTCAGTGACCGACCTGGTTTGCTATTCTTGAAATGGCGACGTTCTACATTCATGTGTTATATTCAATGTTAGGTCACAATTCACAACTCAAGTAATGATTAAAATACCGGTGACTAACTTTAGTGGTAGAAAAGATTTTCTGTAAATTAAAGAAATATGAAAATTGTGTGGGTTAGTAGTGGATTTGATTTAAGAATTCTATTACTGAAAAACTAGACATGTTTGGCTAATCGAGATATTATGAGTTCATGATAACAGGGTCAGGGACGGTGGAAAGGTGTATCTATTATGTAAAAAAGAAAGAAAATCCATCTCTCTCTCTCTCTCTCAAGTCTTCTCTAGTCATCGCTGCGTCCCATAGAAAAAAGGTTATAACAAAAGTCGTAAAAGGGAAAGAAATTATATAACAATAGATACTTGACGTTTACTAAAATCAATATGCTTCTTTCTTCTTCTTCCTCATTCCATCTTGTGATCAGCTTTCTGCTTCGTCTCCATCCAATTCTCTTCAACCTTTTTTCTTTCCTTTTCTTTTTCAAGTCTTCACCCTCAAAGAATGGAGAGCCCGAACGAATGGCGAGAAGAGAAATCGGATCAGGACTCAATCAACTGTCTCAATCTTCCCGAAACCCTTGACCCGACCCGACCTGATTCATCTTCTGCTCGCCCTAGGTCTTCTCCTTCCTCTTCAGGCCTCCGTCTCTCTAAGGTTCTCTCTCTCTCTCTCTTTCTCTCCCAAGCCTCTGTGTAATCAAAAGTCGTGTCCAAGACTTGTTTTTTCTTACGTGGGTGATGCGAAATGAACGAATTTGATGCAATTTTACCATCTAGTGGGTTTTGACTATTGTTGTAGTAAGTCCTTATCTATCTCAAGAAACGAAATGTAGTTAAGAAATCAGGAGAACAAGAAAACTTGAGTTCAGAGATGAAGAAAATGGCTGATTTAGAGACGCCACTCTCCGATTAAATTGTTTACTGAGAAGAAAGAAAGCCAAAAGATGAATACTATACATTACAAGCAACACGTGAAACTAATGGGCTTATACGATAGCAAAATGATAAATCCCCCACGTAGGCCCAACAATCCATATCTCATAGCTTGTCGTCTAGCTCTCGCTTCACCAATTACTTAATTAGGGCCAGGGTTAGAGGGATGGGCGTTTTTTTTTTTGGGCTAAAGATGATGTGATAGAGATTTGTTTCTCTTAAAATTTGCAGAGCCGATGCGCGATTTGCTTGGATGTGATTCGGAAGGAAGACGGGAAGGCCATATTTACCGCAGAGTGCTCCCACTCCTTCCATTTCGATTGTATAACATCCAACGTGAAACACGGAAACAGGATATGCCCTTTATGCAGAACTCAATGGAAACAAGTCCCTTTCGGTGATGATGCTACTGTTCCTGTCCCTGTCCCTACCTTTCCTGCTCAAAGGGGTTTTGAAGATGATGAGTTTTTACCTCATGGGGAGTCTCCAGTACAGCGTGGTGATCGTGATCATCATTCCGGCCATCAAGCCCTCGAGATTAACCTGTTCCCACAAGTCTCTGCAGTGGCGAAACCGGTCACTCGTGGTGACTTTGCTGTCCTGGTTCATCTTAAGGCGGAGGGTGTGAGTGACGATAGACCCATTCGTGCTCCTTTGGATCTCATTACGGTTCTTGATGTGAGTGGTAGCATGGAAGGAGTTAAAATGGAGCTTATGAAAAACGCCATGGGCTTTGTGATACAGAATCTTGGTGAGAGAGATAGACTCTCTGTGATTTCCTTCTCCTCCACGGCTCGCCGACTATTCCCTCTTAGACTGATGACTGAGACGGGCAAGCAAATGGCGATGCAGGCTGTTAACTCCTTGGTTTCCGAGTGCGGCACAAACATTGCAGAGGGGCTGAAGATTGGTGCTAGAGTGATTGAGGATAGGCGATGGAAGAACCCTGTTTCAGGGATGATGCTCTTGTCAGATGGTCAGGACAACTTTACTCTTGCTCCTTCTAGGGTCCGTCTGAGAACAGATTACGAGTCTTTGCTTCCGAGGTCTTGCCGGATTCCTATTCATACCTTCGGGTTTGGCTCACGTCACGATGCTGAGCTGATGCACACGATTTCACAAGTCTCTAGTGGCACGTTCTCGTTCATCGAAACAGAGACTGTGATTCAAGATGCTTTTGCGCAGTGCATTGGAGGGCTTCTCAGCGTCGTGATTCTTGAGCAAGTTGTTGAGATCGAATGCGTCCATGAGCAGGGCCTGAAAATATCCTCCATAAATGCAGGAAGCTACAGAAGCCGCATAGCATCTGATGCAAGAACCGCCACCATCGATGTCGGAGACATGTACGCAGAAGAGGAAAGGGACTTAATTGTGATTCTTGACATTCCCTGCTGCGACAATGGTTCTGCTGCATCTGAATCCATGTCGTTGCTGAAGGTTAGAGGCATCTACAAAGTTCCTGTTACGAACGAGATAGTCCACGTGGAATCTGGAGAGCTAAGCATCCAAAGGCCAGTGGAGCTAACAGGAGAGGAAGTGGTGTCCATAGAAGTTGACAGACAACTAAACAGGTTCCTTGTTTCACAAGCTATGTCAGAGGCTAGGGTTTTAGCCGATGGAGGTGAGCTCATTGCTGCAGTTGTGCTTCTCAGTAACCGTGAGAGAGAATTGTCTGAGACAGTATCTGCTCGGTCTAGTGATAGGCTTTGTCAGTCTCTGTCTTCTGAGTTGAGTGCGTTGCAGGTAAGGATGGGGAGCCGGATAACGTATCGAAGATCAGGGCGAGCTTACGCCTTCTCGAGCATAAGCTCGCATTCGGCTCAAAGAGCAACGGCTCGTGGAGACTCGACTCATGGTTATAGCCCGGTGCAGGCTTATCAGACGTCTCCAATGGCTCGTATGGTGAGTCGGTCTCAGCAACTGGGGAAGACCAATGCTGAGTTTGACGAAAACGAATAAAAAAAAGCTATTTGAGATCTCTCTGGTTTGTTTTTTTTTGGTTTGGTCAAGAGAGAAATTGAGTTGGTTGGGTCTGAACCGGGACATGGTTTGTACTTTGTACTGGTTTTTCTTAAGCAGTAATTTTGTATTGCTTATCTGTTGGCTGTTGCTGATCTTTTCATTGGGTTAACTGGATTCGTATAAGTTAATGTAGTCACCGATAAAATTCTTAATTGTTTGGTACCTTAGATAATATTTTAAAAATTGGTAATTTGGACTAATAGATAAAACCAACATATATAAACTATTTTTCGATGAAACCCAAACAGTAAAAAAAAGGAAAACAAAAATAAAAAAAGAGAGAATAATAAGAAGCTAAAAAATATTATAGATAAATACTACATAGACGGTTGACGTGTACTACTTCTCGATACTAATTCTTAAATTGAACAATTCGCTTTTTCTTCGACAACCGCTTCTTCTTCTTCTTCTTCAAGTCTTTGTGATCTTGTGATCAATTTTCTCCTTCTTCTCCATCCAAATTCCCTTTGCTTTTGTTTCTCCGAGTCTCTACCCCCAAAAAGATGGCGAACGCGAACAACTGGCAAGAAGCGAAATCGGATCTGGAGTCGAACGAAGGTCTCAATCTTCCCAAAACCCTAGACCCCTCGTCAGCTTCTTCCACCGGTGCCTCAAGACCATCCGTTGACGCGACCCAGACCGATTCATCTTCTGCTCGCCCTCGGCCTACTTCTTCCTCTTCAGGCCCTTTCTCTAAGGTTCTCTCTCTCTCTCCCTTTTCTCCGTATCTCTATAATCAACTTATGTGGGTATGCGAAAAGAACAAGTTTGATGAAAATTTGGGGGTTTTAGCTACTGTTTATCCATCGATCGTCCCAATTAGTTAGGTTTATGATATAATAGGCGTTTTTTTTGGCCAAATATTATGTGATTCAGATTGGTTTTTTTTAAAAAATTTGCAGAGCCGATGCGCGATTTGCTTGGATGAGATTAGGAAGGAAGACGGGAAGGCCATATTTACCGCAGAGTGCTCCCACTCCTTCCATTTCGATTGTATAACATCCAACGTGAAACACGGAAACAGGATATGCCCTTTATGCAGAACTCAATGGAAACAAGTCCCTTTCGGTGATGATGCTACTGTTCCTGTCCCTGTCCCTACCTTTCCTGCTCAAAGGGGTTTTGAAGATGATGAGTTTTTACCTCACGGAGAGTCTCCAGTACAGCGTGGTGACCGTGATCATCATTCCGGCCATCAAGCCCTCGAGATTAAGCTGCTCCCACAAGTCTCTGCTGTGGCGAAATCGGTCACTCGTGGTGACTTTGCTGTCCTGGTTCATCTTAAGGCGGAGGGTGTGAGTGGCGATACGCCCACTCGTGCTCCTCTTGATCTCATTACGGTTCTTGATGTGAGTGGTAGCATGGAAGGAATGAAAATGGAGCTTATGAAAAACGCCATGGGCTTTGTGATACAGAATCTTGGAGAGTCGGATAGGCTTTCCGTGATTTCCTTCTCCTCCACGGCTCGCCGGCTATTCCCTCTTAGACTGATGACTGAGGCGGGCAAGCAAGCGGCGATGCAGGCTGTTAACTCCTTGGTTGCTGGCGGTGGGACAAACATTGCAGAGGGGCTGAGGATTGGTGCTAGGGTGATTGAGGATAGGCGATGGAAGAACCCTGTTTCAGGGATGATGCTCTTGTCAGATGGGCAGGACAACTTTACTCTCGGTCATTCTGGGTACCGTCTGAGAACAGACTACGAGTCTTTGCTTCCGGGTTCTAGCCGGATTCCAATACATACCTTCGGGTTTGGCTCAGATCACGACGCTGAGCTGATGCACACAATTTCACAAGTCTCTAGTGGCACTTTCTCGTTCATTGAAACAGAGACTGTGATCCGGGATGCTTTTGCGCAATGCATTGGAGGGCTTCTCAGCGTCGTGATTCTTGAGCAAGTTGTTGAAATTGAATGCATTCATGAGCAGGGCCTGAAAATATCATCCATAAAAGCAGGAAGCTACAGAAACCGCATGTCATCTGATGCAAGAACGGCCACCATCGACGTCGGGGACATGTACGCAGAAGAAGAAAGGGATTTCCTCGTGATTCTTGACATTCCGTGCTGCGACAACGGGTCTGCTGAAGCTGAATCCATGTCGTTGCTGAAGGTCCGATGCGTCTACAAAGATCCTGTAACGAATGAGATAGTCCATGTGGAATCCGGAGAACTAAGCATTCAAAGGCCAAACGAGCTAACGGGACAAGAAGTGGTGTCCATAGAGGTTGACAGACAACTAAACAGGTTCCTTGTTTCACAAGCTATTTCAGAGGCTAGGGTTTTAGCCGATGGAGGTGATCTCAGTGCAGCAGTTGGGCTTCTGGGAAACCGTGAGAGAGAGTTGTCGGAGACAGTGTCTGCTCGATCCAGTGATAGGCTTTGTCAATCACTATCCTCCGAGTTGAGTGCGGTGCAAGAAAGGATGACAAGCAGGAGGGTGTACCAAAACTCAGGTCGAGCTTACGCCTTCTCGAGCATGAGTTCGCATTCAGCTCAAAGAGCAACGGCTCGTGGCATGGTCTCTGGATTTGGAATGCATCATATATGTGGCGCGCCCGCGCCCCAGGCTTATCAGACGTCTTCAATGGCTCGTATGGTGAGTCGGTCGCAGCAACTGGGGATCGGAAGTTCTAAACCGTCACCGTCCCCTGCTCGTGGAGACCGAACCTGAATATGACAGAGACAAAAAATGGGTTTGACGATTACTTTTGCTTGGTTGGTTTATATTGGTTTGGTCAGTGTGAAGAGAGAAATTGAGTACTGATGGAGGAACATGGTTTGACTGTTTTTTTTATTATTATTAGCTACTGGCTTTTCTCAAGCAGCAGCAATATGCATTTGGTTATCCGTTCAAGATTTGTTGCTCAACTTTTATTCTCTTTTATTTGGTTTATTGTGGATTCGTATAATGGTGGAACATATTATCTTTGCACAGCAATCTTTTTGTTGGTACGGTGGACAATATTTTAAACAAATGAAATATTTTGACTAATGGATAGATGCAATATATAAAAGTAATTTTCGTATTACGATCATAACTAGTAGATGGTTCGTTTCCAGGAAAAAAATATGGGTTGATCATAACTAGTAGATGGTGAGTGTGAAGAGAGAAATTGAGTACTGATGGAGGAACATGGTTTAACTGTTTCGTTTTTTTTTATTATTAGCTACTGGTTTTTCTTAAGCAGCAGCAATATGCATTTGGTTATCCGTTCAAGATTTATTGCTGAACTTTTTTTCTCTTTTTTTGGTTTATTGTGGATTCGTATAATGATAGAACATAATATCTTTGCACAGCAATCTTTTTGTTGGTACGGTGGACAATATTTTAATCAAATGGAATATTTTGACTAATGGATAGATGCAATATTTAAAAGTAATTTTCGGTGAAAACGATCATAACTAGTAGATGGTTCGTTTCCAGGAAAAAAATATGGGTTGATTTTTTATTTATTTTTCTGCTATTTGTTTAGTCTGTTTGCTTAATTCGGATGATATCTATATAAGTTTGATTTTGGTTTGGTTTGTTTGTTCTGGAAATATATACCGATAAGAGATTACAGTTTAGATCCTAAAACGGGAATTAAAGATCCAAAAACAAACAAAAATCAATAAAGGAAGCCACGTATGCAGAGATTTAGGTAAGTTTCGGATAAAATTAAAATGGCGTGGGTCTTACCAAAATATCAAAACTACAGTTTTTGATTTATTTTCGGTTTAATTTACCTCAGAAAAACAACAAACAATCGGCTCGTTTTCTCCTGAGTTTTCTCTTCAGTGCTTCACTAACTGAATCTCTCACCACGTTGCCCTGAGAGATCAGAGAAGCGACTCAGAACCCTAATCTACAAGTTCGATTCTGTCAAATCTCCGTAAGTAGCATCGCATTTCCCTTTGATTTAATTCGATTCTTGGGTCCTTTTTTCGCGACTATTAGTTTGGTATTTTGATATCATCTGTGTATTATGGCTGTTTGGATTTTGATCTAGCCTGGTTTAAGTGATTTGAATCTGTAGTAGGATCATATCATAGATGTCGACTATTACACCGACATGTTTTTCTTTTCTGCTGCAATCATAGAGTTGTCGGTTTCGACTATTTTACAAATCACTGTAAATTTTGCTCAACCTGTGTGCTCCTTGAGTTGTTGACTGTCTTGTCCGTTATTGTACTGGACACCTTATGGGTAGTGGTGAATTGTGAGCTATTATGATTTAGTATATGATATTTAAGAAATTGGACGGTTACGCTTTCCTGCATCAATTAGGTCAATGAAAAATGTTATAAATTCCTGCTTTATTTCGTCTTTATTTCTGATTTATACTTTCCAGGATGGGTATTTGATTAATGAGTGAACATTTCGTTACAAACTTGAACAATTTCTTGTGTCCTTCAAAGTCTTCTTCTTTAAGGACTGGGTTTAGTATTTTTTTGTTGATGTAGATTTGGAGATTTTAGCAATCCGATGGGGACTATGCACCGGAGGTACATTTCATTGCGGCTTTTGATGTAGGAAACGAGTTCTGAATTGCTTTCAATTTGAATAGTTTACTTATTGTTAAACTCTTTTGCAGCGGTGCTCCCAGAAGGACAAATGAAAACGCGAAGCTTATCATAACGACAATCGTGGGAGTGGTGTTTGGTTTTTTTATTGGTATCACATTACCATCAGTTTCCTTTAGAAAGGTATATCCGAGGTTGTGGGATTCATAGGTATATCTTTTCTTTTGCGTCTCTTATCACCGGTTGATATGTTTTGTCTTCTGCAGATTAACTTTACCTCAGGCCTTATATCATCTCTTGATGTAGCCATGTCAGACGGGAAGTTATTTTCCGGTGGCAGATCACCTGAAGATTTTGGTTCTCGAGAATTTCCCAAGGTATATATATCTCCTGAAGCATCTCTGTAATTTCGATGCTGATTCATCGTGCTAGATTAAGATAAATATTACAGATTCACGAGGCAGTGCACTTCTATTGTGTTTCATGGTTATCATGTGTATCATTTCTGTTTCTATGTTTGCAGATATATGTTCCAACCAATCCGCATGGTGCAGAACTGCTCCCTCCAGGAATTATTGTGGCAGAAACAGATTTTTACTTGCGCAGGTTATGGGGTGAACCCAGTGAAGTAAGTTCTACAATCCTATTGATGTACCAAAGTCTAATGGGAACATGTTCAATTGGCATAGTATAATTTATATTGTGTTTTGCGATTTATTATAAAAGCGTAACCTCTGCAGGATTTGAAGAAGAAACCAAAATATCTCGTAACTTTTACAGTTGGTTTTGAGCAGAGGAACAATATTAATGCAGCTGTTAAGAAGGTTCTGCAATTGCTCAATTTCCCCCTCATGTTTTGAGTATAATGCGATTCTTTGTTTTGATACCATTAACACTAAGATTCGTGGTTTCATCATCGTTGCTTCAGTTTTCTGAAGATTTCCAAATTTTGCTATTCCATTATGATGGCCGGACAACTGAGTGGGACCAGTTTGAGTGGTCAAAAAAAGCAATACATATCAGTGCAAAAAAGCAAACAAAATGGTATGAGATCTGATGATGGTCAGCACAATATACTCCATTCTTCAAGCAGTCTTGAAAATTTGTTTGATATAACCCCATCTTTTTCAGGTGGTATGCAAAGAGATTCTTGCATCCTGATGTTGTATCAGCTTACGAATATATCTTTATATGGGATGAGGATCTTGGAGTCGAGCATTTCAATGCAGAAAGGTGAATTACTTGTCTGGAATCGTAGTTACAGATCAGTGACAATCTTGACATTTTGTATTGTTATTTTTCAGGTACATTGAGTTAGTTAAGAAGCATGGTTTGGAGATTTCTCAACCGGGCTTAGAGCCAAACAACGGACTTACATGGGAAATGACAAAGAGGAGAGGTGACCGAGATGTCCACAAGTAGGAGCTCTCTCTTTCTCTCTCTCTCGTTTACCTTTCCTTTGCGTTTAACTCTGTCCCTAAGTTTTTCGAGTGGTGAACAGAGAAACTCAAGAAAAACCAGGATGGTGCAGTGATCCACATTTACCTCCATGTGCTGCGTAAGACCCTCTACACTTTTTTCTCTTTCTTGCCTATCTCACTGAAGAGTGCTTAATAAGTTTTGGTAACGGATTAAACCCCACTGCAGGTTTGTTGAGATCATGGCACCCGTATTCTCTAGAGAAGCATGGCGATGTGTTTGGCATATGATTCAGGTTTTTGTTTCTCCAAAAGATCTTCATGTTACCCTTTTATTTATGGACAGCAGATCTGACGATCATTCATCATATTCACTAGAAACTGTGGCGTAAATGAATCTGCTTCGGTTTCTGATAAGTAATCAAAAAGAGTCTGTCTAGTCTCTTCCCAGACCATCATTTGGGGGTTTTAAAACAATCTTGTTTGTTTGGGGTGCAGAATGATCTTGTTCATGGATGGGGTCTTGATTTTGCTCTCAGACGATGCGTTGAGGTTAGTCAGTGTTGCCCTCTGCTTCGTTGGTAAAATCCTTTGGAAGCTATGTTTATATCATAAAAGCTCCTTGTCGAATCTCCATCCGTATGTATTCTCTTCCATTTGTAGCCTGCTCATGAGAAGATTGGTGTAGTAGATTCACAATGGATTATCCATCAAGTGATTCCTTCCCTTGGAAATCAGGTGATTTTACTTTTTTATCACTGAGCAACGAAGAGATTACTGTATGTTCTTATTATCTCTGAGTGATCTCTTGACTCATCGTAAATGTAATTTGATAGGGTGAGTCGGAGCAGGGGAAATCTCCATGGCAAGGGGTAATAAAGCATACATTATTATACTTAACTAGAAGAAACCTGCTGCTGCTCTAATCATCTGGAAACCCTAATTGTATGTGTGTGTGTGTATTTTCCTCGGTTTCAGGTTAGAGAGAGATGCAGAAACGAATGGACACTGTTCCAGAACCGCGTGGCAGAAGCAGATAGAAAGTACATAGAACAGCACAAGGTTAAAGAATAATTTGGTTCATCATCAAATCTTCTTCTTACTCTTGTCTCTGTAAATGAAACTTTCGTTTCCATGATCAAGTGAGTGTGAGTAGAGAGATCTCAGTAGCCCCCTCCTGTAGTTTAAAACCTCTCGTCAGATATATCCACGTTTTTAGCTTTTATATAATATATATATGTAGTGATGATATTCCATGGTTTAGATGCAAAATACATCTTGAGGACTTTTTCCAGATTTGATCACAGCCCAACTTACACAATACACACTGAACACAAACAGAACAAGTTTTTCCGAAATACAAAGAGTACCACAAGATCATGTGCAAGATAACAAGACTAAAGTCAACTCCACAATGTTGGAAATCAGATGAAGAAGCAATGTCAGAAGAGCTTTCGTTGGAATCCTGGATCGATGTTTCTGGATAACTTGGTAAGCTTCATGGGAGCTCCAGGGCAATGCGCAGAGGGAGGTGTGTGAGAGCCATCACCACACTCCTCTATTTGAAGACAGAGAACAATACTAAAGAGGTTTTGGTACAAAGACTCGATTATTTCTTCATCGGAACAAATATCAATCCTCATCTGATCATTGTAGTGGTCGCAAAGTGGAGACAATGCAATGACGATTCCACTGTCCCCATTATAGATAGGAGTTAAAGGTGATGTTCCTTCTTCAATGGAGGAGTCTTCTAGAACTCCACACTGATCTCCATTGTCCGTAGTATTGTTATAATATCTAGACAAAACAGTAAACGCACAGTCAAACATAACAATCAGACAAAGCCAACACTACAGATTTTCATTTCACTAGGCTAGCCACATGATTTTGCATCTATTTTATCGAATTTGTTAGTCTCTGAGCATAGACATCTATTGCTAAAAAAAAATTAATTCGATAATCTCAAAAGAATATATCAAAAGGCTGCAAAAACTCACGAGTCTCGTTATCAATTAAATTAACTACGACACGTCTGATTAACACTAAGCTGTTTCAAAACTGCGTTAAGTCGTATAAGAAAAACTATTCCGCGTGACTATTTGTGGATTATCATCGAAATTCGTTAAGGAAGAGAGGAAAGTATTTATTAGGAGCAAATTCACGATATGAGAGAGCAAGTGGCTGTGCTCTGCTAATCTACAATGACAACAAGTGCGTATCCTTCCTGATGCTTTATATGGATAGAATCTAATCTAAATGAGAATTTTTTTTATTCGTCAAAATCATCGAAACTTGTTGAAGTGATTAGCATTTCTCGCAGTACAAAGACGATTTAAAGAGGGAGAAGAATTCATACCTTTGTTGACTCATGAGGCCTGTAACTTTTTGTTTATCTTTCTCTGACAGCAAGCTTTTTGTTTAACTTATGCGCCTTTTTTTAGGGATTTTAATATTTATAATCTTGAGAAAATGACAGTGCAGAAACAAAAAAAGGTAACTCAGTCTCGGCCAATCATTCATCAAATCCTCTCTGAAACCATGGGGTTGATTTAAAACTAAATTTCAGTTAAGTAATTCCGCAATTGTATTAATTTATATGGTTTATTACGCCCTAATCATTCTAAAAAAATGTTTTTTTTTCTTTCGAATTAATACATTGATGTTTTTTTTTTCTAAATATTGATTAAAAATTATTATGTGTCTGTTATTTATTAAAATTAGTTATTTAAAATGATAATTTTGCTATAAAACTATCAAATTACTTTTGGGTATTTCCATTCCAATGGCAATATATATAAATAAATCTAGCATAATAGTAATATAATCATTACTTTGCTATTTATAGAAAAGCCTGTGGAGGTAACTTCTATCTCTGTTGGAAATTCATGTATTTTTTTAATTCTATACATATTTATTGATATTTTATCATTATAATAAACATAACCATATATAGAGAGTAGACATGTGATAGATATTTATTGTATAGATCAGAACAAACACAAACACAACACAACGATTAAAACGATGACATAATTAAAAGGAAACGACATGCATATCATCGTCATGGTCAGACAAATGAACCCACAACATTTTTAGAGACAGGCCTAACTATAGAGGGTCGGAATGTTGGGGGTGGTGAGTTTCTTGCTGACACACAAGACAAGAGTAGTAATTTAAACACGTTCCCTAAACACATTAGTATCAAGTTCCATTATCTCCTTCATGAAAACTGAAAACAACCACTTTTGTTTCTCTGTCTCAATTAATGTCACCTCTGCATGTAGCGTGTGTTTTGTTATTAATTATGCTAAATTTCTTTTTCTTCTATAACATTTTCTCAAGATTTATTTCTAATTCATATACTAACAAACAGAAAAAAAAAACATAGACGGAGTTAATAAGTTCTTTGAAATCGTTTATATCAATCGTGGTATTGGGAAATGAAGTTTGCGTTAAAAAAAACAACTCGCAAGCTCCGGTCAAACCCCGAGTTGAATAAAAAAAAAGGGAAGTGTCATAAATATGTTGACCAAACAAAAAAAAAAAAGCATTGGTCTAAATAAGTGTATGAGGAAGAAACAGATAAAAAAAAAAAATTGTAATCAATTATTTTGCACTAGTCCTCTCACCTCACACCTCAGTGCGTGTTTCCTCAAAAGTTTATGTTTTCTGGGTGGCGAGAAACCAAGAGAAAATCTCGTGACCCTGTTCTCTCGGGAGCGCACACAATCTCTCCTCTTCGTCTTCCTCCATCGATGTAATACAAGCGACAAAGAAAACACCCTTATTTCGAGCTTTTCGTAGGGCCTAGTGGATAGCGAGTTTTGCCCCCAACAGCGATCGAGGGAATTTATGAGCACGAGATCTCGATTCCCCATACACGTAGGCCTCTCTTCTCTTTCGTGTTCCTTTGTTCCTTTCTTATTCAATTCTTCGATTTTCTGGGTCCCCTTTTTTTTGCCTGCTTTCTCTTTCTCCTTCTCGAACATTTCCGTTTCGTTTTATACAACTCACAATCGTTAATTTTCCTTTTCAGCTTCTGGGTTTTTGTTTTTGAATATCGCTTCTTTCTCTTCAGTTCTAAATTCGCTTGTAAATTTTTTTAATAAAAAAGTTTTAATTTTAAGCTTCGCTAATCATCAGCAGTGTTTGGAATCGGGACATAATGCAAATGAATCCTATCTCGAAGCTGGCTCTGGGGTTAATACTTCTCGGCTCAGGTTTGTTGTTGAATGGTTTTTAGAGATTTGATTGATTCTTACTTTACCAAACTGGACTTGTCTGATGCCTTCTTCTTCTCTTTTCTACTGGCAAATCATATCAGTTCTTGCCTCCTTTGCGGAACTTGATTTTGGTCATTGCGAGAGAGTTGTGAAAAAGTGGGCGGATACTTCTTATTCTCGTGAAGAACATCCCAACAAAGACAAACGCTCGCTTCAGGATTTGCTCTTCTTTCTCCATGTTCCCCGAACTGGAGGCAGGACATATTTTCATTGGTGTGATTTCCCCTTACCACCATGAGTTTTGAGTCAACTGAACAATATTTCTTTTCATCGGCGTGGTTAATGCTTTTGTTGTTGTCCTCTTGTAGTTTCTTGAGGAAGTTGTATGATAACTCTGAGGAATGTCCTCGATCCTACGACAAGCTCCATTTCGACCCAAGGTATCCTCCTCTTGGTCTGTATCCTCCCTTTTGTCATTAACACCGTGTCTTCACTTGATGCCAAAAGATTCTGTGACTTGTTGGATTGATAAGTTGACCTCTAGATAGCTTAGGCAGACAGTGGATCAGTAGAAAGTTACTAAAGTGTATGTTTTCCCGTAAATTGATAGGAAAGAAAAGTGCAAGTTGTTAGCGACACATGATGATTATAGTTTGATGGCAAAGCTTCCGAGAGAGAAAACTTCGGTGATGACAATAGTCCGGGATCCAATCGCTCGTGTGTTGAGCACTTATGAATTTTCAGTGGAGGTAGCAGCTAGGTTCTTGGTGCATCCCAATTTGACTTCTGCGATTAGGATGTCTGGCCGCATTCGCAAGCGTAATGTAATCAGCACGCTAGACATATGGCCATGGAAGTATCTAGTTCCATGGATGAGAGAAGACCTGTTTGCTCGGGTATGTCTACCAATCCCATTCGTCTTCTTTTGTTGCATACATACACAAACGACGTTTAAGCTCATACATGAAACTATCGACTGAAGCTTGTCACTCATGCTTGGTCTTTCTTAGCGAGATGCACGAAAAGCTAAGGGCGTAGTTATCATTGAGGACGATAACCCATATGACATGGAGGAGATGCTTATGCCGTTGCACAAATATCTCGATACGCCTACTGCTCATGATATAATCCACAACGGAGCTACATTTCAGGTACTTTTCATGTTCTTTGTTTTGCTTATTCAAGTAATTGATTAGAGATCTCCAGAGCGTTTTCATTTCATTTCACAGATTGCAGGATTGACAAATAACTCCCATTTATCAGAAGCACATGAGGTTCGGCATTGTGTGCAGAGGTACAAAAGCCTTGGTGAGCCTGTTCTACAAGTCGCTAAGGTACTTACACTTGTTCTTCGTCATATGGTATTTCTCTCTTAAAATCAGCAGATCCTTAAGCCTTCTTGTCTTGCAGAGAAGGTTGGACAGCATGTTGTATGTTGGACTGACAGAGGAGCACAGGGAATCTGCATCACTTTTTGCCAATGTAGTGGGTTCTCAGGTGCTCTCTCAAATGGTTACGTCAAACGTAACTGCGAAAATCAAAACCACTAAACCAGGTTGGTGTAAGTTTCTCACTATTCATTTATCTTTATACCACTGCTGTTCTGTCTGAGGAGAACCTAGCTACTTAGAGTCAGGGTAAAATGGAGCATTCTGTAGTTACAGTGTACATTTTGTTCGGGGTACCGCTCTTGAAAGTATGATTAAGGTGTTGAGTAGGTATGGTTTTTACTTGATTTTTGGCTTTTAAAAGTCCAAAACTCATTATGTCATTCATTCAACTGTTAATGTCATCATATCTACACAACTTTAACAAAAGATTCTCGTTTTCTGTTACTGGGGATTATCGTATAAGCTTTGATCATCTCGTATCTTGAAGGTTTCATCTGTTCTTTTCTTTCATTGGAGCATCGTTTTTACGTTTTAGATGATCTAATGCCGGGTTAACAAATTTGTACCTTCAATCACAAAAATTCTCAATTTCTTTTGTTGATGCTCCAGAAGCAAGTGTTACAGTTTCAGAATCGGGGTCAGATAAGAGTGAAATTCAGGTTAAATCCTGCTCCTGAATGAAATAGTTTATATTTGTTGGGCTGTAAAGTGTAATTTTCTCTGCTGAAAACGACTGTAACATTGCAGAATGGTACATCTGAAGTTGCATCGAATAAGATCGAAGCTAAGAGTGGAAATGTAAGTAAACTTTCTTTTGGCGTTTATGATCAACGTGTGTGATTTAATAATGTCTATATTGAATACACTTCAGATGACAGTGAAAATCCTTATGGAAGTCTATGAAGGCTGCATTACTCATCTACGGAAAACCCAAGGAACCAGACGGGTCAACTCCTTGAAGAGAATTTCGCCAGCAAATTTTACCGGAGGGGTAAATATAATTTTGTAAATTATTTTGAACCAGTAAAGTAAATGAGGGAAGGCCTGAATAATGTATTAATCTCTTGGTAATGGATTCTACAGACGCGCACAAGAGTTCCTAACGAGGTCATTCAGCAGATCAAATCGCTAAACAATCTAGACGTGGAGCTTTACAAGTATGCAAAAGAAATCTTTGCCAAGGAACATGAGCTAGTGTCAAAAAGATTGGTTTCAACTGTAAGTCCCTCTTCTTGTTACAACGATCACATTTCGCCATTTGTTTCCCAAACAAGACATGCAAAGAGACTTCCTCAATGTTTCTCTTTCAAAATGCGTGTGCGTGCAGTCTAAGAGAGGCATTGATGATCTGCAGAATGAGTTAAGGAGCGTATTTGGAGAAATGGATGATGAGAAGCTGTGGAAGTCCGTATCAGTGGCATTGATGCTTTTATTGCTCTTCCTCTTGTTTCTATTTGTAAACGCTAGAAGAAGAAGAACCTCTAAGGTTAAGATTTGATCATTGTCACTCTCTTTGGCCCAAATCAGCAATTTGGAGGACCTTTAGGGGTCTAATTGTAATATTCTTTTCTTTTCGACTTTTCGTGGAAAAGAAAAAGTTTTGGGTGTTGCCTTACAGGTGAAAAAGGGAAAATCAGAAGTAAGTCTATCTTCTTTTTTTTTCAAAAGGCTAAAAAAAAAATTATAAACGAAACTTAGTGCTGTTTATTAAAAAGACTTGAAAAGTTTTTATTGTTCCATACATTGATGAGTTTACACTTTTTTCCCAACAAGCAACCAATTTTTGATAAAGTTCATAAGATTTCTTCGCACTTTGTAGTTTGAATGGTCTGTACTATTTGCACGTAATTGACGGTACAATTAATATATTATTTTTTTGAAAAAATAAATCTATCTATTATGGTCAGCGTACAAAAGCAGAAAATAAACTCCCCCACATGATATTTGTTTTTAACCAGGATGCAGAGTGAAAATAAAAATAAATAAAAAGCAGCATAAAATATCGATGTTAAGGGGAAAAAAGGGAAAAAGAATATCGATTATAGTTTATTCGTATGACTAGTATTAACTCCCGTGCTAAGCATGGGAATTTAATTTTATCTATAAATAAAACTAAATTTTAGTTTTATACAATAAAAAATTACAGATATAAATTAACTTTGACTTATCTCAAAGAAGAAAGATATGAATATTGAAACAATTATCATTGATTACTAATAAATAAATGAAAATTAAACTAAATTTTATTATAATAATATATTATTTTTAGGTATTGTAACATGACTATCATATTGAAGCTTTTTAGGAATAATTTAATAGCGAGAGAAGATCTGTCTTAAATCAATAATATTTAAATATATGAAAATTCTTATTAGAAAGTAAATATGTAACAAATTGTGCATAAATTAAAATAGAAAAGAAAAAAAAAGCAAATTATTTACCTCAAATCAGTGAAAATCTATATAGAATGCAAAGAGCTTTGGATAGAGACTTATCACTCATATAAAATAAATCGTAACCAAAATTAAACTTGAGAAGATATCTAGTTTCTATATTTAATGAAGATGAAGTTTTTGTCCCTAAATATTTGTTGTCAACTGGTAGTAATAGTGTGGAAACAAAATATAAATATTAAAGAGAATAATTATCTTGTTTTTTGGAGATAATGGAGGAGTGGAGAAGGGGATAACTGCAATTAATCCTGGAAAATGAATATTATACGTGCAACTACAGTTATTTTTTCTTTAACTTTAATTGTATTAAGGAAAAATTATCTTAAAAAAAAACATAATAAAAATTAATTAAAAGTAAGAAAGGACACATGTCAAATCCACAATTCACAACTGACTTGTGATTTATAAGTATAAAGATATGATTTTAAATAATTGATAGGAAGAACACATCATGTGGAAGATGGAAGCAAAGAGTTAGGCAAGGGACCCACTTTCCCATGAGGAAACGCCATAATTATTAAATTTCGGTTCTCGTCTCGTAATCGTCGGTGATCTCTCCATTTCACTTTGACAACTTATTTGTTTGCTAAATACTATATTAACATTATTATTAGCAATCCCTTAAAAAATGTAATAGATCGGATCTACGACGAACCATCCTTCCTCAAGGTTTTTGTCACCTGATTTCGCATGTGCTATGCTCTTCTGTTTTTCTTCTAACCTATCCCACGCAATAATTTTCTATATTCTATAGTATTTCATTATTTCACTTCACTATTACTATGTCTATATTACCGCATTACCACATTAAATTGGTGATTTGTTTTTATCCTCTTACACGGACATATATTCCTCATCCATTCAGAATTCAGATCAATATTTGACTAATATTTTCAGTTACTTACCCTATACTATATGTTAATTCAAATATCCGTAGAATATTCGTGTAAATATCTTTATTTACTGGAAAAGAGGCTCTGTTACATTTTTATCTGCACCAGAAAATTGGGTCTTTCTTTATTGCGCAACGTTTGAATTGAATTTACATTCAGTTAATATATTGCTTCGGTTAATGTATTTATTGATTTGAACAGAACCAATAAAAACAAGAAAAATCGTATTTATTGAGTTACACAATGTTTTAGTAAAGACGCGTTGATACATATTTTCTTTCTTAGTTTTCGGTCTGTTCCTCCCAAAAAGAAAAAAAAATTGATGACGGATTTTCTTTAAAGTTAAGAAATGTTGAGGTGAAAAGCAGTTTCCATGTTTTCCATTTTTCATTATTTTTTCTTATAATCTAAAAGGGAAGAAACCGACGAGAGACATTGAAAACTCCATCCACCTTTTCTCCCTCCTTCCCTCTCTCTCTCTTTCTCTCTCCCCCAAATTTGAACCTGCAAATCCCTAATTCCCCAATTTCGTATCGTACGACTCTCTCTCTCCCTCTAGTCAATTATATTGGAAGGTCCGTTCGTTCGTCTCTCTCTCTCTCCCTCTCCGTGTTTCGTTTCTTTAGATGGAGAAATACCTCTGTATTGTTGTATTTTCTGTGTGTTCGTTTGCGTTATTTTTCTTGTGTTTTCAACGTTTCGGAGAATGTAGAAAGGAATTTCTATGGTCGGTTTCTGTTCTTTGAATAATCTTTGTTGCTTTGTTTGGTGTGGGAGAACGCGACGGACACTTGGTTCTTTGTGGTTTAAACTTTTAATCTTCTCTACCTTTTAAATGTCGCCATTGTATTTGTATGTACGAAAAAATCACAGCTTTTTTTTATGTCTCACCATTTAAAATTGATTCTTTTGTTGGCTATTCCGTTTCTGAAATTGCTTTGGTAACGACTCAGTCTTAGTCAGTGTGTTTTGAGTGAAACCTCCAATATTTTCTTCGACGGAACTGAAAATTTTAAGGTGAAACTTGATTGGACAAGCTAAGTTGACATGGAGATTACTCTTACCGAGTTTTAATATTCTCTTCATAGCTGTTTTGGTGCATATAAATTGTTGTATATCTGTTAACGTTTCTCGGGTATGATTTTTTTCCAGCAGTAGGTAGCATGAATTGGTTACCTGAGGAGGACTTGAAAGGTCTCTCGGATGATTTCTTTGATGATCTCATCAATCACTTCGGTCTTCCGCTAGAAGACATCGATGCCAGCAACGGCGAGGGAGATTGGGATGCCAAATTTCAAGACCTCGAGCCTCCTCCCATGGATATGTTCCCGAGTTTTGCCTCTGAGCTCGCCTCTTGTTGCATTAGCAAGGGAGGCCGCGTCGGGGTTCAGAAGACCGTACCCATCATTGTGAGTCCTTGGTTGCTGCTTGTTTACATCACCTTATGCGTATTGCTTGTTAGATTGTTTCTCTTATGTGTTAGCTTTTTTGGTGATAGCTTGGAAAAATAGTCATGCTTTGATACTTCGAGATCATATAGATTTGAGTCTAATATTATTTCGTGGGTGCAGAAACAGTCCAGTTCTTCTGAAGCCTTGTCTGGCGTTAACAGAGATCTCCACCAATCTTCATCGCCTCCTGATATCAAAGTCTCAAAGCTATTTCAGTCTTCAAGCCCAGTGTCAGTTCTTGAGAGCAGTGACGGTTCTTTCTCGCCCCAGAACTCCAGATCCCAGAGGTTGGCGGATTTTTCTGTGAAAGGCATGAGGAGCAAGCGCAAGCGCCGTACAACACTGAGATCTAGATACCTTTACCCGTTTGAACCCAGTATGCCCGAGAAGTTCCCTCCGGGCGAATCAGGATCCGAGACTTGTGAGCAACATGCTGCCAAGAAGAAACGCAGGATTCTCCCGAGCAGCCACACGGTGTCTTACAATCCAGAGGCGAGTAACTGTGACGGGATAGTCCGGAAATGCACTCATTGTGAGACAACCAAGACTCCGCAGTGGAGGGAAGGACCCAGTGGACCAAAGACACTCTGCAACGCTTGCGGGGTCCGGTTCAGATCTGGCCGTCTAGTTCCAGAATACAGGCCAGCCTCAAGCCCCACCTTCATCCCATCTGTGCATTCAAACTCGCACAGGAAGATCATAGAGATGAGGAGGAAGGAGGACGGCCAGTTTGACACCAGCATGATTCACGGGGTGATATCCGGAGCATGAAGACATGAGGGCAGTGCAGTTTTGAGTTTGGTCTCTGAAACTGTAATGGTATAAAAGTAGGGGTTTAGTGACTTTTTTAAATCTGATGAAGAGAGTTTAGGGGTTTAGTTGAAGTTAGGTCTATTACATAGTGTTGTTTTATTCTGTGTTCGTATCACATTTTGCAAGCAATATGTTTGCAGAAGATGTTTGGCTGACATTTGTGTTTGAGACACGTGAAAGCCAATGTTTACTTCTTTTTGTTTATTAGCTCTTTCAATTCTTTCATTTTTCAAAGAAATTTTTTTTTCCCATGTAAAGTCTCAGTGAATCTGTCTGGAAAAAAGAAGAAAAAAACCCCTATAGAATACTTCCGTCCGCCCTAAAGTTCGGCATTGATGTTCATCAAACGAAACAAAAGAGTTAAATATCATCATCGCTCGAGAACAAACAAAACATTCAACAGAAACTAGAACTTTTTTTTCTTCACAGGGACAGAGACTCTCTTACACCAAATTTCAACTAGAAACAGATTTTCTTACATAAAACTCTCTCATACAAAATCACACTGTACAAGATAAACTGAATTCTCAGGCTACTTGTTTTCACTCCAAAACTCCAACTTCTTGGTCAACTTTCCAGTAGTTGTTATCATTGAACTCCTTCACTCCCGAACTTGCCTCCGCCTTTTGGTCCTCGACAATCTCCATGTTCCTCTTCATCGCTCCAGCTTCCCCGACTATCCCTTCTTTCATCGCTTGCTCCATCGCTTTCTCTGTCCCTTCTGCTTCCACTCCAACAAACTCCACGTCCTTCTCGAACAGCGATCTTTCTGTAGGGGACGACCCGTTCGGAATCACGGCTTCAGTTTCTACCTCAACCATTGGTATGTCGAGGTTCATCATGGTCTTGCTGTCGTCATCATCATCGTCATCTATGAATGGGTTCAGACCGTTGCCACTTGTTTGCATATCAGATGATGGTTCGCCCCACCCGACCCATTCGGGTGGTTGTTCGGCAAAAGCTTCTTCAGTTTTCTCCGACGTGTTGAAGTCGAAGAACCCCATTGGGCTCTCCATTTGGAAGCTGGTTTCAGTTGTGTTCATCGCGTTGTCTTTTGGAACTCCGGTTAGATCATCCTCTTCTTCTCCAACCACCACCTCGTCGTCATCACTACTGCTAGTATTGGCATTAAAGGTTCTGTTCAATTCCACGTCCTCTATCGTATTGGAACCTGCTGTGTCACTGGGTGTGCTGCCGAATCTGTCGTCTTGGAATGTGAACCAATTCGAATTTGTAAACAAGCTGCAGCAAATTAAGGAGAAAGTTTTAAGTCACTGTTTACAGAGAATGTCAGAACTCTATTAGAAAATGTAATCACTGGGGTTAAACTAAGGATACGAGGCACGCCAGTATCAAGTGGAAAAAAGAAAAAAAAAAAATTAACTCACCTTCCTTGGTCATCCCCTAGCCTTAAAGATGAAATTACTACTTCAGCAGATTCATCGTCGAAGTAAACATCCTGTATAGTATGAACACATGCCAATTTTCAAGAGCAAAAAAACAAAGTTATCAGCTTAAATCCTCATATGTATCATCATAGTGTAGCTGAAGAGGCTAGATAGTTTCCTCGATTTTACAAAAATTAAAAATTAAAAGGGGGAGGGGAAGAGAATGTGTACAAGACTTACATCATCGTCTCTATCAAGAGCATTGTGGTCCTGACCAGAGAAAATGAAAAAAAAAATGATGAATTCAGTACCAGTTAAATCGTTCATATACAGTATGAGGATAAAAAGCACTAGGATGAGAATTTACCTCTTCATTGTCATCATTTCCATACATTTTGTATCTAAATGCTTGGCTTAAATTATTGGCCAGAGCTGCAACATCGTAATCCCTGTCTTCCTCATCGCTATCTCTTATCCTATCTTGTACTGTAGTTGGGCGCCTACATGTAACAGTGGGTTTAGGAATATTTATAAGCGAGAGTGAAAATACAATCCAACCCACCAGGACCAGCTCATGATACTGCGTGGCCTCATCATGAGAAGCAATAACATTTGACTACGACTGTAAGTTGTACAATACCTTCCAGATTCAACAGATGCATGCGTCTAACATATAATACCCAGCTCAATCCAACTTAACAGGTCTTACTAATCATGAGAAATTCTATTATTTGGTACCGTTACAGCAGAACTCAAAAACGAAATATAAGAATACCCACAAGAATATATGATCTACCATCAATCATCAGGATGGACAACGATCACACAATTTTTACATCCAAATCAGCATGATGTGGCAGTGACTGATCATTTTGACGGTTACTGTATGTGAGTGGAGGTTAATGGACATACCCGCATCCCCATCTGTAGACATTCTCAACAGTGTTGCGCTCCTGCAAAACACTACCTTGCCACTCATTCCATTCACTGTTTTCCTAAAGATTTGAGAATGAACAAAGTCCCAGTCAGCAAACATGATAAGTGCGCTGAGGATGAGAGGACCATTCATCACAAGAGACTCAACTAAAAAAATGTATATCCTTATGCGTGGAAACTAAGATAAAAGGCGGCAGAAGAAAAACTACGCTTGTAATACCAACCTGAAGGTATGCCTTTATCTGGCCATTGCTGTTACTCAACTGAACAATTTTATTTGATATTCTTGTGATATGTCCAACATATCCAACCCGAGGGGGTTTTTTCCCAGAGGCGGCTATAGTGGGCTACCTCACACAAAAAGAAAATGGCAGAGAATATTTGTTAGCTAATGAACATTGGAGCAAGTCGATGGGTTAGGATGACACTATCTCACATACCAATCAGTTAAAATTTTGTGAACATAGCAAATGGTAATACCTGGCTACCACCTGAGAGATCTGAATCCCTGTCAGAAGCGAGGAATTTGCCAATCAGATTGCATTCGCGAAGAATATGGTTAACCATCAAATCACTCTTGTTTTCCAAACAAGAAAGTATTATACTCTCCACTTGATGATGCAGAGCGTTATTGTATGGGTACCTTCACAAGTTGACAGTATTTGTTTAGATAAGATCTAGTGGAAAAAGCAACATTGAGATCAAGAGTTCGAATTTTAGCACATGCTTACTCAAAAAACAGATCAAGGGTTCTTTGAATTGTTCCTGAACTAACTAACTCCTTTTGTGCAGCTTCACTTCCAGTTCTCAACAAAACTGCAATGAACTCCACAATCTGAAACACAAAAATAGGAAAACTGGGTCCAATAACGCACATAGACTTTACATATATTATAAGAGCTGTTGCTGTCCAGAACCTATAATTTCTTCACTGAAAATGCTCAATATTTGGATCTCACCTTTAGACGATGCTTTCCAAGAGGAGGCCTCAGTTCACCATATGTTGTAGGCAATACTGTACTGTCAGATGCTACAGTGAGAAGCATAAGCAAGTCGCCTGCAGAAAGACAAAAAGATATCGATCTTTCAAGGCCATTGAATACATAATCCCTGACGTGGAATACTTGTATGACTTAGTATCCTACATATACAAGAAATGGTACGAAAGCATTTCAAAATACATGAATTTAATGGGAAACCAGTTTCTTGTTATTAACATAAACAAAAATAGAAGAGAGACAATAAAGAGCAGCAAATATCAAACATGACGTGCATAAGAAAAGCGTTGACTATTATCCATGTGCAAAATTGGATTATGTGCATCATACCCAAAAAGGGCAAAAAAGAATAATATTGATAGTCATGTGTAGATCTTACATCGTAAGATCCAACTTACTGAGTTTAGGCAGCATGGCACTAATAGTCTCCTGGGACACTGGGACAGGAGACTCGAACGTATTTTGACCTCTATAAGAATTGAACATAGATGATGAAGCAGCAGATTTCCTTGGATCCAACAGAGAAGTGCATACTGAAAGCGAATGAACTAGACCCGATTTTGAATGTGAGTCTTCAAGAGCATGACCAAATATCCTAGCAACGAAGCTGCAAAAACAGGGAAAAAGTTGAGCGGCCATGTTAAATATTTATGTATCAATATAATGAAGCAATAGGAGTCAATCATGGAAGAAAAGATTACAAACCCAGGGCTAGAGAGTTGTGTAGCTAAAGCTGATGGTGCATTCCGTGAAATTGCACATAATGTTTCTGCTGCATTTGCCTGAACCTCCGGAGGACTCTGTTTCAAGTTAGAAAAGATTGTAAGAAACAACAATAATCAGAACAGATTGAAGATGATCAATCAGATCAGGTATCCTAGATTACACCATCCTACAAGCATCAAGGCAGAACGACACGAGCGTCTTGTCTTTGGGATGATTATAGAAAAACTGGACCACTTACAGATGGTTTAAGTTTGTCCACGATCATTTCAAGTAGATTGCTCTCAGCCAACCATTGCATCACATCCAGAAAGTTGGGATAGACATGATCATCAGCCCCGACCAAGCGAACCAAAACCTAGACAATGTCACATAAGTATTATAGCAAAAATGACCTCTGAGGCCACACCAAGATGCACTGAGTCTACGGCAAACCAATTACCTCCATGATGGATGTTATCCCAATCAAATCAACCAACTGGCAGAAAACATTTTGATGTCCCTGTGATCATCAAAAATTACTTTTGAGTACTGGAGCCAGTGTAGGTACCTCAACTAAACAAAAATCTAATCGTAAAGCTCATCCAAAAAAGGGAAAAATAAAATAAGGATCAACAACCGTTTTACTATATGATACTACTTACTTTTACATAATTCATAAGCGCTGCAGTCTTTCTGATCATAAGGCAAATGGCAACCTAAACCAAACAGAGACAAGTAAAGAGCACATCTCAGATCCTTGAGATGATTGAAGCCATACGATATATAAAGGTAGAAACAAAGAAAACTACTGGAAGTTGGGTAATACACAAACTTATGTATTGTAGTAGAGAGTACCTTGCTGAAGTAGCCTGCAAGCAGTGCACCATGAGGACGATTTGGTTCCAGAAAGGAAAACAGTAAGTCCATCAGCTGCAAGGTAAAATTAAGCTAACAGATGAGATCTAGGGTAACAATGAAACATATTCCAGCTGCACGAAAAATGAAAAGTAGCAACTGCCATTTGAGGAAAAGGTAATATGACGAATGAAAAGAAATACCTCTTCATCCTCCACCAAAGTTTTTAGAATAACATCAATTTCACATGTAAATATTTCAGACGAGATGAATGGAAACCTAAGCGGAAAGAAAAAAAAAATCCGTTATTAGCTAGAGAAGAAAAGAATGGTAAGACAAGGTAACTCCAGTTAGAATCAAGGAAGCATATTACTTGAAAGCACGTTTATTATCAGCATCATTTGGAGGTTCTTCAACAATGTACCGCAATAATTGCTCCACTTGAGTTTTCTCCCTTAGGCTGCAAACATTAATACCCAATCAATAAAGCTTTCCATGAAGATACGAATGAAATATGGGACTCCTCGAGTAAAACTCCACAAATATAGAAGACATTGGTTTCTCCACATCCAGTATATAGGGTGTATCTGGTACTATTAAACAGATTATGAGGGAAATAAGAAATCGTAAATGATAAAAAGGAAAACTTACAAATTAATGAGCCGGCTATTCAAAGCCTTGCATTCTTGAATAATTTCTTCCTCATCCAGAAGCTCTTCCAACGTGAAATTATCTTTGTCTAGTATCGTCTCCACCTATGTTGGTAACGTAACGAAAGAAGAAGATCAATAAATGAGCAATTCCGAACTTACATGCGGTAAGTGATTTGACAACATTCTCGAGAACAAGAACACAGACACGAGTTCAAGGTAAGGAGCAAGAGAGAGGTCGCCAATGATAATCTGTCATTGTCCTAGAATCTTCCCTGATAACTAAATTGGAATTTTAACAAATCCTATGCCAGGCTTTATATCTACGTTTATCCTGATTTCAGCAGAAGGCAGAAAATGGAACACACACACAAATACACACAATCCCAGAAGAAAAGGAGGACAACAGAGCAGACAGCGTCAAAGCAGTAAGAAGTGTATGAATTGTTTAGAAAATTGAAACTAACCAAATCCAACACTCGAAGAGAAACTATATGAATATGCGAAACGGCGGATAGAAAATCCAATAAATGTCGGTAAAACCATCCACTCACGTCTAATCTACCTCAAAACCATATCAGCTTCTCTAGAAAAGATGAAGGCAATCAAAGAATCAATTTCGAGGGAAGAAGCAACCATACAAGTGGACATGGAGGAAAAGGAAAAGAATCTGTTCAACTCACAGGAGAAGATGCAGAGAGAGACGTGAGCTTCCAGAACATGGCTGCGAGGGAAGAGTGGAGCTGAAAAGCTTCGCCGTCGCTGAAGAAGGAGGAGAGCTTGGCTAGATCCGCCAACAAAACCTAGAAGTGAATCTAGGTAATCGCTTGTTCGATGTCGGCGAGTAGCGATTTCGTCTGGGAGCTGGGAAACCCTAACCGATCAGTCAAAGAGGAGATTGAGATCCTGAGATGCTGATGATAGGGAGATCGAAATTCCGAAAAATCGAGGACGAGATTTGCATAAACAAAGGGGAAAAGTACTCTAAGTAAAAAAAAACGGGGTTGCTTGAGCTTATTATTTATTTACTTTTTTTTTGATTGAATATTATTTATTTACTTTTATTATTATGATAAAGGAACTTGGGCGTGTTATATTAATTAATTAAATTGCCATTTCACAAGATTTGTGTGTATTATTAGATAAAATTGTGATTGCTGCCAAAAAAAAAAAAAGAAGAAGATAGAATTGTGATTTTTCTTCACAGTGGCTGATGAATTGTAGTAGTCATGACGATGGTGATCAATAGTTTCGTCTTTTTTCATAAAGAAAAATTGCCAAACGAATAGCATGAGTTATTGTCATATATGGTATTGAATGATGGTTACTTGCGTTACCACCACCAAGCAGGTGACTTGTGATAAACATCACATTTATATTAAAAAAAAGTCAGCTCTTTTGCAGAATATATATTAGTTGGCGGAAGTTTGCGTTACACAATTTATTATAGCGGCATGAACCAAAATAAAGCAATTTTTGTGGATAAAATGGCAAATGATTTTGTTTTTGTTGGTTTAAAGAGTGTTTGCGCTACAAGCAGGCAACTTATCCGACCTGAAAAAAAAAACACATAAGTAGTACATTTAACGACGATGATAAATGCTGGAATTCAATAATTTCAGAAATTAAATAAGTCACAGATATTAAATTTTAAAATTCGAGATGTTCGTTATACTCTGAAAATATAAACTGGTCCTTCAGAGATATATGGAAATCAGAAATAAGGACATGGAATCCGGACTAGTTTTCGAGTGGATGCACTCCTAATATTTTTTTTGTGGCGTTTAATTATCAATAGATACTATATAGTCTATAGATTTCTATTTTAAACGAGGCCTTAATTACTTTTTTGTTTTAGATAATTCAAATCGTTTTTACATAAATATGTACCTTCTTTCGGTATGGTTTGTGAGATTCTTTCCGAAGTTTCTGTATACCAGCTTGGTTGTTTGTTTGACCATTGAGGAATTTGAAGTTGTGTATTTGCCTACTTTGAAACTCATTGGATTCGTTGAACAAAACTAGATGCACAAGCATCATAATCATAAAACAAACAGAATCTAAGAATTTTGTAAATCGAATCGATGATATATAATTGTCAAATTTTGTAGTATATATAATTCCTTTTCTTGGTCTCCTCGCATTCTTAGAAACTTCCAAAATTCAAATGAAGATTTGCAGACTATCAAACAACACACTTACACACACACATAAGCAAACAATCAAATTCGAACCGTGAAGGAAATAAAAAAGCCCTTTTCATCGAAGAAGAAGAAGAAAAGCATTAAACGTCGTTGAATTATACAACATTGATGATGGAGGAAAAGAGTAAAATGGCTCAGCAACGCCAGCTCTTGGAATGGGTATCAGTCGGAGAAGAAGATCCAACAACTTTATCAACCAACTTCCTCAATCCCTTCTTCTTCTTCGTCTTTTTCTCGCTCTTCTCCTCTTTCTTTCTCCCTTCTCCCACCTCTTCCTCAAACTGTGAACACAGCTTAAGAACTTGCTCCTCTACATTGTTTAGTCTCTCTAGCAAAGTCCCTTTACGCTCAGTCTCCTCCATCACTTGCTCCATCGACCGGCACTGTAGCTTCCCTGTGCTCCTCGGCGACGACAGATCCAGTGACGATGGCTGTGTCCCACTCGATGGAGTCGATGGGCTCGAGCTTCTTGGTGAGCTTCCTTTCATCTCCTCTAGCTTCCTCACCATGAGATCAATACGATCCAATCTTGAAAGGATGGGTTCATCTACAATAGCCATTTATGATTATCACAACTGTACGGCACCGTTTTTGGTTGTGACAGCTTCACGAGCTTTGGTTGTGTCGGAGTAGCTAAAGACAAGTCGGTCTACGAGAAGCCAAACTTCGTCTTCCCAATTTAAGAGAGGAATTGGAGACTGAAGACACGAACTACGCCACGTTTAATATTACAAAGAGAAAGTTCGTTAGAGTCTCCCACGTGTCCTTGATACACGTGCTGGATCTAGTTTTCGGACACCTCTTCTGTCTCATACGTCCAACATTTTTACTCCATCCTTCCTTATCTAATCCCCTAAATTATATCCTTAGATTATGTCGGAAACAAGATAATGTTTTTTTTATTGCAATGTTTGTTTTTGTTCCACCCACATGACTTTTAGCCCTTCACAATGTTAACGTAGTACATATATACAATGTTCATACATTAAGATTTAACTGTTCTTTAATGGATAAAATAAATTTCAGTTTTGTCAACATGTATGCAAGCGAGGATAAATTACAAAAAATATCAAAAACAAGTATTCCACGTGTTCCCATGTCCAGCCACTCAGCCTACTCAAACAGTCAAACATCACATCACATTGTACATTCCCCTGGGCCTATAGGTAATATTGGTATGTACATGATCATTGATAAAATGGGCTTACTGGGCTCAAATATATTAAGCCCATATTAGAGTCCATCGATTTCCATTGGCTTTATTCGGGCAAAAAGGGTGAAGCATAGTCGTGAAACAATGGTGTCGTCTAAGAAACCGAGCAAGGAGAAGAAGCCGAAGAGCGATGGCGTCAGTAAACCTCGTGGTCGTAATACGCGCATCGCCGGTTCCAAGGCCAATAAGAAGACGCCGAATAAGGATAACTCTGGGGACATTCTGAAGAAGGAGCCGGAGGTTTACGAGATCTCGGAATCTTCGAGCAGCGCCTCTGTGGAAGACGCGAGACGCAATGACCCGAAGAAAAGTAATGGCGTCGTCGCGACCAAGAGCCGTAACGGGAAGGGCGAAGCGAGGAGGAAAAACGGGGAAGAAGACGACGGCGAAGGCGATGATGTAGACGTGAAGACGTTTAGGTTTCCGATGAATCGGATTCGGCGGATTATGAGAAGCGATAATTCTGCTCCCCAGATCATGCAGGACGCCGTTTTTCTTGTCAACAAAGCCACGGTATAATATTTGTGATATTACATGTATATATAGCTACATAATTTGTCTAGGAGATACTTGGTTCGAGGAACTTGATTCACCTTAAGTTTTTAATGATTTTGGGAGTATCAGTTGCTAAAACCAGTGTTATCTGGGCATTATATAGTCTCGCTAATTCCGTGGTGATGAGCTTTTATCTGCTAATTGCTGCATAATGGCTTTGCATCTGCTAATTTATCCATGGGTTTTAAGTGAGTTCAGATGAAACCTTAGTTACTGCTTGATTCTCATAGGGTTAGCTCTTACCTTGTGTGGAGTGTGGAGCTGCACTTCTTATACCCAAAACTTAAAAAAGTCCTAATATATCCCTTGTATGAGATTCCGCATAATCTGCTTTAGGCTCATAGTTTGAAAGCTTGATAAGTGAAGATTGTGCTTTGGATTTCACTGTTTGTTGGATGTCTGGTATCTCGAGTGTTTTTTTCTTTTTCCCGTATTGGAACTCGGCAATTTTTTCGTCTGTTTTGCACCCTTTTTGATTTCGTGTTGTGTTATTCAAAATCGATGAATTGCATTTACAAGTATATTCACTGGTTTTTTATTTTTTTGTAATTGAAGGAAATGTTCATTGGGCGGTTTTCTGAAGAAGCTTATGAAAGTTCTGTCCAGGACAAAAAGAAGTTCATCCACTACAAACATCTCTGTAAGCTCTAATCTCTCGTCCCTATGTGCCTTTATCTAGAATATGAACTGATGCAGATGTTAACCTCAATTCCCAGCTCAATGTCGAAAATCTCATGCTGATGCATCGATGGTTTTTAGGCATATTGTTGATGATTAATCTGTTATTATCATCACTTGGTTACAAAACAATCAGTACTGATTCAATAGATGATGACCGTTTTTGTCTTCTATTTGGCAGCATCTGTAGTGAGTAAGGAGGAGAGATATGAGTTCCTTGCGGGTACTTACTATCCTGTCAAGTATTCGTTTCTCTAATTTCTAACGGTGACAGTTATTTAATGTCTTCTTGTTGAACTCGCAGATTGTGTTCCTGAGAAACTAAAAGCAGAGGTCGCGTTGGAGGAATGGGAAAGAGGCGTAACTGAGACTGGCTGAAATGAAACCGGTTGGAACCGAGCTGAACCGTTGGGATTTTGTGGCCTTTCCTGGTTAATTGGTTCCATCTGCCCAATCTTCACCTTCCTTTAATAACCCTTAATGAGATTGCACATATACTATTACCAGAACTTTTACAATTCTTCTTTTAAACTACTGTAGTTCCAGTTTGTAAGAGTTGTCGGAACTATAATATTTTACATTCGCAGTACAACAAGCAATTAAGTTGGCTGCGATTATTTCTACAAACCAAAGTTAAAATATTAGCGAAACCAGCAAAAATCAAAATTACGCAATATTATAATCTCGACCACTTAGAGCAACCCCAATGGTAATACCATTGGGAAGGGTTTTAATGATTAATTTATAATATTTAGGTATTTAAGACATTTTGTAAAATTTGGTTGTTTTTAATCCTACAATGGAGATACTTTGATGGGTGTCTTAAAAAAAAATTTAATAAACTTAAATTAAAACTTATATTAACAACTTTTATAACATAAAACATTCTTAAAATAAAATACATAGAAATATAGAAATTACATTATTGCAATAGAGAATCTGGAAAAACCGTTCAGTTATAATATTCACTTCCGCCAAACTTTTACCATAGATGTTCAACCAAATCAGCTTTCAATTGTTGATGTCTTGTTCTGTCACGAAGTTGATTGCGAACGGCCATCATACTGCCGAGATTTGTAGGCATATCGGTAGAGTACGTCATATCCACTTCTGAAGTTCCTTCTCCATGTTCAAAATCTGATACATCAGTTAGATTGTATCCATCTCGCTCGTCTTCTACTATCATATTATGCAATATGATACATGCTCTCATAATTTTTCCTATGCCAGAAAGATCCCAAAAAAGAGTTGGGTTTTTAACAATTTTAAACCGAGCTTGCAAGACTCCAAAAGCACGCTCGACATCTTTTCTGACAGATTCTTGATGTGTAGCAAATAACGAGTCTTTCGAACTTTGTGAAAGTGAAATAGATTGGATAAAAGTTGCCTATTTTGGATAAATACCATCTGTGAGATAGTACGCCAAATTATACTTGTGTCTGTTGACAAAGTAATTCACTTTTGGAGCCTTTCCTTGTAATACATCATCAAAAACTGGTGAGCGATCAAGAACATTAATATCGTTTAAGGTACCTGGAGATCCAAAAAACGCGTGCCATATCCACAGATCCTGTGAAGCTACAGCCTCTAAAACGATTGTTGGTTTTCCAGATGCACGCGCATATTGCCCTTTCCAAGCGGTGGGGCAGTTCTTCCACTCCCAGTGCATACAGTCGATGCTTCCTATCATTCCGGGAAATCCGCGTGTCTCTCCGATATACAGTAGTCGTTGAAGATCTTGTTCTGTGGGTCTTCGTAGATACTCATTCTCGAACACATATATTATTCCTTCAACGAAATTCTTCAAGCATGAAATTGTAGTACTTTCTCCGAAGCCGAGGTATTCGTCAACCGAATCAGCCGGGCACCCATATGCCAGCATACGAATTGCTGTTGTACACTTCTGTAATGCTGAAAAACCGAACCTTTCGGTAGCATCCTTTTTTGCTGAAAGAATGGAAGAGCATTCGAAAGTCCATCAACAATACGCATGAACAAAGGCTTGTTCATTCTAAAACGGCGTCGAAATAAATGACTCGGGTATTTCGCATCTTCGCTAAAATAATCGTTCCATAACTTGATGTGGCCTTCTTCGCGATTTCTTTCAATGTAGGCTCGCTTTTTCTTTGATTTGGCTGGTTTTTGATGATCAACAAAAAGATTTTTGGATAATTTATCGAATGCTTGCTCGTAATGTTGTTCATATATTTGATCTAATTTTTCATCGATCATTTGATCAAATTTTTCTTCAAATGGATTATTGGAAGAAGAAGCCATTAATAAAATATAGAAAAAAAGGAATGAGTGATTTCTTGTAACAAGAAAAAAGATGAATGATTTTAGAGATGGGAAAGGAAAATGGATGTAGAAAAATGTTGGTTTTTCGTTTCATTTATATAGAGAAAAGAGGGGATGTTGTTTGTGGTAGGTATACATTTAGCAAAAAATTGTGGTACAAATTAAAAGTGGTACAAAACAATACAATACACAACAAATTCTTTGCCCACATGTGATTCATATTGCCGACATCAAAACAATACAAAACAAATTCTTTGCCCACATGTGATTCATATTGCCGACATCAAAACAATACAAAACAAATTCTTTGCCCACATGTGATTCATATTGCTGACATCAAAACAATACAAAACAACTAGATCTTTTCCAATGTTCTTGTCTTTTCCAAAGCTGCAAAAAACCAGACAGAGATTTAAAGTTAGTGAAAACTTAAAGTTAATCGGAAAATGACCCAATACTTAAAAGTTAGAGATTCTTACCACAAAGTTAACAGAAGAAGAAATGAGGATAGTGAAGACTCTGTCTCAATACGCATGAAGTCTGAATCTGAAACAGAAACACAAATTTCAATAAACTACCAATCTCAATAACTAAAACTGAAACTGAAATTGAAAGACAAGCATGAACTTAAATACCAATCTAAATGATGATGATGGTGAAACTTAAACTGAAAGACAAGCATGAACGTATACTGAAACTTAAAATTAATTTCATAAACTTAAATAGCATTTCAGAAACTTAAATTTCATTATATAAACTTAATATCATACAAGAGTTTCAGAAATTCTAGAATTTCACAACATGTCCTGAATTAACTTATTCTTGAGAGCCATTTCTATATCAGAAAGAGGCTCTGTTTTGCAAAGGAGACTGTCAAGCAACTTTTTTATCTGAAAGCTTATCCTTCATGGCTAAGTCCTTCTGCCTTAACTCGCACAAAGTCTGAAACTCTAACAGAGACTGGCTTTCTTCCTCCGCAGAGGCTGTCTTGGTGACTGCCTTCCTAGCTTTCACTTTTGCTGCTTTAACACCAGGAGGTCGAACACCATCTTCAATGTTAACCGAGTGAGAGCTACCAGATTGTGCTGAACCATCCTCACATTTCCTTCTTTTTGAACTACCTTCACCGATACCTTTACCACACAAGTTGGCACACCATTTCTGGTCATAACGAAGCTCCTTCCATGCGTGCTCAAGGGTGAATTTCGCCTTGTTGTCGTTGTGGAAGATCTGATGAGCCTGCTTCAGAACATCATCATCATTCTGTCCACTTGTCGTATGTTTTTTTGCAGCCTCAAATGCTCCACAGAACTTGGAGACAAGCTCATTGATCTTCCTCCACCTCTGCTTACACTTGTTGTGATCTCTCTTCTCACCAGATGCAACCTTAGGACTAGCATTATATAATGCTGCTATGCGTGTCCAAAAGGCAGCACTTTTCTGCTCATTTGACACTACAGCATCCTTGCTGGTGTTAAGCCAAGCGCTAATGAGAACTAAATCATCTGTGGGAGTCCATCTCTTCCTCTCTTTACGCTCCTCTGCTGTCCCTAAACCCTCTACTGATGGTTCATCAGAACACTGACTACTAAACACGGGAACTTCTGAAGAAATTTCATAAGAAAATGGGTGAGGGTGGTGACTATCCTGTTGACTATTTAGAAGATCCATAAAATTTTGGGATTGACTATTCCTAGAATCCATAACCTAAGTTTCTGTTTGAAAGAGAAGAAGAATGGTTTTGAAACACAAATGAAAGAGAAGAAGTTGTTGAAAGAGATAATGTAAGAGAAGAAGTAGTTGACGATTTTGTGTTTAAGCAAAGCACAAGTGGTTGGCTTTTGTTTAAAGCATTCAATCGAAGCATTTATTTACAGATATAAGTCTAATCACAGTTAAACTCAATAACCAAACTCAACAACCAAACTCAACAATTAATATTTTCCCATCAACGATAATTGATTTCTATGTGATATTTCTGTTGTGTATAAGCAAGCAAATATCTACTTCATACTTCACAGAAATTTAATTAACAGAAATCTAATTAACAGTTGGTGTATAGAGAGTGCACAACAGAAATCTAATTAACAGAAACCTAATTAACAGTTGGTGTATAGAGAGTAGAGACATTACTTGTTAAGGCCTCCAGCTTTGTTAGCATCCTCCACCTTCTCAACTAGAACCCTCTCAATTGTGAACAATGTGCTGAAATAGAAAATAGGAGTCATAAGTCGTTAGACTGAAAGAAACATAGCAAGAGCATTTTCCACGGCCAGATTGTTTCTTGATACCTCGCTTTGGCTTTGCCGGTTCTGTTTCAGCCTCTTATGTTTTTGAACTCTATGTTGCTCACTTTCACCATCGATGGCTACATTTTCATTTTCCCATATGTTTATCAATAATTACTTAAATCTTTTACAAGAAACTATACGCATGCATATATATATACCATTTAGATACTTACAAAGGTGGTGTTGCAGCTATTAGAAGGGCAATAGTCTTGATCAATGATAAAGGGGGTGGAGACGTTAATCATCATAATGTCCTCGAATATTATATTATTGGCTTGGCTCGGTGGCGATGTAGGCCATGTCTTGATCCGAACTCGTTATCACTTCCGCTAATGGTGCAGTTTTGAACAATGATCCCTTTCACTTCCTCCTCGTTCTTATACTTCCCCAAGCTCCCTATGCTGCATGCACCAAATCAATCACCGCTAAACTTTATCGTCATAGTTTTTAATCTCTGGAACAAAAACTAAACAGGGAAACCAGTTTTTAATACAACCAAGTTGACCCGGAAGTAAGTTAGAACCATCTAAAAAATACATCTAGCTAGAAATTGACGAGTATATGTATATGATATTCACAATTTATCTATACTTTAAGTTATATTCTTATAGTCAGGACCCGTTTAACTCCAATCTCAAAATTAAACTGAAATTGCATTTAAGCTATTTAAAACGTAACCGCATTAAATCATAATTTATTTGTGATATTCTCGTGAATCATATTGCTCTCACCTGATTCCATGGCCTGGACCACAACGTGTGCCGGAAACGAGCACGTCGATGCTCCCACTTGAGATGGAGACGCAATCGTCTCCGACTCCAATGGTTGAGTTCAAGATTCTGATGTTAGAGGAGCTGTGCACGTGGATCACGTCCGTGTTAGAACTGTGTACGTTTGGCATCGAAACACATTCATATAACTAAGTATATCCATATTCAAACGTGCATAAATTGATTTACTAACCGTTATGCCTTTGGCACATTTGGAGGAGTTGTGGCAACTAAGAATACACCTTCTGGAACGTAAAACCTTGTTGTCCCTTGGTGCTCGCAAGCTGCCTCCCATGTCTTCTGAAATGCCTGTTTAATTATATTCCACGTTTATGTATTCATCCCAAAACAATGCATATGTAACCTATGTGCAGTGCAATTAAAAACAGAACCGGAGCTAAGATCTAGCACTACATCGATCGTGTAAATATGTTGTAATGCATAGACATCATGCTTATGCTAACAAAATATAGAATTATTAAAGTAAATGTAAATAGCAATCAAATAAAGTGAATAAAAACAGAGAGATTTTGAAAACAGAAAAGAGCAAAATGATGAAGATCCACAAGACAAGAGAAAGCATCTAGCAAAAGAAAAATGAAACTCGTTGCAGGGAGGAGATACCAATACAAAATTCAATTAGCATCTGCAATCTTCTTACTTGGCTACACAAACACCAACCAACCAAGAACTATCATCATTATCACCGTCATCATCACAAAAAGAATATTAAGAAGATTCACATAAAAAAAAATACCAATCAAGAAGAAAGGTTTCACTTTACTAACATTCACACCACTTTGATGATCATTTTCACTAGCTTCTTTGAGTTTAGCTGAAGTGTCCTTCACAAGCTGCCCAATATGCAATCGTGTCTTGTGCCTACACCAATTAAACGATTTTAATCCGAAATAAACCGAATCCCACAAATCAATTAGAATCGAAACTTAATAAGGGTTTCGATTTCTTCAACTTACAGTTTATCCCGGAGCTCCGGCGTGTCCTTGGGAGTACCGAGTGTGTTGACGAGCCGCTGAAACGTAGAAACTCCGGTATTGATCTGGAAAATTCCGGAAGCGACGGAGTACCGAGATGTGTCTGATCTCGACGGAAACCTAAGCAGCCACTGTCTTCTCTTCTCTCACCACATGCTCCATCTCAGAAAGAAATCCAAATCCATGAGTGAAACACAGACTCATTGATGCGTTTGAAAATACTAAATACTAATCATTGATTCGATCACATACAAAGAGGAAGAAGAAGAGGAAAGACGAAGAGAAAGAGAGAGAGACGGAAAATGATTTGAGAATTTTTCTTTTTATTGTTTTACTTTAGCCAACCAATGATAAGAGAACACGTCACCGTTCTTAAATCAAAGAAAAGATCCAATTTTGGATCTCGGTCTTAATATTAAGACACCAGTTTAATTTTTTTTATTTATTTTTATTCTTTAGAACACTTTTTTAGACCCTGGTGTTACCATTGGACTTGGTCTTAGGTCCTCTGTTTTCAACAAATTATAAAGAAGATTTTTGTTTCATAACCAATTTAGGTCCTCTACTTCTGAAAAATCAAAATATAAACCAATAAATTCTGATGATTACAGGCACTGCAATTTCAGTTTCGTTTCAGACAAGACGGTGATTTTTACGCTTTGAGACATCTATACAAAAAAGTTGCTGGTCATCACGAGGTTCTGTTGTCGTATTCAGCTTAGATGGACATGTAGCCATGAAGACGAATAGACCAGCAACAATCACAAGTGTTTTTTACAAGTCATGCAATTACAAAACAACTATTTAGCTCAAGTGGTGGCGTACAAAATTAAATGATATGATTGATTCAAATTCAATTTAACAACCACGAAGAGACAACACAACGTAAGAAAAAGAGAGGACAATAACCGCAGGATTTCTCATCATAATAACAGTAACCAAAATAGTTCAAAATCCGAAAGCAAATTAAAAGAAGAAAACAGGAAACTCGAGTGCAAAGTAGCTCCGCCACCTCCGATCAAGAACCCAATTACGAGAACAGAGTTCTGTCGGAGATGAAACGAAACTGGAGAACAAACAAGCAACCAAATACCAAACTAGAGTAAAAAAGCTAACATTGTCCTTTGATTCAACTGCGGATGATAGAGTTTTGGCGAAGGTAGTTCACTTGGCACCCTTCTTGACGGCAGCCTTGGTCACCTTGGCACCGGTTGGGTCCTTCTTGTCGACGCTCTTGATGACTCCGACAGCAACAGTCTGCCTCATGTCCCTGACGGCGAAACGTCCAAGAGGTGGGTACTCAGAGAAGGTCTCGACCACCATGGGCTTGGTGGGAGTCATCTTCACCATACCAGCGTCACCATTCTTCAAGAACTTGGGCTCCTTCTCGATCTCCTTACCGGAACGCCTGTCGATCTTGGTCAAGATCTCAGAGAACTTGACTGCAATGTGGGAGGTGTGGCAATCGAGCACTGGGGCGTATCCGTTACCGATCTGACCTGGGTGGTTCATGATGATGACCTGGGAGGTGAAGTTGGCAGCACCCTTGGCAGGGTCATCCTTGGAGTTGGACGCAACGTAACCACGCTTGAGATCCTTGACGGCAACATTCTTGACGTTGAACCCGACATTGTCACCTGGAAGTGCCTCAAGGAGAGACTCGTGGTGCATCTCGACAGACTTGACCTCAGTGGTCAGCCCTGTAGGAGCGAAGGTAACAACCATACCGGGCTTGATCATACCGGTCTCAACACGTCCCACGGGCACCGTTCCAATACCACCGATCTTGTAGACATCCTGAAGTGGGAGACGGAGGGGCTTGTCTGATGGCCTCTTGGGCTCGTTGATCTGGTCAAGAGCTTCGAGGAGAGTTGGGCCCTTGTACCAGTCGAGGTTGGTGGACCTCTCAATCATGTTGTCACCCTCGAAACCAGAGATGGGCACGAATGGGATTTTGTCAGGGTTGTATCCGACCTTCTTTAAGTAGGAAGACACCTCCTTGATGATCTCGTCGTACCTGGCCTTCGAGTACTTGGGGGTGGTGGCGTCCATCTGTAACAAAAAAAAAAAGAAAACCAGACACATTTGTTAGCATCGAATCAATAGAGAGAGAACAGTCAAATCAGTAAATACAACAGGAAATTTAGTTCACCTTGTTACAGCAGCAAATCATCTGCTTGACACCGAGGGTGAAAGCAAGAAGAGCGTGCTCACGGGTCTGACCATCCTTGGAGATACCAGCCTCGAAACCTCCAGTGGTGGAGTCAATGATGAGGACAGCACAATCGGCCTGGGAGGTACCAGTAATCATGTTTTTGATGAAATCACGATGTCCAGGAGCGTCAATGACTGTGCAGTAGTACTTGGTGGTCTCGAATTTCCAGAGGGCAATATCGATGGTGATACCACGCTCACGCTCGGCCTTAAGTTTGTCCAAGACCCATGCGTACTTGAAGGACCTCTTGTTCATCTCAGCAGCTTCCTTCTCGAACCTCTCGATCACACGCTTGTCAATTCCACCAAGCTTGTAGATCAAGTGACCAGTGGTGGTCGATTTTCCAGAGTCGACATGACCAATGACCACAATATTGATATGAAACTTTTCTTTACCCATGGCTTAGCTACTCGTCAAATAAATCTGCAGATAAGTCATATAGAAACGATCAAAACACTAAGACAAATACGAAAAAAAGAATTTCATCTTTCTCAAAACGTTCCAAGCAAAGAAGCCGCTATCGGAGTCGAACCGATTTCTACCACAAAAAAGTTTGTGGTGCTCTATCCTCTGAGCTAAGCGTGCTTTATTTCATGAAAAACAGGGATTTCAAACAGGCATATAGCAAACAATCCAATAGATTCCCTTACACAAGGCAAAGAAAACACAGGATTTTGTAAGCTGCCATAGAATTACCCATTCAAAGACAAGACGACGATTGAAATCAAATCCATATTAGAAACGCAATTCAACTAACTTCTTATGTAGATCTAACAAACAAACGAACGTTCATTAGAAATATTTCACAACCAGATCGATCTGATGACTGAGAAAATAGTTGACAATCTTTCACGAAAAAATAATATCGATTACACTGTAAAACGTTGATTTTCCTAGATCGATGAACTCTAAACCAAAAGATCAGCTAGTCGAGAAGATCTATCAACAAAGAGCATCGATTCAAAGACATACATGTAAAGAAGCATCAAACTATAAGAAATTGATCAACAAAAGACACGAGAAGAATCGGAATTGCAACAGGGAAAATCGGTAGAAGAGTAAGAAACAGATCGTATATGCGTAGGAGACGACGGTTACCTGAGTGTAGAGCGGCTGGTTGGAGAAAGAGCGAGATATGGATTAATGCAATAAGAGTTTACGAGCCTGATTTATATAGTGGTGAAGCAAAAATAAAAGTTAGGGTTTAACATAATAATATATGCAAACTACAATTATGCCCCTGGTTCGCCGCCAATACCCTTTTGTGTTTGGGCCTTTCGGGTCGGCCATACAATGTCTTCCGAGTCAAGTTATTCGATCCAAAAGTGGAATGACTAATATTTTATTTAAAATGAATTAAGGACGGTATTGAAAAAAATCAGAATTTCTCATAGCAAATCCTAACAATACAAAAGGCTACACAACACAAAGACAAAATCATCAATAACTGATGGAAACATAAATGCTTGTTCAACAGATCCAAATACGAGAATCATAGAGATTACACAGTATAAGCTGGTTAACGATAATAAATGTAAATGAAAACGAAGTTTGTTTTTTTAAATATCTGAAATTCATCTGTATATACATACTATCGTCCATCAATGCATGGTGGGGCAATAAAGAAAAGATTGCCAATAAATTTATGCTTGACTACAAACTGCATATATTCAGACAGCTTCCACTGCTGTTTCCCCTTATTGTTTCTATCCCGTCGCAACCATTCCAGTGAAAAGCAGATAACATTAAAACCAATTTAGAGAATTTAAAGATTCATGATGCTTAAGATTAACACCATCAACAGATTAGAGCCGAATAAATTCTCCTCACATACTAGCCCGGCCCATATAAGCCCAAAATGAAGTATGGTCAGAGGAGAAAGCAAAGAGATTTTCCCACATACTAGCCCGGCCCATATAAGCCCAAAATAAAGTATGGTCAGAGGAGAAAGCAAAGAGATGGGTTACATGTTTGACTTTTTTTTTTTTTTTTTTTTTATATTTCTTTTTGTTGGTTTTGCTTTGTTTTCTTCTCTCGGAAGTGCTTTGCAGAAGGTAAGCGTTTCAGACACATCTAAGATCCCTCTCCCTCCCTTCTATTCTCCTATCTGATTCGTTTGGTTTATTTTTGATTGATGAACCTCGCTTCGATTCACTCGTTTCGGGATCAAATTGATTTCAACTGATTCCTTTCAGTTAACGTACCACCTTCCAAGCTCTTAGAGGATCTTTGGAATTTCGTCCGATCCAAACCTCCGAATTTTGAATTTAGAAAGCTCCCTGTTTTTGAGTTTGAGTTTGCATTTTCTAGCCGTTTGATTAAGCCCTCAAGGTTTTTGGAATTTTTTTTTTTCTGATTGCTATGTAATCCCTTCTATTCGATATGCTGTTTAAAAAAACATAGAGATGATGAAGTTTCGATTTAACGTGTGTAAATGCAATTATATTACAGTTCCAAAAGAGGAGGCAGACAAGTTCGGGAACTAGTGAAGTAGAAAAAAAATCACGTTTTGCTGCGATGAAGCTCGGTGCTGGGCTTATTGCTCCCATGATTATAATTTTGCTTTCTCTTACGAATGAGTTAGCGAAAGCGGAAGTCATTACACTGACCCCAGAAACCTTTTCTGACAAGGTAAGCCCTTCTTTTGCTATTACTATATGTTCTATGCTCCTTTCATGTGGCTTAAGATTTTAAGGCCATCTTTCTGATTTTAGATACTGTATTGGTTCAGGTGAAGGAGAAGGATACTGCGTGGTTTGTAAAATTTTGTGTTCCTTGGTGTAAGCACTGGTCAGTAGTATTCTTGTTTCCTGAACAAATACGTAACTGAGTAAGCTGGCTTTGTTTATCACGTGCTGATGAAATTGTATCTGACTTGTCAGCAAGAAACTGGGGAACTTGTGGGAAGAATTGGGAAAAGCAATGGAAGGAGACGATGAAATTGAGATTGGTGAAGTAGATTGTGGCACTAGCAGAGCTGTTTGCACCAAAGTTGAGATTCACTCATATCCAACATTTAAGCTATTTTACAATGGCGAAGAAGTTACAAAATACCAAGGTAAACTTGCCTGCAAAAAAATTTCCATATAGCTTAGGCACACACCGTTGGTTCATATGTGTAGTACAAGTTGATATTCTTTGGTTTCATATATGCGTTTGTAAAACTCAGGAAAAAGAGACGTTGAATCGCTCAAGGCATTTGTTGTAGAGGAAACTGAAAAAGCAGCAGAAAAAGCACAGCTTGAAGACAAGGAACTGTGATTCATCCCTATGGTTTTCAGTTTAACTTATCTAGTTATGGCTTTCACCATTGGTTACATAGGCGTGGCTTCAAAATTTGATACCCCAGCGTGTTGGTGATTCAAGAGATCTTGGAGAAGACTTTGGCTTTATTTGTATTTCAAATCCATACTGTTTTTTTTTTTGGCTAAAATTTTCAATATCCGTTTTAGTTACAGTGAAACGAGGACACAAGTGTAGGCAGTCGAGATTTCTTTAGACTTTAGTGTTTGTATGTTCCATTTACAAAAAAAAATTTTGCATTTTGCTTTGAAATTTCCTATGTAACGTTCAAACTTTGAGTAAAGGTTTTGTGCTTACATATTCTCAAACTCATTCAACTTGATGCATTTCAAATATATAGGATGAAAATATTCAGCGTATTGTCCCACCCACTGATTTATAGAGTGGGGCGCATCCTCAATATACAAGAAGTCAAGAACAAGTTGCTACCCAAAGAGAACTAATCTCACAACAATTCCGTCTAACAATGGCAAAAATCAGAAGGACGTTTCCTAACAATTCACCTCCACCGTCAAAATATCCAGTTTCCTCAAAATGTTAGATGGGACAAATGAGTTTCAATCGTCAGTTTCGGAATCAACAACTTGGAGGATGTTAAGGGCTGAAGAACCCAGATTCATGCCACGAACAACACCTCCGTATCCCACCTTGATTCTGTGGCACATGAGCAACATAGAGTCCCATAGCGCTGTTCTTCCCTGTTCCATTTCCAGTACCAATTCAGAAACCCTTTTCACATCCTGTAAATGTAAATGTCATTCCTATAAAGCATTCGTCATTACCTGAAGCGTGAACTGCAACTTCTTATCCCAGTACAAGGCAAACCTCGGGGGGCTCTGCTTGTCTACAGCAAGCACACATGCACCAGGATGGAGCGTGCAAGGCACACCTGATACCACTGCGATGTACTTCTCTGGGAACCTCTCTTTTGGAGGAAGAACCCCCAAGAACAACGGGTTCCTGCTCGCTTGAGTCCCTGTGTAAGAGCTGGGGTCCAGATGTAACATCCATTTTGGGTGTTCCAAGAAGGCACAGAACAAGTACAGAAGCAGATGAGAATCCGTTGGAGGCTCAAGGCTCCATTTCTTGTTTCCCTCACGAGTATCTGCCCTTCCGTTGTATTCATAGTTCTTCACACATGTCCCCTCCGCGAGCTCTGCCAAACGCGCACGAGTCAAGTGAGTCGAGATCAGTCGATTAATATTTGAAAATGATTTTTCTTTTTTTATTTGAATGTCTGATACCTCGGATTCTTTGTACGGTGTAATCTGCTGGAATGCTGCTGCGAGGAAGTAGACCTTTGACCCACTCTCCTTTCATTAAGCCCTGAAGCCTCTGATGTTCGCTTATAGCATCAACGCATTCCTGCATGACGGGGATCAGTGCTGCTTGCTGCTGTTGTTGTTGTTGCTGAAACTGCTGGTTCTCTGTACGCAATTTTTCTGCATATGGCAGAAGAAACATTTAGCATCACTATCAAGACCCAAACATTTGGCAACAGAAGATAAAATGAGATGATATCACTAATTTCTCTCTGATAACCAAACGATTCTCAAGTTCAGTAATCCTATTAAGATCAAATCTTAAGTTGATCACATTAATATCACAACAACAGAACAGCGCTTTAACTTAACAAGCATAATCTTTCGGACCATATCACCTCTACGCTGTAGGAAAGTTACTTACGCATGGCAGCATCAATAGCCTGTACAAGGTTAGCGCGTAACTGATGAAGAAGTGCATCTTCATCGAGAGAGTAAGATGGCTGCCACCCCTTTGTTCGATCAACCGGTAAGGCAGTGGTAGCTGTTCCATTTGTTGGCAGATCACTTCCAACTTGACTTACTGTGACAGTAACTCCTAGCTTCAATGCTGTCTGCATTACCTGCACACATGAAAAAGTTTAAACATGTTCACAAAAACGCAAGGAAACAAGAAATTCTCGTTCAGCCTCGGATCCGGATGTGATCATCAACTCATTCTTCAGCAGATAAGCAAAGGAAGATCGGTGTTGATTTAGAAAGGACTCCAAAAACAAACCTGAATATGACTGGTTTCAACCTTGTTAAGCAGCGGTTTGAGTAAAACTGAGGAACACCATTGCCTTAGTCGATCACGCCAGTATTCTATCTGAGGATAGACACCTAGGTGGCCAAAACCTTCGATAGCCTGTTCTAAGGACATTGGGTTGGGGAAATCACCTTCTCCTTTCTTTGGGGGAGTCGTAAACTTCTGAGCACCAGGAGACATCCTGACATGTCTTAGTGGTGTACTCCTGGTAGTCCCAGATGCACCAGTTGAACCACCAACTGTACTTGGACTAGCCATGGCAAAACTCCCAACTGTTGGTGGAGGCGTGAGCATCTTCCCTGACTCGGTGATTTTATCATCTATCTCGGCCAAAAGCTGCTCAAGCTGCTCCTCTGTGCCAATATCTTTTGCAGAACTTCGTCTACCAGACCAAGGACTAGAAACAGCCTTATCCTGAACTGACGAAGCAGGGTTAGAGGAAACTGGTGGACTAGAAGGGACAAGATACAAAGACGGTGAACCCATTGGTTTGGATGGAGTGCTGTACGGACTCCCACTACGAGGATTCAACTTATCACCACCACCAGAAGACTTATGCGCTGAACCAGTAAGAGTTTGATGTATTGGGACAAGCGGCTCCAATGACTTTGAAGGTTTCAATGCAGGATGGCTCTTTGAAAATTCTGATACACCCTGATCAGCTTTTTTCTTTATCCCAAGAAGCTCAAGCTGGCGATTTGATAGAGAAAACTGGTCTTTGGTGTCTTTCGAGGAAGATTTAGTTTCTTCTCGAGCAGCGAACTTTGCTCTGTGCAGAGATATGCCTTTGGACAAAGCCAGCATTGCTCCAATACAAAACAAACTCACCAGACCCTGCCACGCCTTTACAGTGACATCTGAAGCAGAAGATAGACTTTTTAGAATACATTAAAATACACAAGGAAAAAGGAAATCTCTGAGGAGAAAATGCAACTCACAAGCTGCCTCTTGGGATATTTTCCCGAATGTTAAGGCATTGGTCAATCGTTTCTCCCTGCAACATGAGATAAACAAGAAAAAATATTAGCCAACACTGATGCCTGATAAGAACTTTCCACTACTGAATTTCAACATCGTGATATATATTCTCCCAGATTTCGATTTCCTAATTCTGGAAGCCTTCGGGCTAGAAATACTCCGAAATCTAGATTCAAATACTCCAACAATGCAACTAAGAGGCAATGCTGTACACGAGTACGAAGTTGAAGCTAATGCTCGCACGTACCCGGCCATGAAGGAAATGAGAGAGAAAGCGGAAGCGGTAGAGAGCGCAAAGATGAATAAAAGGACTGATTTCGAGGGACGGAGGCTATTGGCGGTGGAGGCAGCAGCTAGAGCAGGGTTCCGGTACACAGAGAACTTGGATGGCTTCGGAGAAGGTGACGAACCCTGAGAGATGGTGATCTTCCTCCTCACATCAGAGTCCATGGCAGAAAACGATTTCTCGAGAAACCAAAGAGGCGAGGGGATTTAGGGCTCCTCGGATTTTCCCGGCTGCTCTCCGTCGCTGGTGTGGATCCACCTAAATATTCTTCAGGGTTCAGACTCGTCTACAGCATTTATTTTTAATAGGCTCTGATTAATTTTCCGGCAAAACCTAAAAAGAAATACAAATTGATTTAACAGATTTATTTACTAAACAAATTTCTCAAGAGTCTTTTACTAAAAAATACATATATTCAGAATTTCAGAACATACAGATAAGGCCATAAGGGTCAGATTCAAATTAACGTTTCGATATTGGTTATTTGGATTGACTAACTTGATAAATTGAATATTTTTGTCTTCTCAGGTGGTAAAAACATTGTGGTTTTAAAATATTTCGAAATTTAACAACGGAATAAAAAAAAAACGTAAGACTTGCGCTTATGTGGAAAATTCCTACGAAATTTAAGAAAGCGAGAAAGAAAGAAAACTACGTTTAATAGTGTTGATAAGAATAATTAATTGATGCAAAATTACACAATTCAATTACCTGCGAAGACAGAAGAATTATTTATTTTTTATTATCAAATTAGTGTAGATTTATGAGACAAATAGCCTCAGTATAAGCTGGTTCGAACCCATTACTTAAACCTGATTGAGATTGAAACGAATCCATTACATGACCTTGATTTGTGTAATTGCCCACAATATCAAATAGAGGAAAAACAGAACAATGCCCACGATTTAATACTGGAAAGTTGAATCTAAAAACCGATGGAAAAGAAGATAGATAATCAAACTAGAAGAAATAATAACCGCAGAGCAAAGTCACCATAATCATAACAGAACCTCCACAAAAGTTCAGACTCCCAAAACAAATAAAAAGCACAAAACAGGAAGCTTCAGTGCTCAACAGCTCCGCCACCTCCGATCAAGAACCCAATTACGAGAATTGAGCACCGACGGAGAAGAATCGAAACAGTAAAACAGACAAGAAACCAAATACCAAACTAGAGTAACAAAATTAACAATGTTCTTTGTTTCATCTGCGGATGATGATGATAGAGTTTTGGCGAAGGTAGTTCACTTGGCACCCTTCTTGACGGCAGCCTTGGTCACCTTGGCACCGGTTGGGTCCTTCTTGTCGACGCTCTTGATGACTCCGACAGCAACAGTCTGCCTCATGTCCCTCACGGCAAAACGTCCAAGAGGTGGGTACTCAGAGAAGGTCTCGACCACCATGGGCTTGGTGGGAGTCATCTTTACCATACCAGCGTCACCATTCTTCAAGAACTTGGGCTCCTTCTCGATCTCCTTACCAGAACGCCTGTCAATCTTGGTCAAGATCTCAGAGAACTTGACTGCAATGTGGGAGGTGTGGCAATCGAGCACTGGGGCGTATCCGTTACCGATCTGACCTGGGTGGTTCATGATGATGACCTGGGAGGTGAAGTTGGCAGCACCCTTGGCAGGGTCATCCTTGGAGTTGGACGCAACGTAACCACGCTTGAGATCCTTGACGGCAACATTCTTGACGTTGAACCCGACATTGTCACCTGGAAGTGCCTCAAGGAGAGACTCGTGGTGCATCTCGACAGACTTGACCTCAGTGGTCAGCCCTGTAGGAGCGAAGGTAACAACCATACCGGGCTTGATCATACCGGTCTCAACACGTCCCACGGGCACCGTTCCAATACCACCGATCTTGTAGACATCCTGAAGTGGGAGACGGAGGGGCTTGTCTGATGGCCTCTTGGGCTCGTTGATCTGGTCAAGAGCTTCGAGGAGAGTTGGGCCCTTGTACCAGTCGAGGTTGGTGGACCTCTCAATCATGTTGTCACCCTCGAAACCAGAGATGGGCACGAATGGGATTTTGTCAGGGTTGTATCCGACCTTCTTTAAGTAGGAAGACACCTCCTTGATGATCTCGTCGTACCTGGCCTTCGAGTACTTGGGGGTGGTGGCGTCCATCTGTAACAAAAAAAAAAGAAAACCAGACACATTTGTTAGCATCGAATCAATAGAGAGAGAACAGTCAAATCAGTAAATACAACAGGAAATTTAGTTCACCTTGTTACAGCAGCAAATCATCTGCTTGACACCGAGGGTGAAAGCAAGAAGTGCGTGCTCACGGGTCTGACCATCCTTGGAGATACCAGCCTCGAAACCTCCAGTGGTGGAATCAATGATGAGGACAGCACAATCGGCCTGGGAGGTACCAGTGATCATGTTCTTGATGAAATCACGATGTCCAGGAGCGTCAATGACTGTGCAGTAGTACTTGGTGGTCTCGAATTTCCAGAGGGCAATATCGATGGTGATACCACGCTCACGCTCGGCCTTAAGTTTGTCCAAGACCCATGCGTACTTGAAGGACCTCTTGTTCATCTCAGCAGCTTCCTTCTCGAACCTCTCGATCACACGCTTGTCAATTCCACCAAGCTTGTAGATCAAGTGACCAGTGGTGGTCGATTTTCCAGAGTCGACATGACCAATGACCACAATATTGATATGAAACTTTTCTTTACCCATGGCTTAGCTACTCGTCAAATAAATCTGCAGATAAGTCATATAGAAACGATCAAAACACTAAGACAAATACGAAAAAAAGAATTTCATCTTTCTCAAAACGTTCCAAGCAAAGAAGCCGCTATCGGAGTCGAACCGATTTCTACCACAAAAAAGTTTGTGGTGCTCTATCCTCTGAGCTAAGCGTGCTTTATTTCATGAAAAACAGGGATTCATATAGCAGATAATCCGATAATTTCCTTAATTTAAAACAAGACGAAGAAAGGCCGGATTTTCTACGCCCCTCAATTATCCATTCATAAGACAGATCGACGAATGAAATCAATACAACCTAAAGACGAAAACTAACTACTAGAGTAATACAGATCGAACAACCAATCCATCACACAATACACATATCTAACCAGATCGAACCGATGATCAACAAAATAATTTATAATCTATCAGGAAATAAAATTTCAGATTACGCTGTAAACTATTGATTTCCTCAATGGATTCATTCTAAATCACAGATCAGATTTTCAAAATGAACGAATCCAATAGAAAAATTTAACGAACAATCAAATCTGTAATAGTTGAATGACAAGCAAAAGAGAACGGATTGAAAGTATTATAGCAGCGATCGACTGAAGAATAAGATATCAGATCATGGATGCGTAAGAATAGCTAACCTCAGCGAAATCGCAGAGAAGAAAAGAGTTGCGGCTAGGGTGAAGAAAGAGTGAGCTAGGGAATAAAATTGGTGGGGATACGTCTTTGTATATATAGTGGTTAATTTAGGGTTTAACTTATCATGTGCAAAATTACAATCGAGTCCCTGTCCCGCCGTCAATTACTTTCTATTGGGGTCGGTCATGCATACCTTCCGAGTCAAGTTAATTTCATTGACTCAAAACGTTAATTAATTTAATTCAACGTTTATATATTGTTCAAAAATGAATATTAGATTGTGGGTTGGAAATTTTAGAATATCAAATAACAATTAAAATTTAAAGGATACACAACATAAAATCATTGATAAATGTTTAGAAAACATCAAATGCTTGGTCATCATGTCGACATATGTAAAGTTATACGAGAACCACAGGATTCTCTTACATTATTATATAAGCTGTCTAAAGATAATAAGTGTAATACTTTGCACACAGAAAAAAAGATGAAGCTTTTAAAGAAAAGATGGAAATCCTATGTGTACTAATTCGATCAAAGCAAGGTGAAGCAACTGTGATCAGAGGAAAGGATTGCCAAAACTGTAAAGGTTAGCTACAAACTGATATCCTCAGAGCTAAGCGAACGATAATGAGATACATTGACCCGACAGGTTCAATTACTTGATTTGTAGCTAAACTCGAAATTATCGTCGTAGTGTTGTTAGTGGCCAATATTAATAAGGTAAGGTGGCCATGGTTAATGGATTCATTAACTATCAAATAATAAGAAAATGCTCCATAACCTCAAAATCTCATGACAATGGTAACAACTGATTAAAATAGCATAACTGTCCCATTCCACGAGCAACTTGTATTCAGAAAAACTCCAGAGGACCTGAGATTGAGACCGGAGGATCTATCACAGTGCGGTTCGCCTTTCCATCGGAGTGAAGCTGAGGTAAAGTGTTGGCCTCTTTGGCAGTAACGCCTTCCGCAGTCCACAAGGTAACATGTGTCCATTCGTTCTTGGGGACTATGGTCTCTCCGTCCACAGATCCCACATGTGCTGTAAGAGCAGCCATCTTGTCGTTGAAGATGAGCTCGGTCAGCTCTACTGGTACCTCTCTGTTCAAGTGCTGACCGTAGCTGGCTACAGCTGCGACCCCGTGGCTTCTCTTGTGGGCAAGCGTCACGTGAGCCCGTTCAAGTTTTTCCTTTATGCTCTTCTTCTTCCCTTCTAGAAAAGATCTCACTGTCGGGTTTTCTGCGGCCAGCTGATAAGTCAAATACATCTATCAACAACAAGAGCCCACATATAACCTCGAGTTCCAATACGCAAAGATAGAAGGAAAAATGTTACTTTTTCAACAAGACTGTTGACTTGGGTAACAGGCAAGTTGATGGCAGCGAAGACTATAGACCCATGTTTTGTCTTCTGTGAACTTGGTGGTTTGTATTCACCCTTTGCGATTCTTTTTAGCTCTTCTCGCACTTGCTGAACCGCTGACTCAAAAGGAACCTGCATGTTGCAGACCAGAAAACAAAGACATCATCAATATGCGCATCCCGTCTCCTTATACTCTTTTATCAATGTGCTGAGGCAAATCAAAAAGCAGTTACATATACAGAGCATGGGATTCTAGCTTTTGCTTGAGCCATCAATAATCTTTTACCTGAATATATTTGAGATACTCAGAATTTGCAACTAAAGTATCTCGCAGCCGTTTCTCCCATTTGGTCCATTCCGCTGCATATGTTCCTTTTGTCGACTCAAGTCTACGGCAAGAAAAATTAGATGGAAAACAAATGGTCAGACCAATCAAACCAAAGCTTGAGATGACGTAAAACAGAACTGTGACAACAATAATTAAAAACGTCTGTGAGCACGCTCATTCGTAGGGTATCTCCTGAAACATGATTCAAGTACATCTATTCACATGAGTGTTTTTAATCCTCGTTAGTTTATTGCATTGCATTTGTTACTGTCTGGACAGAATATTGCTCAAAATATAATACGAACAAGTTACACTGGTTTTCAGAAAATGAGCCGGTTTGACATAATTCAACTTATCAAGTCCTGTAAATTGTAGTCAACACTACCCACCTCCCATGTCTTCTATTGTGGAGCTGGAACAAGTCTATGCCCTCCTCAAGAATCGATTTTACAGGATCAGGTAATGGATTCCTGTATATGCACAAAGAAAAGTCAACTAAGTGGTTTTAGCAACCAAGTGAATATGAAGTTGCAACTTGTAACTGCACAGTCCCAGTTTATTAGCTCGCATGTATTGTTAAGAAATATACCTGTCTGATCTCAACAGTGGCATCTTGACGAGGGAGCCAAAGCGCTCAATCAATTCACTCTCAAATTCGTTGCGGTTCTGAAAGTTTAAAAGCAGTTCAATAAATGTGAGATCCAATAATGGATTTACTTAACGAACAGTTGGGCGTATGTAATACCTTTCCCTCATAAAGGTGATAGAACATCAATAGCACATAGCCTGCATTCGGAGATGCCTTGTCGAGATTCCCCTGCCAAAATTCATTGCATATGAAAGAAACAGGAGCTTCTTAAAAAAATAAAGGGTGGTGGTGAAAGTTGTATGGTACAGTTGAAAACAAACTTTGTAAATATGCAACTGCATACCGGATGGTTAACTCGATGAAGTACACGGAACATAAAAACAGCTAAGGCATCAAGTGAATATGGATTTGAATCGGTTCCTGTGCATTCACAAGGGGCCAAAAGTAGATTTAAAACAACAATCGCAGAGAGTACGGAAGATGATACAAGGCACTGAAATTTTCGACTATAATCATCTACATACCTTCAGAATCAGTAACGACTGGAACTGCAGAAGCCCTAGTTCTCCGACACATGTCTTCAATCTAATAGGAAAACATTGAAATGACTTGTTAAGACACAATGGAAAGATATCAGGTCAGCGACTTAAAAATGATATGGGTACTCTCGAAAGATAACTAGGCTTGACCATTAATACTATGCATGTAAAATATATTAAAGGCAGGTTAATTCAAAAAAATTTCATCAGTAACCCAAGTAACAGATCTACTCGATGATAAGCACAAAGCCACTCTAAAAGGACTCATGGGTAGAGCTGACCTCGAAATGCTAGTTTATAAGACGACGGTGCAGAGACTCTTATAAGATTGTGTAATTGTGAGATTTTAAAGATTCTTAGCGTAGGATAAATTACCTGTCTCCAGACGTCTTCATTTGGGGCATTTTTGTCAGCCAACATAATTGACTGTGGCTTTTTACGACGTTCATCAGCAACCTTCGGCCAATATTTTCCTGACGAATATTTCGTGAGGCCGCAGAGCAAAATTGAGAGACCAGAACAATTTGGACAAAATGCTACATTTTAAAATACCTTTGACAAGATCACCCATCAGAGTATGCACTGGCCGATCATCTCCAAAGCCTTCTGGGGCGTTCAATAACTCCTTACAAAGTGCAGATTTGGCACATCCAGGAATTCCTGAGAACACATTAAAATTGCAATAATCAGAGGGAAGTCTTGAAGTAAACGAAGTCTACTAATATACTGTTCTCACTTCTGGTCAGAAGTAAAAAAAAAATTGATTTTTGTCCACTACCATCAAAAACTTCAATATGAAAATATTGCCACGAAAACAAAATAAATATACAACCAGAATAGATGAGATATATATAAGCAACTTAAAAAACGACACCTGGGAAGAATACAATTAAGCCCTCATCCTTCTGAACAGCTTCCTTCACAGCTGGATCAGGAGTGGCTGGTGTCACTCCCTCTTTCTTCACAAGATCGCCTTCTTCATCTAGATCACCGTCAACAATGGCCAAGAAGTCCTCAGCTCTCACAAGATTCCCAGCAGACCCTATCAAAGCCTGATTCTTTGGGTTCCGTTTCGCGTACTGCTCCAGGAATGGCTCAGCTTCACTAAGATATATCGATGACGATAGCTGCCTATTCCCACACTTTTTTGTTATGTAAGCAGCCCTGAGCATTAAGAAGAAACAAAGAGATGCTAAACCTTGTTGCGAGGGCTGAAAAATTCATTGAATAGAAGGCAGAATCTAGGCAAAACGCTGAAAAATTCATTGAATAGAAGGCAGAATCTAGGCAATAAGTTCCACGGTCTCAGGAAAAAAGTTTCAACAAAAATATATAAGCTTTGTCTGTTTGTGTAAAGTGATTCTAGTACCATTCATCAAGCATCTTGCAAAGTTCTTTCTGCTTTCCATCTGAAGTGCCCCATATTTTCATTTGCCTGGATACAGAAACAACAACAAAAAAATGGAGATAAATAAATGAATTACAGTTTAGTAACATCAACAATCCCCGATATCTCGACCGCGCTGCTCGTTTTAGATACACAATCACATAATAAACATGCTACAACTAGTCTCCCCGTTTTGATTTACGATTCAAAGCATGTTAATCAAAATCTGAGATTACCAAAACCATCACTATTACATTGACTCGTCACTCTCTCTATATATATATATATTCGTAGGGAGAAACCGGCTCACCTAAGGTAGAAGGTTTTATAAGATGCTGGACCCTCTTTAAATAGAATTGATAGGCCATTGCGGATCAGAAAGGTTCTCAACTGTCAAAAAATTAAAGACATGCCCAGCATCATGACAACAATGTAACAAAAGAGGTAGCAAAGTGCAACTAATAAAAAATCCCTCTAGTCAGAAGACGACCTTGAGAAAAAAGATACCTTGTATGTGAGAAACTTCAATTTGATCATTAAGTTAGCATCATCATCAGCCAAACCATCCTTTCCTAGTTGACCACAATTTTCACTGGCCGCATTATCAATGCTTTTGACAGCCATCGGATCACTCCCTTTGTTTGACTTGAACAGATTAATATCAACAAAGAAACCTGAGAGAGACAAACTCAAAGAGAATCACTAACTAATATAGTTGAGCGAAAGAACAGATGAAAATGATTCATCGATGTCCAATTATTCTCTGTTTAGCGAGACCAATGTGTGCTACCACAACAACAAAATCTGACACGTCCAATTACATTTGATTTTCTAACAAAGTTCTTTTTCACAGGAACTACAGAAAGCAGAGACAAAATTAATAAAGTCTAGCAAATGAATCAGAAAATGGTGCCTGTTATTGTCTTTAAGAACAAAGGCAAGGAATAAGCAACAAAAAACATATTTACCTCGATATAAAGGCCACAAACTAGGCATGTTCCTGAAACATGGTAATTATGGTTGAGTAGACAGAAATCAATATTTTCTTAGTTTGGTCAAACTGAAAAACATAAGTAACTACAGAAGTTTTTGAAGATAACCTCATCTCTTTCTGGTAACGCCTAAAGCCTGAATCACTGTGCACATGGACAACCATTTTATAAAATAGGTTGTCCGGTGATAAGTCATTAGCTCTATGAAAATTGTTGTAACACTTGAATGCGGCTGGAATACGTTTTTCCTTCATCAAGCGTACCATTTCCTATTGAATACATATATGAAGTTGCTCATCAAAAGTGCATAAAGAATGAAAACCTGGTAAACATTAACCAATGAAAGAACATTGCAAGCGAAAGATATATATCATCAATAAATTGGAGAGTTGGATCCCACACATGCAAAAATCAACAAAGACGTATAGCTCAAGTTACCTGTAATTTACTAGTCGAATAATCTGCAGGCTGAGATTGCAGGAATTTTGTTACAACAGATTTGTCAGCATTTTTAGGATGAGAATCAACAGATTCATCTCCAAACCAATCCAAGTCACTGGGGCAAAAGCTTGGGCCAACACTCTTTAAAAGCGCTCTCATTTGCTACAACACCCACGAAAAAGGAAAAAAGACCCTCTAGAATGAGTTTTTTATGACAGCATAAAATTCCACGCATTGAAGCTTTTGATACTTATGTATTTCCGAACCTGTTTCTCGTTAGATCTATAGGCAGCACATATCTCTCTTAGACTGAGTCCCAAATCAAGATTAGCTGAAATACCAAGGAAAAGGAAAACTTTTAAATCTACACGGACTTGATAGAGTGGAATATTATGAAACTCACGTAGAAACTAATCAAGGAAAAGATAATGCACCTCCATCACAGGGTGGTGGAGGATGATCTCTCAAGACATTTGCCATATCTATGGCGCTCCCACTGCTCACGATACGCGCCACAAGACCCTCCAATATCTCACCTTGCACCTTCACATGGTCCTTAGAGCCTGCGTATTTTCATCCAAAAGTTTGTTTAGTCAATGAATTTCATCAAGTTGAATTCCTTGAAAAACTAATATGAATTCTTAACAAAACAAACATGACTACAAAAAGGATAAACATTACCTGGGACCGAGATATCAGCTACTTCATCAAGAGCCCTACAGACTGAGGTTGCTGTCCCTTCTTCGCAGAGTGCATCAAATGCGGCGAAAAAAGAGGACGCTGATTTCCTTCATTAAATTTTTAACAAAATACAAAATCTTTCTTCAACGACCATTGTTCGAATATTAACTAAATGTACTTCAAACTCTTTCTTCACTACAATTCCATTTATACAACAAGGGCCAACATCGCAAACGAAGAAGATAGCAGCAATGATTAGAAAGACGTTAAGTTACCTTGTGGAAAACAGCCAAACGTGGTTTGTTGGTAGACGCCATTTCCGGCAAAATGCAATTATTTCGGAAGTTGAATAGAACTTGGGCTTACCATTACCTAACTCGGTAACAGCCGTCACTACCACTGCAAGATGAAAATCAACATTTCTTAACTAGACAACTTTAGCAGGCTCATCTGACTTTCATAAATAAGGGATTGATTCTAGAACATCTAAAAAGGAAAACACTTCACCAAAATCATCCTGTGGGCGTTGACCATGATCTCCAAGAACAGCTGTTACCAGTTCCATAGATATGCACATGCGATTTTTCTGGGAGAAAATGACATATTATGGGCTACCCTTTTCTGGCAATTGATGAAACCTCGAGCATTTGAAAATTTTGATTGCTTAAAGTTCTGTCCATGGACATACCTCAATAAAACCATTGAATTCTGTCTCCTTCTTTAAAGCCTTAGTTCCCCAAGCCTCCCTGAACATACGTGAAAGAACAAAAACGCCAACCGCAGTATAACTGCAATTAAAACATTGACGTTAGCATATGAGAGAACCTATAGTCGCCATCTCAATTGGCAAACACCAGAAAATCCACATAACAGCATCAGAAAAAAAAAAAAAAAAAAAAAACGTAGTAAAATGCATTTGCTTCATCAAAATGTTTTCAAAATTTATCTTGACTACAACTTCTAAGTGGTGTGGAATGTTTATCCATATAAACGACACCAATACCATCAGCAAACAATAAATAACCAGAAGGAAAACATAAGATATTTCGTTAGACATGACTAATTCATAAATCAAATATGGAGAAAGAAATCCGTACTCTAAGTGAAATGAATGAAAAAGATAAACCAAATCTAAAGCTAAACCTTGAGTATGGGTTTATTCACTCTCATCATGAATCAAGAAAGGAATACACAGAGTTTAGGAAAAACTGAAGTTATGAATATATGAGCTTACATATTACCAAAACTGTTCTTTGCATATGCTCCCCCCGTGTGACCCGCATACATAAAGAGAGAGCCTGAGTGCTTAAGAGAAACCTGTAAAAGGTACATTACATAAGGTCCGTAGACATTTAGAACTAGAGAGTATTCACAAATAGAGTGTATCTATGTTGTTGATACCTCCAGCGTTGCCAACCCTTTAGATACCATCTCAATCATTCGTGTTCTTATCTGCAAAAAGCAAGGTAAGTGCAACATGATAATAAAGCAAACTCACAATTGGTGCTAATAAAAGACCAGCAGTCAACTTGAAGAACTTACCTCTTGGTCAGTCTTCTCGTTCTCAAACTTGGGATAGAAAGTGGCTCTGATCTGGGCATGACAATAACTCGACTTGTCCACGGTAAAATTCTCCAAGAAATTACCTCCGAAAACTTTGCTGTGATGGAGACCAGCTTTTTGAGGTGTTGCATCTCCCGTCTGTGATACAACCGATGCTTTACCAACTTCTGAAGCCGAAGATGATACACAAACGGTTCCGTATGACTTAGGCTTCCATACTAGATTTTGGACATTGTGGTTGACAGGGACATTGGTGTTGCTTTCCTCAAGACTCAACCCACCAAGTTGGCCGTTTACTGCTTCTGCAACATTAGATGCTGAACGATCGCTGGGTTCAGATGGAGCATCCATGTTCGGCTTCACTTGCCATTTCTGTTCAGCGTGAGCTCTCTTTTTCTGCCAACGAAAACAAAAAATACTCAAGTCCCTGCATACAGCATATCGTAACCCAAAAGCAATAAACAAGTCTCCAAAGTCAAGACTTTTGAGCAGAACATTTCCGTTTACAAGATTGAAAAAAAACAACTTTCGTAACCAGAGGATTAAAAAAAAACAAAGTCAGGCGGCACATTGTCAACGAAGCAATCAAAACCCAGAAGGTGCAGATTTATGAGAGAGAATCAAAAGATATAGACGTTCCGATAAGTTTGTCAATTGTTAAATCCCGATGTAAACCCAGTTTTCTAGAGTCCAAATTTATGGCAAAATCAGAAAGAAAAACATAAAATAGCCCACCTGCTTCTTAGGCATACTCGACGGAGAAAATCTAACTGACGAGTTAAAACAGAGGGAGCGAGCTAAGGTAACGTAAGGAGAAGATGATCGGAGAAGAGAGGAGGAGGTTCCAGGAGTAGCAGGAAGATGGATTCTGAGAGAAATTGCGAAGAGTGTTCTGTGTGGAACTGACGACATCCACACGTGGCTTCTTCTGGTGGAGACCACGTATGTATCGAGAGTCGATAGAGCTGGAGACGACCAAGTTATGCTCGACGTGCTTGCTGAGTCACCAAGAGGCGGTGCGGTTTATCAACCGGCGAGACGACGGAGTCAAGTGTTATGGTGCGGGAAAGAGCACTGTAACAAAGATGGTCCCGCTAATAAATGGGCCTAACATGGCCCAGTTTCATTACTATTGGACCAGAAGAGATGATGCCGGGTCGAAAGATCACTGACCCAAATTAAAAACGATGTGGTTTGACCAAATTGCGAAACTCGGTCGAAGAGGAAGGCGCACGTAAGAAATCTATCTTATGGTAGGAAAATATAAGTTTTAGCATATTGAATCGTAAAATTTCACAATATTGTAACATCTTTAACATGCAGCATATTGCTAACTAAACCTGAATATAACTACTAAAGAGCTTTAATTAGTCATAGTTATGGTTCGGGAAAGAGCACTGTAACAAAGATGATCCGTGACGATATGCCTGACCACGAGCCCTGACACAAATTCTCAAATCTTTTCGGGTCTATCTAACATTTTAACTTTTAAAAAATCTTCTAAAAAACCTCGATAGTTGTAGTAATCAAGTAATGAAAACTGTTTCTCGTCAGTTGTATTCTGAAAATAAAGAAACAATCGGCAGGGAAATTACATACCATCGCCAAATATTTTAATCAGGAAGACGATTGAAAACTATAGAAAGAAGGAAGTAATCTCTCGTTCAACACATTTTAGGATACCTGAAATAGAAGAACAGATTGAGATCTCTCTTTACAAAAAAAAAAAAATCCAGAAGAAAAGGAAAAAACGCGAAGTAGAATCTGAAACAGAGACATGTTGATTGTATGAAGATAATCGAATAGAGACGGTTCGATCTTAAATTTTCTTACCGGATTAGAGGTTTCTGCGTTCTTGGACGGAGGCGGGGTTTCAGGTGATGACGATCAAATGGTACACTAACCGACGTGGGAAGGTTATTTGGGCCTGCTTATTATAAGTTTAAGCCCACTACTTTAATATGGATATTCGGTTACAGCCCCCAATGTTTCAAGAGATTCTTTGATTTGGCCCGATATAGAGCGCGCGATTATGAATATTCGGTTACAGCCCCCAATGATTACGAAAGATTGGGTTCACTGACCCAAATTAAAAACCATGTGGTTTGACTGACCAAATTGCGAAACTCTGTGGCACGTGAGAAATCTATCTAGATATCAAAGTAGGAAAATATAAATTTTAACATATTGAATCGTAAAATTTCGCAATATTGTAGCATCTTTTAACATGCAGCATATTGCTAACTAAACCTGAATATAATTAACTACTAAAGAGCTTTGATTAGTCATAGTTATGACTTAATTATGATCAATCATGTCCAAAGAGGATCCCACCACAACATTGATGAGTTGGTGCTGGATTTGTCTTCGATGAATCCAAAACAATTGCTCATCTCTTGGTCGGGGCTTCTAATGAACTCATCACAATTTCCAAAGGAACTCTCAAAGGACATAGTATATTGTTCTTGGTTTGGTTGGTCCATGTTCTGAATCAATTCTAGTAAATTTGATCTTTGAAGCTGCATACTCACTATCTCCACTTGAGTTTTTGCAAGTTGCGCTTGGAGTTCACTAACTTGTCTTTGAAGATTGTATATGGCACCTGCACATCCATAAACCGGGTCTCTAATTCTAGCTCCGGCTTCATACACCATACTGTTCACCGCATCTGTTCTTTGTGATTCGGGAAGTTCCTGCAAACAAAATCTCATAATCAATTATATAATTAACCGAAACCGCAAAGCAAGTGACTAAGCTCCACTTAGCCTTTTGGAGATATGAAAATTATTAAGCTAAGACTGTTTTGTATATATTTTGACCAAGAAGAGTAACCATTATTATTCTACAAGACTTTTTCAAAGGTTGATACAAAAGAGAAAGTTTGAAAAAGACAAAACGAATTAATTATGCAATAACATGTGTGATGCATCTCTTTGTAGGACTTTTTTTTTACAGTCTAATTTTCACATGACATATGAACTCAAATTTTTTTAATAAAAACATTTTCACTAGCTTCCTACTATCGTTGGTCTTCAAAACAAACTTTTGTAGCTTCAAACTATGTAGGTACCTGCAAGAACTTAATGATGTTGCTGGCTCCAAAGACGCGGTGGGCGATGGTGAACTTGGCCGGCTCCGTTGGAGGGAAGTAGGGTGCTAAGAGGCACTTCTCTCCGCAACGCCTACGCAGAATTTTGCAAGCGGCGCATGGGCTAAGCACCACCCGCGGTGAAAGCGGTGGCGGAGGAGAAGAGGTTGGTGAAGCAGAAATGATAGCGGCGGAAGCGTCACCATTATTCTCCATATCAAGCATTTACCAACTTAAGGATGTTTTTTAAGACTTTTACGTGTTTTGGGGGAGGAAAATGAGGAATATCATATTATGTAGAGTGTTTTGAGGTGAATAGCTTATTGGTGAAGTGTTATATATAGGGAGAGTGACAAAATAATGTAGGGAAAGAGGTGACCACCTGACATCATAAGCTCGAATTGTGATGTCATGTTTTTTTTTTGTTGTTGAATATATTCCACTTTATTGTACGGTGGCTGCACTGGCTCCTAAATTCCTCCACGTTTTCATGTTTCAACGGTTGCTTGACTTTGGCACAATTAAAATAATTTAATTTCTTCTGATCTTGATTTTTCTACGATGCTTATTTTCCAACTAGTCTCTTAAAAGTCTATATCGCTTACATTGGTTAATCTACGGGTCTTCTGCTCTTTACGTACGTCCAGATTCTAGAATGGTCTTTCTGATCATTACGATCATATTTAATACACTCCAAACTGCAATATATTCTAAATTCTTTTTGTTTCCCCTTCTTTATCGAATTAGGTCGAATGTGCATACTTTTTGCTGTATGTGTTTTCTTCTTCTTCTTAAAGTTTTATGGATATGTTTGTAAGAAAATATAGTATTGGAATGGTACGTCCTAGTTTTGAGAATAATTCTACATGCAAGTTTGGATATTTAAGTGAAATTGACTTGATTATTACGCTAACGTTCCATAGGGTATTCTACATGTAACAGCGTAGAGTACACTTGATGCATAAAACCTAGGGTTCTCATAGTTATTAACTTGTCTTATTTAATTTGATCAATACTTTTATTCACCGGTGACTTGCAAGTCGTACTTAAGTATCGATAGGAAGAGAAATAAATACACAAAAAGCCAAGTAATTAATTTAGGTTGCCTAATTTTTGCTGAATCGTATTTTGTTTGTATTAACCAATATTCTTGGAACTCCTTTGTATTTTAGTTATGTATATGTTTGTCTTAAAGACTTTCTATTTGAACGACTTATGTTTCTAAGTGGCGGTGTATATGAAAAAATCCAAAAAAAAAAAAAAAAAAAAAAAACTTTCTTTTTCCAACTTATAAAAGATAGAATTTTATACATAAGTGAAAACTGTGTTTAAGACTTAAAAATTCCTGTAGAAAATACATACTTGATGGAGGCTGATCTCTCAGGGGTCCCAAAACATCAATTATTCAACTGTATTGTCTAATTCACCAACATTAATAAGAAAAATTCGGAATCAAATAAATAGAAGAATGACACGTATAGTCAGTGGGATCGCTAGTTATTGGGTGTGCTCTTGCTTCCACCTTAAACAGCTATGCTCTCTCTCTACTATTACGTCCTCTCAACTATATCTTCAACTCCTTTTTGAAAAATGACTAATGATTTTCATTTTTCCTTTCTTTCTTAAAACAAAATGTGATAATTATATGTTTAAAAAGAACAGACATCAATTTAAGTAAAAACAAAGTTAGTTTTCTTTAGAAAAAAGCATAGTTGGTGAATTCGTGTCAAAAGGTGAAAATTATTCTAGAAAATGATCAAAAGAGGTAAACTAAATGCAGTCGCTTTGTCTTTTAGCGTGTTTGGATACCGTCGATATTTTGCATGTAGGGCATGTTTTCTAGATATGTCATTCGTTTATGCCACTTTTAGGAGAAAATATATTGCATCACACGTACGTATATCCACGTTCATTCAGCTACTGAAGATTAGAGTCACACTACTCACACTAGACATAAATAAAACATCGACTTTATGATAGTTTCCGAGTGGATTTTTCTTTTTTATACACGTCTTTCGTTTCTATATCTGAAATTTCAATTTCTTTTTAAATACATCACAAAACTGAAGTATCAAATTCAGAGTATTAGATTCTGAAAAAGTTATAGTCGGAGTTCGTTCACTATTGGTCATTGGTCAAAGATTGTCTTTTGCATCGTGTACACTAGGAGATCGTTTGCTTGATTGGGGTCGATAATAAATGCTTCAAGTGTAACAGTAACAGTATCATCATCATCCTCAGATCAAATCATCAATACCTTTTTACCAAAAAAAAAAAAAAAAAAAAAATCATCAATACTTATCTAAAAACTGTATTGCATGCCATTCTTGTCACAATCAATTTCTTCTATTTGTTTTTGTCTTATCTCTTTGTTTTTGTTCTACACATCTCGTTCCCAAAACATTCACACTTGATATGTAATTTGGACTATATACATGTTTATGAAACACAGTAACACACGACCAATGCATACATATTTTTCTAGAGTATAATACTTATGGAGGTCAAAATATTTGGTCTCTCATTAATTAATTACAAGCTAGGAATATAGAATTTGTAGATGGTTCCCTCCAGAAAAGGGAAATGCAAAGTTGATGCCAAGTGTTCGTACGCCAAGTCACGGCCAAGGGACAACAATTATCTGCCAAAATTTAATTGCAGCATCTTACTCTCTAGTGAGTAGTGATGATGTAACCTAGGTTTTAAGTTTCTTGCGCACCGCATAAATGATACGTTTGACTCATTGACTATGATTTCAACGATTCATATATATGTGTAAAATTTTCTGGTTCATAAACTCATAAGGAATTGGAGAAGATACTTAACGAACGTGAAAATATTAACAATCTTGAGTATCATCCTAATAATGAATGTTCAAAAAAAAAAAACATCCTAATAATGAACCAGAACAACGACTACAATTTAAAATCGACTAAAAAATGTGACTCGCATAATATCGTTTATTAATTACATTATTGATCGTCGAAATTTTCCACACAAAAAACGGTAGTCGTAAACGATATTATGCGATATAATATATATACTATAGCATTGCCAATTTTGTCTCGCTTAGTACAGTTAATTCCTTTTGTTTTCAATATGATTGTGTTTTATTATTCTTTTAGAGCTATGATTGCTTTGAATTTATTTTCTTTGACTAAAAAGATAAAAAGAATGTATGAAGCAAAAGTGACCCACACGGAATTGAAAGAGGAGTTCACTAATGTTACAGCCAATTTCCCACACAAAAGTGTGAAAGTGTTTCGCAAAAAGCCACTCCTCACTCTTCGGAGTAATACAGCAAAAGAACCAACATTGAAATTGGGTTGTCAATGGCTAAGACTTGTAAACTCACAAGAATCTAGTGTCAATTAGTTGATGTCACAACTTCTTTCCGATCGTAGAGCACTCAAGATCCAAGAGGGCCTTTGCACATTTTAAGATCCAAAAATAACAGTCCGGCAACAGCAGTTCAACCGGTATACTAGTTGGACACTGCAAAGAGGAGAGTTTTTAAGATCGTGATGGAATCGAGTACTCAATTAATCCAATTAACCTACTTTGGACCACGATTCGAAGAGATTTCAGATTTAATGTCTGAAACTTTTGGTTAATTTTCCATAGATAACATAAAAGTGAACCGCAAAAGAAAGATGATTGAGCTAAACAAAAATGTCTTGAATAGCGATCATTCTGAACGGCACTTAACTCGAAGCTTTTTATTACATCTACCGTACAGGAACCAACGTCAACTGAATTGTCCTCATTAAACCCCAACATATCTGCTGTCTGTGGTCTCCCTTGATGCATCTTCAACACTCCCCTGAGGTGGCCACGATCTTGAACTCTAGACACTGCGATTCTCTCTAAGAAACACTACTCAGTTAGGACCACCACAAAGGGATCCCGTCCGCTAAATTAAAGGAGATTTACAACAGACCGAAATTTTCACAGCCAGCGAAACCACCAGAAACAGAGTAAAAGCTGTGGCATTTACTTAACCGACTGCTACAATACCAATGGGTTTGCTAATTTGTTTAACCCCTTTACTTTGGCAACAGTATCACTAAACCAAGTTTTAAGTTATGCAAATACTTAAATAAGCTAGGCATAAAAGATGTGTGTAATAGCGAGAAAAAAATAATTTATTCGAATGTCTAACCAACAAAAGCGCAAAGGATCTGCGTCAAAATCACAAAACCACCGATAAAAGACAAAGAGCTAAGCGAATCCCGAGAGTACATTAAGCAATCAAAAGACAAAGTTCAAATGCAAATGTGAAGCCCCGATCCAAAAGCAGCCTTGGGTCTTGGGGATACACACACGCAGGTCAAAGCTTAAGCATCAGCAAACCTGCAATCCAACAATAGTTTAAAACTCGTATCATAATACCATTCAATTTGGATCTACTTCTACTCTAATATTTAAGAGATTCAGATCAAGTACCCGAGCTCCGAAAGCTTCAAGTGGGCCTCGGCGTAATCAGCGAAAAAGGCATCTTCGTCCTGTTCACATTGTGACAAGCAGCATGAGTTCTCTCCATACCAATTCATGAAAAGGGAAAGGGAGAAGGAAGAAGAAAAAGTATGCATACAGCAGCGTATTTCTCGACCAAAGGACGGAAAACGGGGTCGTCCAATAGCGCCTTGTCAGAGACAAGCTGAAGAAGGCCCTCCTTCTCTCCGCTCAAGAGCTCCCTGTTTAAATATATTATCAGTCAATAACATATCATCACTGAATCCCGAATGAATCAAAACCTTTTTTAAGAGGGATACTCACTTGAAGTAAGAGTTGTCGAAAATAAGAGGGTTTGAGGTCCAGGCACCTTCGAAGCCAGACCTATCCTTGTGGCACCTTCCCTGTGTTACCACACAATATGCAAGCATTCAGCACAATACGTAGATTGAAACCAACACACACACAAAATGAAGAAAAGCATTTGGGAAAGAAACGAACAATAGTGTGGGCACCAGACAAAGCGACAATGTCCTTGTCAGACAAACCCATCTGCTTGGCAAAGACATCCCTCAAGTGGTCACAACCCTTTGTAGCATCAGGAAGACGACCCTCTGGAGGTGGCTGGGGCTTGTCCTGAAAGCACGATATGCATGTTAGTTAAAAAAGCAATCATCTCACAGTATTATCCTCCTTCAATTTGTTGGGCTACATCCTCAATTAGTCATCATCTCTACAAAGAAAGCATAACAAATCTACAGCAATGACTAACCTCTCTTCCAGGGTGGAAAGGAACATCAGGTCCACCAGTAACTTCGACGGCAACAACACCAGCAAGCTTAAATATAAATTTCACACCAGAAGAACATCGTGAGTTTGAATCCAAATCCTAGGAATTGTCACCGCTAACCAAAGAGTATAATTCCTCAAAACAATTATTAACCTGATGGAAGTCAGCAAAAGAGATGGTAGGGAATTGCTCCTTGATTGGGTCCAGAAACCTAAGAGCAACGTGGATACCAGCGTTGGCTCCATGAGCTTGCTCAGCATCAAACCTCATTGTTCCGAAGGGACCTCCAGTCCTTGAGACGCAATCGAATGTTCCAGCAGAGTGCCATCTGCAGTTAGCCAAACGGATCAGGTAATGAGGGAGAAAGTGCGCATCATAGATGCTTGAGAAACCGCAAAGCTGATAAGGTTGGGTGACTTACGCGAGGCGGACCATGATGGGTGCACAGTTCTTCTCAGCGATCATGCCTCTAAGCTTCCTCCTGCACTTCTCGATGGCCTTTTGGTATTCCGCGCTCACGGTTGGGTACTTCTTCGTCATCTTCGCAGAGGTCTGGGAACCAATGAACAGATATATGAGCCCCACTGGCAAATTAACACCCAAAAATCAAATCCAAAAACAGGTATAATCCATTAAAACCCTAACTGGAATCATACAGCACAAAATCATAAGAAATACGAAACTGAGCAAAAACAAAAACTCGCTAGTTGATTCCAACATCTTCTTCCGGTGAAAACCCAAAATCAGTCACTAGAAAAACGGAAACTAAGAGCAAAATCCGCGATTATTTAACAAGTAAATATACATAGATGCGTGAGCCTAAAGTTGGAATATTTCCTTTAAGAGGTGTCCCACATTTAATATAAGAAGATTCGGATAGAAAAACGGATCCTGGAGACAAAATGAAACACAGGTAGAAGCGACACTCATAAACAGCAAACCATCACGCGAGTGATGCTGAAGAATCCCTAGTCCCTCAAAACTATCATCGATTCGGAAAACTAGTGAAGAAACACAGCGAGATCGAACCACATAACAGAAACGAGAGGGTGAAAAAAAACGATGGCTAACGTATACTAAAGCCGACTGCAGCAACGGATCGAGGATCTAATATGATAAAGATACATCATTCAGCTCAGATCAAGCCAGGCATAACGATAAACCGATCCATCAAGAGGAGAAATCGAAAGCATAAACGACGGATCGGAGGCAGGGAGAGAGAGAGAGTTCCTGTTGTACCTTTTTTTCTCGGAGAGAGGATAAAATCTGAGAAATGCGAGTGGCTGGCACGAGGTGAACACGAGTACTTTCTGAGAGCGTTTAGGAGAAGAAAGTCGAAATATATAAAGATGGGGTGTTTCAAGGAGGGGGGAGAGGAAGCGAACGTTCTAGTACATCTGTTAGATGCCGTCGGATGACGGATATCTTGTGGTCAATATTCGCCAATGTAATCGACGGTTATGATTCAACGCACGGCTTTAAAATGGACGTTCGGATATCAGGGTTGGTGGTATATAGGTGAGAAAAGAATAATTTGCATATAATTGTCAATCTCCTATTGGAGGAAACATGCTTGTGTGGCGGGCCCACCAACTTGGAAAAAAATATCAAAAAGGGCGTCGATTTTGATTTTTTTAGGTGAATTGACGAAATTAGCATCTGAGGATGGATAATGCGTACTCGTTCGTTAGTGGTATTTCCGTTATTTCAGGCCTCGCATGTGTGAACGCTTCTCACGCACAAGAAGATTCCATTGGACTAAAGGGAACGATAACGTCACAGCGCACGAATGATTAGATTTCTCACCCATAATCGCTGATTGGTTTCCAAAAGTTTGTAATTATAGTTCGGTCCGTAGTTGTTCCAATTATCGGTTAAGCTTCGATTTATAATATTGGAACCGAATTACGATTTTGGTTTGATTTCTGCAGACTGCTGCAGACTATGTAATTTTTGTTCAATCGATAATTACAAATTTTGTTTCATGGGTTTGGTTGGTAGTTATAGATTTCTCTGTTAGGGTAACACATGATTTAGAAAGTTCCAAAATTTCCTCTGTGAAGCAAAAGAGTTTCCTCTGTGCTTAGTTGGTTCCAAGATGGATCGAACCCTGGTGGGAGATTTGACTGTGGTGTTGTGTTGCCAACTTTTCTTTCTTTACGTTAGGTTTCCATGTAAAATGTAAGTAAATGTGGAGATAGATGATTACACTAGGAGATAACTTTTTAATACTCTACTTCTCTTTTACTCATTTTGAATTTTTGCTTAATGATGCAGAAGTCAATCTTAACCTTGAAAACCCATTTCTCATTCAAATTTCAAAGTTTAAAGATCAAGTAACAAAGTTTATGTCTTTATGTGACCCACCAAAAGCAAAAGGTGCCACCATTTTCTCTCCTCTCACTCACTGTTTTGCCTTTTTAAAGGCAACAACAGCTACTTGAGATATGAAACAGTTCTTAAAACTTGTTTTTAATTTTTGGGGATTATCTTTAAACTTGCCTGGATCTGAGTTCTTACAAAGAAGAGATGGAGAAGGAAATGGAAGATGGAGGAATCTTGACATATAACGGTAGATATGTAATGTACAACGTACTCGGTAACATTTTCGAATTGTCTTCCAAATACATTCCTCCAATTCAACCCGTCGGTCGAGGTGCGTATGGTATCGTCTGGTAAGTTTATCACCTTTTTTTGTTTTTCCATTCCTGTAATCAATCTTTTTCTTCATTCCCATTTTCCATTTTCTGAATGCAGCTGTGCGACAAACTCAGAGACAAACGAAGAGGTTGCTATTAAGAAGATAGCAAACGCGTTTGACAACAGAGTTGATGCCAAAAGAACTCTCAGGGAGATCAAACTCCTCTGCCATATGAATCACGATAATGTAGTAGTCTCTTCTTGGCTGATCCCATTTCGTTTTGATGAATCACACACATTGTTGAACTATCGTATTCACATTGGTGCGCAGGTTATCAAAATGAAAGATATAATCGAGCCACCAGAGAAGGAGAGGTTCGAGGATGTGTATATTGTTTATGAATTGATGGATACTGATTTGCATCAGATCATAAGATCCACTCAAACTCTAACCGACGATCACTGCCAGGTTGGTATTCCCCAAAATTTGCTTCAAATCTCTGTTCCCGGTGATGATCAATGGACACATTCAAAATCAGAGTTATAGTTTGGTATTTGTTATCGTTTAGTTTGAAAATGAAGTTTTTTGTTATCTTTCCGCAGTACTTCCTTTACCAGCTTTTGAGAGGCCTGAAGTACATACACTCTGCAAATGTACTTCACCGAGACCTGAAGCCGAGCAACTTGGTTCTAAACTCGAACTGTGACCTTAAAATATGTGATTTCGGGCTTGCAAGAACGTCGACAGAGACAGACATAATGACGGAATATGTCGTGACAAGATGGTACCGTGCACCGGAGTTGCTTCTCAACTGCTCGGAATACACAGGAGCTATTGATATTTGGTCTGTTGGTTGCATTTTCATGGAGATACTCAGAAGAGAAACGCTTTTCCCCGGTAAAGATTATGTTCAACAGCTTAAACTTATCACTGAGGTAAACACTTGAAACCCGAATCACACGTTAATCATTTGTGTCTGTGTGTGTGTGTGTGTGTCAAAAGCATTCCTCTGTTTTGTTTGTTTTTAGCTCTTAGGTTCACCAGATGACTCTGATCTTGACTTCTTGAGAAGCAATAATGCTCGAAAGTACGTTAAACAACTTCCATATGTTCAAAAACAATCATTCAGAGAAAAGTTCCCAGACATTTCCCCAATGGCTCTAGATCTTGCTGAAAAGATGCTCGTTTTCGATCCTTCCAAGCGCATCACAGGTGCATCCCCATTGTTTTATTCATGTTTCGATGCCATAAATCAAAAGAAGCTGTAAGTAAAAATTGAAATACTAACAAGGTGTTTTTATCCATGTGAAAGTGGAGGAAGCATTGAAGCAGCCATACTTGGCGAGTCTCCATGAGATCAACGAAGAACCAACGTGTCCTTCTCCTTTCAGCTTCGACTTTGAGGAGACAATCTTAGATGAAAAAGACATCAAAGAGCTTGTCTGGAGAGAGTCTTTACAGTTCAAGAATATGTTATCTCCCACGCTCCAAGACACTTGAACGCTATTAGTATTCTGCTCTGTGTGTCGTGGGTGTGTCATGTGTGTTTGTTATTGTGATTGTGCAATCCTAAGAAAGTGACAAGTTTTTGTGTGTTTATTATATGCATTTAGTAATAACACGATAATGGATTCAGAAGTAGAAGGCAAAACAACAACCGTTTTGTTGTTTGCTTATTATTCTTTAAAGCCTAAGTAGCCCATAAACTAAGCCCAATTTATTCCTTCGTTCGAGCCGAAATAAAAAAAACTGATAATTGTTTTTATTTGTCCTCAAAATTTATAGCGATGATACATGTGGAAGTTTTAATTTTGTTCTGACGAATGATCTTAGAATTAGTACCGAATTTCCCTAACAAACGAAAAAGGTGAATTAGCACCGAATATGTTTGTAAGACGTATTTCGTATATGAATCACAGCATATAATATTATACATTTGCACATAATTTAATACCGACCAACCAATCTATACAACATCAAGCTAAATCGACCATAATCAGCCTAATCGATCTACTTAAACCAAATTCCTAATTGTTCCCAAATTAATGAGTAATCTATCTAGATACGGCCACCTCATATAAGTCAACGATTTTTTAAATATAGTTCACAGATTTAGTAGTTTGATAATACAATAGGGTGTTGTTACTGTTTCACCACTATCACTTAATGATGTTTGCACTATTTTTTAATTAGAACTCAAAATGAAAATCTTTAAAACAAAGGTAAAAATACTAAAAAAATTCCACAACTCTGTTTAAGAACTTAGATGGTTTAGCAAACTTTCTTATTCATGCAATCAGCTAGTTTTTTTTTGTATGTAGATATTATCATTATGCCAATCTATGCCGAAGAGTAAGCTGTGTATACTATTGATAATTAATTAATTTGGTATATAATATACAAACTGAAATTGGACCGATTAAGCAAGTCAACATCTTTGGATATGGAGTATATATAATATATCATGTGTAAACGTGAAAACATCTCCAAATGAAACCGTATTGCTACAAAAAGCCAAACACGTCTTAATTTTATGACTGCTAGTTCCAAATAATTAATAAGCAATATATCTGCTTATATATATAATACAGTATGTTCCTTTCATAAACAGCTAATTGAGCTGTCAAACTAAACTATAATTTTAACTTATCTTCACTCCAACGCTGATTACAAACCTGAGATATATTTTTAAATCTGTCAACAAATCCAAATTATAAAATAACAAGGGAAATGACTAAAATTGTATATGCTGGACCAACACAATTACAATTTGGGAGACTGATTAACTGATATCGATATATTTTAACTATATATAGGTTGACTGACGTCTTTATGTTGTTGTCATATCATATCAATGGTATTTTGTGTACGTATTTGTGGTTAAAGTCATCAAATTATATACATATGTTATTTGCTCTGAATGTTGTTTTTCTGGCAAGTT